CTAGGTGCTTGCAGGTATCTGGCTATGTTTAGGATAAAGAAAGAATGGCTAATCCCAATTTCTAAAAATTATTTTCAGTATGAAAAAGCAAAACAACATAATGAACTATCATTTGCAACTGACACTTAATGGAGAATTGCTGATCCTATATATATATATATATATATATATAGGCTAACCATTACCCATATTTCTCATGCTTCTAGTGACACAGGCTCCTGGCTAGGTGGAAAGCAGATGTAAGGAGCAATCTGGTGGTCATTATATTCACAATGCTGTAGAATGATTTTATGTGGTGGTGGTGTGGGTAAGAGTCAGATGAAGTCAAATTGTTTCCTAGTACCTTTCCTTGGTCCACCTAGGGGCATTCTGCTAGCAATACCATCTTCCCAGAGCTTCAGTGGCTTTTAGAGACACCTCCTTTTCTTGGGGTTTTTTCTGATACCACTGTCTCACCAGTTTTCCTACTCCTCTCAAAGTCTGTGGTGCTATAGAGACGTATTGTGGGAGGCAGATGTTTGGAGTCTTTCCCCTTGTCTACCAGGTGTTTCTGTTGCCAATACTTCTGCCGCTTTTCGGCAGCAGAAGTTCTCTGTTGCAAAAGTTTTCAGTGCTTTAAAGTAAAGAACATGATATCAAAGTAACAGGCCCAACTTGTGCAGTCCAAAGTTTTCTAGAGATGGAGGGGACAACTGGAAAATCAGCAGAGAAAGTTTGAATCTTAGACATGCAAGAACACTGACTGGGGCCACTTTCTTACAGAGTAAGGCTTAAAACTTTCCCAAAAGAAATGACAGATAGGTTGTGGATACATGAGTTTATTTCCATGGTGTAAATCAAATGTGCATGTGGTCCGTTTTGGTAACTGGCTATAAATATATTGAGAAGTGAGCAGAGCTGGGAGCTGTGATATTGCTGTGTTAAGGTGGCGGCTTAGATCCCTGTCTCGGTTTATTTTTGCTAATTACTTTTTAAAGAACTGGCTCATCATTCACAAGTAGACAGCATTCTGTGGCTTCACCGTCATGTCTGAAGCAAAGAGTTACAGTCCAGCAGCGGGGAAATTCAAGGTTTTTCATGCTCAGGGGGCAACTTGACTGACAAGGAAGGCAGCCTCATAATGTTCACAAAGCTTCCAAAATCAGGCAGCCATGAGGCACTGAGTGCACACAGACAAATCAGCTTACACCATGGTTAATATGGGGGAATTTGGCAGCTTCTTAAATGCATGGTAGGGTGAAGCAATACAGATTTCATACTCTTCTATCATTGTTGACTTTAGCAAGGGCAAGACTGCCAGAATTGCCACTGGCATCAACAAGTAGTTGCTGCTGCTCTAGACAGCCAGAATCTGAATAGACATAACCATATTATAAAAATGGTATCTTGTCAAGGGTCTGAATTTATGTTCCCTTCCTCCCACCCATTCCTTTTTACTCATGTGTTATGTCTTTCTAAGGGACGCGGGTGGCGCTGTGGGTAAAAGCCTCAGCGCCTAGGGCTTGCCGATCGAAAGGTCGGCGGTTCGAATCCCCGCGGCGGGGTGCGCTCCCGCTGCTCGGTCCCAGCGCCTGCCAACCTAGCAGTTCGAAAGCACCTCCGGGTGCAAGTAGATAAATAGGGACCGCTTACTGGTGGGAAGGTAAACGGCGTTTCCGTGTGCTGCGCTGGCTCGCCAGATGCAGCTTGTCACGCTGGCCACGTGACCCGGAAGTGTCTCCGGACAGCGCTGGCTCCCAGCCTCTTGAGTGAGATGGGCGCACAACCCCAGAGTCTGTCAAGACTGGCCCGTACGGGCAGGGGTACCTTTACCTTTACCTTTATGTCTTTTTCAATTGTGAGCCTGAGTCTTAGTACTGATTTTTGAAAGCTGATCTGAAAGGCTTTTTGGCTAACAGGTGGACTCTGTCTTAAATAAATAGAAATGCCTCCTCTGTACTGCTACAGTGTGCAAATAACTTCCTGGTTCTTTGTTTAGGGAAGCAGATTGTTAATTTGTTCTCACAGTGTGTTAAAGTCTGTACATGGTGACATTTCCAACTGGCCAATAAAACATTATTTCTCCTCTTTGGAGTTACTCTCTTTCTAATAAGAGGAATGTCTGGCGCTAAAAAATGTATTGTTTTTAAGACAGCTGTATAATTTGACTGTAAAATCAAGATAAATCATATGCATTCCCAGTTCAGCCCCCTCGGTACACAACAGACACAACTGCAGCTTCAGAAAGATTAGTACAATTTCTCACTTAATTAGAAACACATACACAAGCAACTCTCAAAAGAACTTGACTAATCTAAAACCTTTTGCAAAGTTGTTATTAGTGGCTGGAGCATGAGTTTGTGCATAGATGCTTTTTTCAGTTATTGCCTACTTTTCTTAGTCTGCAATAAGCAACTACAAGTTGTATTTATATATTAAAAGGTGTTCCTTTCAAAACACTCCAAGACTTAAGTGAATAGGGTTTTTTTAAAAAAAATCACACCCTGCAAATAATGACACTCTCTCTCTCTCTCTCTCTCTCACACACACACACACACACACACACACACAAACACACTCGCATAGAATAGAAATCTGAAATTGCACTTAAAATCTGAAAAGCATCAAAGAAAGCAGTATAAAGTTCTTTATAAGTTCTTTAAGACACAGCTGTAGCTAGCCTTGAGATTCTTTGACTATATTTCTCATTTCATATCTCCTGATATAACCAGTTTTCTAAGTGCTTAATATGAGCAAGCCTGTTAAGGTTTTCAACCTCTACTATTCTGTCATTGCATTTGGATTCAGCTCCTGAGAGCTCAACACAGCTACTTTTCAGTTGTCTCATGCAATAATAATAAATAGTAATAATATTTGCCAGGTCAAGTATTATCCCTCTCAGTGAAGTCAGTGATTGGATAGGAAATTGACCCCCCCCCCTTCTTGCCCAGTTTGGAATGGCAGGGCTTTCATTGCAGAGTTAAACCTTGCAGTGGTGCAGCACATCTCAAGCAGTGTATGAGCCCTACGTGAGAGCAGAAGTCAGATGCTTAGACACACAGTATGGACTCTCTCTGGCCCTCTGCCCTCGCACATAGGAAATAGCCATGTGCCAGACACGTTTTACTACTGGCGTGGGTCTAATTGTGACCACATGGACAGTGTTCAAAACTCCCATTGTTCTAGGAGCGTTTTGTGACAGGGAATTTCATAAACGTGAGCAGTTTCTGATCTCTGGGCGCAGTACTGCGCCTAAGATTTCAGATTAAAGCCGATGCTGAGAGTGTGGGAGGAGAACTTTCTCCCCGCTAGACTTCCAATAGATCTTGGGGGCATCTTGTACAGTTGTACCTTGGAAGTCAAACAAAATCCATTCCAGAAGTCCATTTGACTTCTAAAATGTTCGAAATCCAAAGCGTGGCTTCTGATTGGCTGCAGGAAGCTCCTGCAGTCAATCAGAAGCTGCAGAATCCCCGTCGGATGTTCAGCTTCCAAAAATAGTTCGCCAACTGGAACAGCCACTTCCAGGTTTGGGAGACAAAATATTCGAGAACTAAGCTGTTGGAAAACCAAGGTATGATTGTACATGGAAAAATACAGTAAGTCTTAGGTTTGCGAACTGGGCACTCAAGGTGGGTGTCTCTGCCATCAGTATAGGCCTTTAATATGTGTTAATTGTGGTGCCAAAAAGATATAGTTATATGAAGGAAAGGGGGCTTTGGGAGAATCCAGGGCTTGTCTGCAGAGTGGAAGGAAAGGAGGACCTTTTTCTGCCTCCCCACTTCCAGCCACTCTCTTTCCCTGAGACCCTGACTCCTTTTGGGGGTGTTAACTTTCTTAATGTGAACAATAAACTATGGCTGTATGCGGTTTCACTGCTGGAAATGTGTTTTGGGTAATGGCTTATTATATGTGAAAATGTATTATATCTTATGTATGTTCCTGCTTTCTTGCTCTGTTGTCTTGTTTATATGTTTGACTGAGCCTTGTAATGTGAACTTGGGAATTCTTTTCGTACAGCCAGTGGTTCAAGTCTCCAGCATGGCTCATGTTACTTCCTGCCATTCTGAGGAGCTAATTTAGCTTCCTTCTCAACTCTAAAGTGACAGGTTGCTTCCCAGGATCCACACATTATGGCTTGGTTTACTAGGCAGCTGCTATTTGTGGTTACCACTACCAGTCTCTCCCTCTCACTGAGGCTTGCAGACATGCCACAAAATTGTGGAAGAGGCAAAGTGTCCTGTTTCACTTTCTGATGAGTTTCAAAATAAGTTTTTCTTGCTTCTTTCCTGGCATCTTTAGATGTGTTGGGGCAGGAAGCAAGCAAGCAAGCAAGCTGTGAGTGTGACTTATGGGTCTTCTGTCCTCTGAAACTCCCAAAAGTCATGTGTGCCAGTATTTCACCTCTTCTGTGGCTTTGTGTGAAGCAAGACACATGACTTCCATGTTCTCTGCAGTGTTAGAGGACTTGCCCTTGAGAAGCTGGATAGATGATGGTTTGATCCTGTTGCTCTGGGTACAATCCATGTACAGTGGTACCTTGGGTTACATACACTTCAGGTTCCATACGCTTCAGGTTACAGACACCGCTAACCCAGAAATAGTATCTTGGGTTAAGAACTTTGCTTCAGGATGAGAACAGAAATCGTGCTCTGGTGGCGCGGCAGCAGGAGGAGGCCCCATTAGCTAAAGTGGTGCTTCAGGTTAAGAACAGTTTCAAAACTCCAGAATGAATTAAGTACTTAACCCGAGGTACCACTGTATAAATTTAATTGTCGTAAGATCAGTATAACCTGAAAGCACTGGGCCAAATTTCAGTTTGAATAACTGCAAGGTGTTTGCTTTTTTAAAAAAAAGAGTCCTACTAAATCCTGCATGATAGATTTAGGAGGGTTCTGTGCAGAATGGGGATATTGCACCAAAGTGCTTGGAGATGACAAGGTGACCAGTTCTACTGTTTCTAGTATAGCTTAATCACAGTAGGATTCCTAAGGTATTAAGCATGTTTTGATTTGTTCCAGTAGCCGGATCGAGCTGGGTGATGTGACGCCACACAACATTAAGCAGCTGAAGCGGTTAAACCAAGTCATTTTCCCCGTCAGCTACAATGACAAGTTCTACAAGGATGTGTTGGAGGTTGGCGAGCTCGCCAAACTGGGTATAGTACCTTACTTTCTTATTCGGTGGGTTGGTGGATAGAGGGTTTCCCATTGTTCTTGGTTTATCTGCTAGATTCAGTACATCATCTGTTACGTGAGGATAGCTTTACCAGATACCTTAATTATTCTCACTGTATGAAGCCTTGCACGCCATGCAACCTGGGCCTGCACATACAATGCAGATACTGCCTTTTATTCCGCCATCTTCCTCAGGTATGTACCTCTTTGGCCTGAGATAGTTGTCCATCCCATTTTCCCCTTGTCCGTGCCTTTTCCTTCCCCTCCAGCTCCTCCTGTTCTAGCCATAGAGAGCTACCAGCTTTTACCTTCCACAGCTGCTCAGGAAAACTAGTGCCCTTGTTGGTTGCTTTAAAAGCTTCAACAAGTGCGGGAAGCAGTGGCCCATTTCCTCATGAAGATCCTTCATGCCAAGTTGTAAGTGTTTTAGCATCACCACTAGCCGCCTGTTGACTGCAGTATCCAGAACTGACAACTTATGCAGCCCTAAATTACTCTTCATATGTTACATTAGAAACCCGTTTCCCCTTTATACTACATCATGGCCTTTAAAATGAATAATGTCATTTTTTCTGCTCGAATGCTTAACATATCTCGTCACATGTCTCAATGATATGCCCAGAGAGAAACCCATTCATCAACTCCTCAGGTGTAAACCTTCCTCCTGCACACACAACAGGGTTTCCCAGCTTTTTTTTAAGGTGCCCTTGGTCCTCCCGTTCAGCCTATGCATGCTTTCTCAGAAGTACGACCCATTGAACTGAATGGATTGGGTCCCAAATAAGCCATGCTTTGAGCAGACCCATTGGAATCTTGGTCCATGACTAAAATAAGCCCTGTTGATTTCAGTGGGTCTGCTTTTAAGTGTGGATCCAACCCAATGAGTCCTACTCTGAGGTGGGTATTCATAAGACTGTAACTTTGACCTCTTTCTGCACCCCTGCAGGAGCTCAGGGACAAGTCCCAGCTTCCCTCTCTAGCTCCAGGCTTTCGGAACTGAGGAAGGGGAGTAGGAGCTGGCTGAGGCATTCTGAGTGCCTTGACTATTCACCAACATTTTGGTGGCAGGCAGCAGAAGCAAGAAGAGTGCCATGGTCAACTCTAGCCTTCCTGTTTAGCTTGGAGCTGGAGAGGGGGTTGAGGTCATCCCCCTTATTGCAGTCACAGACACCCTTTGAAATTCAGCACAACTCGGTTGATGATCCAAGGTAGAAAGAGGTTGGTTCCCCTCTCATTGTCCTTGCCATAAGGTAATGAAACACTCACTATGGTGGGGGTGACAAGCAGAACTATGGACCACTGTGCATCAAGTTATGCTTGAATGTTTTCCTAAAGTATTGTGAGATCTAGCTCTTACTGCAGTTGTAGAACTCTGTCTTTTATTTTATCACTTTAGGCTGTACTTCAGGTCTGATTGAATTGTCCATTATACATATTATTTCTGGCACATAGAATATGAGGGGAAAGGGTTGTACCCCAGCATTCTCTTTAATATGCTCGTTTTATGCATGCAGGATTATAGAACTTATTTTTACAAGGGACTATTCTGTCCCCTTCAGCCTGGAGTTCTACCAGTACAGACTTCCCTTCAGTGAGAATTAGACCTTGTTTGACCTGATATTTGATATGTGGAGTTAAATTGGGATGGGATTATTTTTATTGTTACATATTTAGTTTGAGGCGTGGAGTTAAGCAGGGATGGGATCACAGTTATTGTTATATATTTAATATATGATATGCAAGTGTGTCTTGCTGTTCTAATTATGCAGTATGCTTAAATCTATATATTTATATTTATCCGAAACCCTCAGGATATGGTGGATTTAAAAAACCCAAAATAATATGCTTTCTTCCTCTCCCCACCCCTCTTTTTGGCAGCCTATTTCAATGATATTGCAGTGGGTGCAGTGTGCTGTAGAGTAGATCATTCTCAGAATCAGAAAAGACTGTACATCATGACGCTTGGATGTCTGGCCCCTTACCGAAGGTTGGGGATAGGTAAGGCTGTTTTGTAAATGATGAGGCGGCTCTTGGCTATGGAACATGTGCCTCTAAAGCTTACAAAATTTAGTACTTGTTTATAAAATAACAAATATTGCAAGATGCTGCAGTATTTGAAACTGGGAATAACTTTCTTCCATTTTGTCTTGCTTCCTTTGTAGGAACTAAAATGTTGAATCATGTGTTAAACATCTGTGAAAAAGATGGCACTTTCGACAATATCTATCTGTAAGTAGAAAGACATTGCTGGCCTAGGCAGGAGAAATTGGTTGCTTACATGTTTAGTTGGCATGCATGGAAGTGTTGGCGCTCAAGTCTTGTGGCATAGTATTAAAGAACAACTAATATAAGACTTTTGCTTTCGAGTACTAGAGTTTGCTGGGACACAGTAGGGGCACTAATTATATTGACACTACCACGCAGTGCAAATGCTAACCACAGGAGGTACATACATTACAGTCATACCTTGGTTCTCAAACGCCTTGTGACTCGAACATTTTGGCTCCCAAATGCCACAAACCTAGAAGTGCGTGTTCCGGTTTGCGAACATTTTTTGGAACCCGAATGTCCGACGCAGCTTATGCGGCTTCCGATTGAGTATAGGAGGCTCGTGCAACCAATCGGAAGCCGCGCCTTGGTTTTCGAATGTTTTCAGAAGTCGAACGGATCTGGAATGGATTACGTTCGAGAACCAAGGTGTGACTGTACAGTCTTGTTATGTTTTTGTAAGTGATGCCCTCTTTATTTTATCAGTATTGTGTCTGGATTGTTTATTATTGATGCCTATATCCATTGACCAGGGACATGCTGAGCTCTGCAAGAGCTAAACTTATAAATAAACAGCAGTTAAAAAAGGCTCCTAAGCATTAATTCTTCACATGTAAACCCAACCCTGTAAATATGTCCTCTAAAGTTACTAGCTGTCCCCCAATCTGAGATACAGCACATGAGCATGTAGGATAGGACTTGCTTGATCCTGGCACCACAGTTGTGGGAGGCCTTCTCAAAGAAGGCCCACCTGGTGCAATTGCCGCTGTGCCTATGCAGCGCTATCAAGGCATAACTTTCTTGGGGGCCAGTTTGGTAGTATTGTTACCTTCTGGTTTATGAGAGCTCTGCAGTACTGTATGTTGTTTTCCTTCCCATCTTGGACTTAACTTCCATCATCCCTGGGATGGCCATGCTACCTGAGGCTGATGGGAGTTTTAGTCCAAAGTACTTGGCAGACAACAGGTTAGGACATGTGTTCTAGAGTAGCTTTTTTGTGTTAGAATAGTAGTTGTTTGTCGCTGAAATCAGAAAGGCAAAAGGTAGGTAGTCGTTTACATAGGATGGTCATAGACAGTTGTACCTTGGATCCCAAACACCTTGGTACTTGTACATTTTGGCTCCCGAACGCCATAAACCCAGAAGTGAGTGTCCGGGTTTGCAAACGAACTTTGGAACCTGAATGTCCAACGGGGCTTCTGCAGCTTCTGATTGGCTGCAGGAGCTTCCTGCAGCCAATCAGAAGCCGCACTTTGGTTTCTGAACGTTTTGTAAGTTGAACGGACTTCCAGAACGGATTCCATTCAGCTTCAAGGTACGACTACTTGATTTCTGGGCACTTGTGTTATAAGCTGGCATGCAAAAATTTTTCCCCAGCCGTAGTGAAGATAGGTGAAAGTAACATGGGATACAGAAGTTGGATGGACTTTTGTTTATTATCAAATTTAGTAACATCTGTTTTAATCTCTTCTCTATCCTTGCTTCCCCATTTTCCCTTCCACTCTTCAGATAAACAGTTCATTAGCATATAGATCCAAGTTCCAGCCTTCATAAATGGTAATGCTTTTCTCCCTTGGTTTCTTTTTTTACCCAGACATGTCCAGATTAGCAATGAATCTGCTATTGACTTCTACAGAAAGTTTGGATTTGAGATCATTGAGACGAAGAAGAACTACTACAAGAGGATAGAGCCAGCGGATGCTCACGTGCTGCAAAAAAACCTCAAAGTCCCTTGTCTCGGCCAGAACACAGATGTGCAAAAGTCTGACAACTGAACAAAACCCAAGGAACGCTTTCTTGCACTTTCTTGTCACCAAATAGGGAAAGAGAGGTCTGGTCCCCCCCCCCTCCCCACTCCTAATGTGTGTTGTATCCTCTCCAACAAATTAATAACTTCCCAAGGACTGTCAAATTGTGTGTTTGGGTTCTATAGCTCTACTTCTTTGCAATTTTGGGATGGAAGTAGTATGCGGTTCTAGCTGGGGTGGGGCCTTCCTTCGGTCTTCCAAAGGTCAGCTTTTCCTCGGTATGTGTGTGAGCCTCCTTCATTCCCATTGAAGGGCAGAGTTTAAGCAATACCTTGCATCCAGGCTCCTAATACCATCCCACTTTTTTATTTTTTTGTAATGGAGTCTATCGGTCTCTAGTTTTGAACTTGGTTTGGCGGTTTTGGCCTTGTTTACTATTTGAACATGCATCAGTTTGGAAGCTAATTCAGAGCATTTGAGCTGCCATTTCTTCATTGTGTTTTGAGACAAAGTGGCCGGCGAGAAGATTCGGCTTTCTGAGCAGTCGTCAAGTGACCAGCTGATGCTGTGTTTTCTTGGCTGATGTAGGTGAGGATTCAGAGTGGACTGTCCCATCTTCCACTCTTCTCTCATTCGTTATAGGTATTGCACTAACAATAGAACGACCCTTGGCTCTGGCAACGGTGGAGGAGCCAAACATTAAAGATTGCTAAAGAAGATCAGTCTGTGACTCTTACTTTTAAAGAACGAACGAACGAAAGAAAGAAAGAAAGAGAAGGAAGGAAGGAAGCTTTGCCTTTGAATGGCTCTGCTGGTTTGAACTCTGTTTGCTTGCTGAGATTTTATGCTCCCTAAGATAGAAGGTGATTGAAACTGCTTCTCCCACCCCCACCCCCATTACGCTTCTGAAGATTTGGCACTCGTCTTAGAAGAATATTAAAAGGGGATGCAATGGAACACCAGATGGAAGTGGCTTATTGGGGAGCATTGTGAGGATTCAGAAAATGACTGGTTTTCTCCTGATATTGTAATGTAAGAACTGTAGCCTACTTTACCAAGCTCTCGCTTTGTATTTTGTTACGCTTTTGTTTGCAATTTCATTTTGAGCTTCTAGCAATTCAGTACAGCAATGGCAGCTCAACATTACATCTCTCCTCTCCATCTGGGGAAACGTACCAGGGAGGGGAGGGAACCTGCCCTATCACCTAAATCAATATTAAACTGCATTTCTTTCCTGATTTTGAACTTTCAACTGTATCTTGCGCTTTTCTGCTTTGAAAAATCTTTATTGAGGGTGGGTGGGTGGGGGTTACAATGTAACCTTGCTAGCAGATGTTGTAATTTCACTGTGATGCTGAATTGAGAAACAAGGGGACATGAAGACCAGGAAAGTTCAGGCAATTTGCAATATTGCGCAACCTTTAATTGCAGAGAAGTCAGGAAACACTATTCCTTATCAGGCTAGCAGAATATCCTGACACCTATTTGGTCCATTAGACATTTTGCCCAACTGCATGCTTATTCTTTCGATCAGAAAAAAACAGCAAGTTCACCCTTTCCGAATCCTTGTACAGGAGATGTTCTTGTACTGCTTCTCTGGCCATAGTTTGCTATGTTTTATATTGTATTTCCTGAGGATTTGTTTTCCTTCTGCAAAGATGTTGAAGCACATCTAAATCTCAAGTGCCAACACTGTTTTCCCTGATCAGTTGTAGATAAGGCAAAGAAGTTCAAAGGGGAAGGTACTGCATTAAAGAATGTATATACAGCCCAAGTCAACATCTGCTCATAACTATCTTCTGGTGCTAAGGAAAGTGTGTCCCCCCCTTTTTTTTTTGGAACCGAATGGTAGATACGTGGAATTGGGGGTTGGGAAGTCAATGGCTTCTCTTGATCTACAAATCACTTAAAGGTAGTTTTCCGCTTAGACTTTAAAAACAAAACAAAACCCATTTATATATTTTTTAATCAACTGTCATTCTGTGAATGTATTTCTCAACGTTTCTTGGGGTTTCCATTGTGCAGTCAACCTTCCTTAGTAACTATGTTCTACAGGAGGTAGGAGGAAAAGAAATTGGAAATCAAAGCTCCACTTTTCATGACTATCAGTCCTGCCAGTGATTCCTTGCTTAAAAAGAACACAGGTTTTAATCCCTAGCCCCTGGAGCTGCATCCCCTCTGCTTGAGTGTGGCAAAGAGCAGCAGTTCGGATGGTTCCTTTCTTTGAGTGCTGCAAAAGTTTGCCAATTTGGAGGAAATGTCTTGTCTTTTGAAATAGTCAAGCAGGGGGTTGTCTAAAATGGGTGTTTTTTAATGCTTCATGTGACTCTACTTTCCATTCTCTTGCAAATCAGCTCATGTACAACTGCAGTAATTAGTTGGGAGGTTCAGTTAAATTGCCACCATCAGTGCTTCTCTTGTAGAAGTTTACAAGGAGAATGCGCATAGCATACTTTACATATCCTATAGCAGGGTAAATGTAAAGGGGCTCGGCACAGTGCTTTTCTCATCATATAACTATGAAACTGCTGGACTTCATAAATATTTTCTTTTTCAGTATTAGGCAACTGATATATGCAACAAGAATGGGAAAAAAGCACCCAGGACAGACACCCTTTACTTGGCATGGGAGGGGGAATATTTTTGTATACATAAAAGTGGCTGGGATTACTTGATTCAGTTAATGATTGAATATGTCCATTAAAGATGACATACTGTTACAGCTGAAATAAATTCTAGTTCTGTTTTCATTAACATTTAATGGTGCCTTGTGATGTCTGGTAAATGTGAACCTAATTATATATTTTTTTACCCTCTGCACAAAATCAGTTTTAGTCTGCAGCTGCAGGGATTGTCTAAAACCACTCCTCTCCTGCCCCAGTTATATTGATTTAGGATTTGTTTTGAATATGTTAATGTTCATCTTACATAGCAATGAGTTACCATGCTGAGAACATATCTTGATCTTGGAGGAAATTTGCTGTCTACTCCTAGATAACTGAAACTGCTTTTATCCTTCACTTTGTGGATAAAAGTTATTCTTGCTTAATTGGCAGCCTGTTGCAATTATGTGAGAAGGGATGCTGTGGCATATAAAAAAGGAGGATGTTTTCTTTGTGACATGACTGTGATTATTGCTGGGGCATTTCACAAGGTAGAATACCTTGTTTAAATCTTACATAAATAAGCAAGGAAAACATGTTCACAAAATTTAGGCCGCCGCCGCCTTTGTGCATCAGAAGTAAGTTCACCTTTCTGAAATCCTAGGAAGCTAAAGATTTTTTTTTTTAACCCATTCTTAATAAATGTGCACCACAAGTTACATGGCCCATGAGCTGGCCTTGTGTTTTTGGCTTCCTTTCTCCCTTACCTGCCTTTCTCTGTTAAAGATGGGAGCATTCTCCATTTACCACCCTCATGCAGTAAGAGTAGGACCAGCTTGCAGACTAACATCTCCAACCCAGACATGCCCTTTTCTCTTAAGGCAGGCTGAGAAAAGCTGCCGTGACTGTCAGGCAACAGCCTGAATTGTGTCTCACTTCTCACCCCTTCCTCTGTCCCAGCAAGAGAAATTGCCGGTCTCCAACCCTGCAAGGTATGTGACATAGTAACATGCTAGCACTTCTGAAGCAGCTATAGTTGGGTCAGAGGATTTACAGAAAGCCCAAAATGCAGATTCTGCTAATAAATAAGAAAGACCGTGCAGAAGAGACCTGATTGCACTATCATGGTCTCAGGGAGAATTGGGCACCTAACTTTTAAACTGGGTTAAAATCCTGTTGCAGTACTGTTCCTGGTGGGGGTAATGACAGTTGTATATATGCTTGTGTAAGAATCCACAGAAGGGGCTCAGAAAACAAATATCACTAGATGTAGACAGGATGCAAGCATTAAAAAATGAGGCTGGATGAACTTCTACCAGAAGCTTATCTACCCAATTCGCAGGCACAAACTGTCCATACACTGAGACAATTGTCAAATCCCCCATATAACAAGGCTGTGATGCAACTTGACAAATTGGATAGTCCTCTCAAGCAGACTTCCCACCTAAGCTAGCTTTGTCCTTGCATGCTTTGAGTGAAGATGAATTTATCTGGGGAGAAGGCCAGAAACTCATTTGCACAGACTCCAGCAAAGTAAGCTTGTAGCTCACAACTAGATTTACAGGAGAGAGAGAGAGGGAGCGCTCAATAAGGTTTAGTTGGTGTACAATATGGAATCCTAAAGAATTTAGGAACCAGGTTATTTGATTATTCTCCTTTATAGGCCTCCCAGGTCACAAAGGTCATCTGATGAGGTCCTAGTGGTGCTGCCTGCTGCCGAGATCCTCTGGAGTGACATGGAACAGGCAGCACCCCTTGTCCCTTATGGAATACCTTCTCCAGACACCATACATTAATTGTATAAACACCAACTGGAAACACTAGCCTGTGAGTGCTCCAATTGGAGAACAGCCTTTACCAAAGGTGTCATGGGTTCTGAAGATGCTTCAACTCAGGACAAAAGGGGAAAGAAGAGGAAGGCATGCTTGGCAAACCCTCACCGTGATCAACTCCCACCTGGAAACCTATATCCCCACTGGAAGGATGTGTGGATCCAGAATTGGCCTCCACAGTTAAAACCCATGTTTATGGAAGACAATCTTACTCGGCTACGAGTGATTACCAAAGAAGAAAAAACTATTGTCAGTCTTAACTATTCAATGCACATTAAAGACTTGCCTTCCCAAGCATTCCTGTTTTATTGACCTAACCTAGCCACTTGGTCACACATTGGCTCTATTGGTTTTAAATTCTGTTTTATTTGTATTGTTTTTGTATCTGCTGTACAGCGCTTTGAAATGTTTATGGTCTGAAAAAGAACAAACAAAATCATAGGTCCCTGCCAACAGGATATTTAGGTAGGACAAGTCAAACCAGGCTTAAAACCTCACATTGGTTGCTGAGCTGTGTTCTTTCACAGATGGCATTATATTTAGCAAAATGTACAGAGTGCTTCATTGGTTAAAAATTACCTTTCAAGGCGTGAACAAGCTTAAGACATGTTGAGGATAAATACGTCGTATGATCCAAGTGGGTCACTCAGTTCCTTAGAGCATGGTGCCGGTAACACCAAGGTTGCAGGTTCGATCCCCGTATGGGACAGCTGCATATTCCTGCATTTCAGGGGGTTGAATTAGATAACCCTCAGGGTCCCTTCCAACTCTACAATTCTATTATATTTCTAGCAAAATATGCTCTCAATATTTCGCTTCCCCTGTTGTAGTTTACATGTACAGAGTATGTTTTTTTGTTGTTGTTCTCACTTGAGAAAAACTTCATTTTTAAAAAAAGGAAGCTTCCTTCACTTCTTTCACACTTGATGGTATCGTTCTTCCTGAGCTATTATGGTTTTATGGTCAAAGCAATTTGACTCTGTGTTTAGCATATTTCCTTAACCAGTGCCCTCATGCTTCAAATTTATCTTCTGATGGCAAATGTGATACTTTTTTTGGCGATTTCACACACACTTGTCAAATGCAAGAGCAAATCAGTCATCATTGCCAGTGAGTTCTGAAGTATGTGCACCAGGCTCTGGGCATAATTTGGATTAACTCCAGGGTTGCATCTGTTCTGGTGTGGTTTCGTGACCAGCTGCTCTTAAGGGACCATTTGGCATATCTAAACCATTTATCTCTGTCCTGCTCTAATAGTCACTTACGTGGGGGTAGGCCAGAGAAGCTTGAAAGACTCCAGTCTAAAACATTTAAATAACATTACCTCCAAAGGAATATTGGGAGTTGTAGTTTGTTACACGTGCTGGGCATCTTCAAAGTTCGAGTATCTTCAAAGTCCATGACACATTTGGTCAAGGCTGTTCTCCAACTGGAGCACTTGCAGGCCAGTGTTTCCCAGTTTTTAGTGTTTATACAACATTTATTTATAGATTTGCCTTGAGTCTTTAAATGTCTTGTTGACCACTGGCATTCCGCTTTCCATTTTTAAGTTCGGAATAGAGGAGTTGCTTTGGAAGATGATAGTCAGGCATCCACACAACATGACTAGTCCAACAAAGTTGATGTTGAAGAATCGTTGCTTTGACACTGGGGATCTTTGCTTCTTCCAGTTTGCCTGTCTTCCCAAGTGATGTGTACAATTTTTCAGATACCCTTGATGGAATCTTTCCCAATTCCCAGCGATGGGCATCAGTAAGTTCCCAATAAGGGCTGGCATAATTCGGCGGGAATCTGGAAAGAAAACAGGCCACACGGGTTTTTTTTCACATGCGCCACTTCGAAAGCATCCTTTGTTGTTGTTTAGCCATTTAGTTGTGTCTGCCTCTTCGTGACCCACTGGACCAGAGCACGCCAGGCCCTCCTGTCTTCCACTTCCTCCCGCAGTTTGGTCTAACTCATGCTGGTAGCTTCGAGAACACTGTCCAACCATCTCGTCCTCCGTCGTCCCCTTCTCCTTGCACCCTCCATCTTTTCCATCATCAGGGTCTTTACCAGGGAGTCTTCTCTTCTATACCCCTGCTTCAGATGTAAAGCTGATGAGTGATGTTTCTTAACCATTTGCATTTTTTTGGTTGTTGTTTAGTCGTGTCCGCCTCTTTGTGACCCCCTGGACCAGAGCACGCCAGGCCCTCCTGTCTTCCACTGCCTCCCGCAGTTTGGTCAAACTCATGCTGGTAGCTTCGAGAACACTGTCCCACCATCTCGTCCTCTGTCGTCCCCTTCTCCTTGTGCCCTCCATCTTTCCCAACATCAGGGTCTTTTCCAGGGAGTCTTCTCTTCTCCTGAGGTGGCCAAAGTATTGGAGCCTCAGCTTCAGGATCTGTCCTTCCTGTGAGCACTCAGGGCTGATTTCCTTCAGAAATGGAGAGGTTTGATCTCCTTGCAGTCCATGGGACTCTCAAGAGTCTCCTCCAGCACCAGAATTCAAAAGCATCACTTCTTCGGCGATCAGCCTTCTTTGTGGTCCAGCTCTCACTTCCATACATCACTACGAAAGCATCCTATTACCGCGCATATGTTTCCTGCTGCGCTTCTATGCGGCACACTTCGGCTCCTGGAGCAACGCTCCTCCGCCCCGCCCTCCCAGCCGCTCATTGGCCTCTCGCGCAGTTCCTGTTCTCTCTCTCCCCGCCCCCGCGCCCCACGTCAATCTAACCTTCGCGTCGAGCCCGAAGCCCGTGCGGGCCTCCGTCCGCGCCATATAAGGCTTGAAGTGGGCAGGGCCTCTGCCTTTCCTCACGGGCTCGACCTGCCCTTTCCACTTCTCGCGCTCGCCGATTGGTTGTGGGGCGGCCGAGCCGGCTCTCCATTGGCCGTCGCGCAAGCGGAGGGGCGGCACCCTCCCTCGGCACCTGAGGAGACGGTACCGGCGGTGTGGCGAGGAGAAGGCGGAGTCGGCGTGAGGGGAGGCGGAGGGAAGGAAGAGGCGGAGGACGAGGATGGTCCCCGCGGTGGGGCCGCAGCCGCTCAGCCCGCCCGGCGCTCCGGCGGTGAGTCCCTCAGGTGGCGGGTCGGGGCGGCGGCGGCGTCGTGAGGGGAAGGCCGGCCCCGCTCCCCTCACGCCCGGCCCGGCCCGCTCCTTCCCCGCCTCACGCCCAAGTGACAGTTCGCCCGGCCGCTCCTCAGGGGCCGCCTCAGCTCGGGGACGCGTCAAAACGTGTGTATGGGGGGGGCCTCCCTCGACCCCCCCCCGGGAGCTGCTGGGGGTCGTCAGGCGGGGGGGGGGCGCCCCCCGTCCCACCCCCGGCTCCCAGTCTGTGCTGCTGCAGCAAGACATGGGGGTGTATTGGGGGAATCATCCAGTGCTTTTATTCTGGGGGGACGCAGACCCATCAACGTTTTGTGCATCTAAGTTTGGCCTCATTGAGGGGCAGGATTTCAATATGAGGAGGAAAAGGAGAGGACAGTGGTACCTCGGGTTACAGGCGCTTCAGGATACAGATACTTCAGGTTACAGACTCCGCTAAACCAGAAATAGTGCTTCAGGTTCAGAACTTTGCTTCAGGATGAGAACAGAAATTGCACAATGGTGGTGAGGCGGCACCGGGAGGCCCCATTAGCTAAAGTGGTGCTTCAGGTTAAGAACAGTTTCAGGTTAAGAACGGACCTCCAGAACGAATTAAGTACTTAACCCGAGGTGCCACTGTATTCGGATAGAAAAAGGATATACATACAGTGGTACCTCGGGTTACAGACACTTCAGGTTACAGACTCCGCTAAACCAGAAATAGTACCTCGGGTTAAGAACTTTGCTTCAGGATGAGAACAGAAATTGTGCAGCAGCAGCAGCAGGAGGCCCCATTAGCTAAAGTGGTGCTTCAGGTTAAGAACAGTTTCAGGTTAAGAATGGACCTCCAGATCGAATTAAGTACGTAACCAGAAGTACCACTGTATTTGCTGCTGCAATACATGGTGTTGTATTTTGGGAATTATCTAGTGCTTTTATTCTGGGGGGACGCAGACCCCTCAACGTTTTGTGCATCTAGGTTTGGCCCCATTGAGGGGCAGGATCTCAATATGAGGAGGAAAAGGAGAGGACAGTGGTACCTCAGGTTAAGTACTTAATTTGTTCTGGAGGTCCGTACTTAACCTGAAACTGTTCTTAACCTGAAGCACCACTTTAGCTAATGGGGCCTCCTGCTGCCGCTGCACCGCTGAAGCACGATTTCTGTTCTCATCCTGAAGCAAAGTTCTGAACCCGAGGTAAGATTTCTGGGTTCGTGGAGTCTGTCACCTGAAGCGTATGTAACCCGAGGTACCACTGTATTTCAATATGCATAGGAAAAGGAGAGTACAGTGGTAGCTCGGGTTACATACGCTTCAGGTGACAGACTCCACTAACCCAGAAATAGTACTGCAGGTTAAAAACTAACTCTTCAGTATGATGAGATGTGAACAGAAATCGTGCAGCAGGAGGCCCCATTAGCTAAAGTGGTGCTTCAGGTTAAGAAAAGTTTCAGGTTAAGAACGGACCTCCAGAACGAATTAAGTACTTAAAACAAGGTACCACTGTATTCGGGTAATAATAATAATAATAATAATTTCCCCAGCCACTCTGGGCGGCTTCCCAAAAAATATTAAAATACTATAATACATCAAACATTAAAAGCTTCCCTAAACAGGACTGCCTTCAGATGTCTTATAAAAGTTTGGTAGTTATTTTTCTCTTTGACATCTGGTGGGAGGGTGTTCCACAGGGAAGGTGCCACTACCGAGAAGGCCCTCTGCCTGGTTCCCTGTAACTTTGGCTTCTCACAGTGAGGGAACCGCCAGAAGGCCCTCGGTGCTGGACCTCAGTGTCCGGGCAGAACGATGGGGGTGGAGACGCTCCTTCAGGGTAGAAGGTGTTCGCTAACACGATCCAGAAGGAAGGCTGGCATGCATTAAGAAGCGCAATACAGTGGTACCTCGGGTTACGTACGCTTCAGGTTACAGACTCTGTAACCCAGAAATAGTGCTTCAGGTTCAGAACTTTGCTTAAGGATGAGAACAGAAATTGTGCAGCGGCAGCAGGAGGCCCCATTAGCTAAAGTGGTGCTTCAGGTTAAGAACAGCTTCAGGTTAAGAACGGACCTCTGGAACGAATTAAGACTTAACCTGAGGTACCACTGTACTGTACCCCTAAACATTTTTTTTAGAAAAAAAGCACTGGAATGATCATCTGGTGGGGTGAGAAGCGAGTCCTTTTTTCTTTCACAGATTCACACATTATATTTTTACAAGAGTTCAGCTATGAGACAGCTACCAGAGACGGGGTTATTGGGTTGTTGCTTTTATTTTGATGATCTATTTTGTGGTTTTATATTTGGGTTTTGTTCTGTGAACCCCCCTGAGACCTCCGGGTATAAGGCGGTATATAAATTCAATAATAATAATAGCTTTTGTGGAGTTGGGGTGGCCTCCCTTCCCTGGGCTGCCCCAAATGTCCATTGCTCCCTGTTGTGGCTTTCCCCCAGCTCCCAATATTCGGTTTTGGGATGGTGGGGCCCTGGAGCCCTCCCACCCCCAGGCTGCCCCAAATGTCCAGTGCTCCCAGTTGCGGCTTTCTTTGCCGGGCGGGGTGGGGGGTGTCGAGGGGACCAGGCTTCCGAGGCTGCCCCCGAAGTGCTGCAGGCCGTGCACTTCGTGTCTGGAGCAGGGAGGTCTGAACAGGGTGGCCCGCGGAAACCTCCATGTGCAGAGGCAGTGTACCCCCTGGAGCAGATAAGATGCTGGGGATGTGCAAGGGAAGATTGGTTGTAGCTCCGTGCCTTGTTTGTAAGTTTTGCAGGAAGGAGGCATCTTGGGGGCTGCTGTCAGAAACCGGCCTCAGGACTAGGTGATCGGTTGCAGTGGGACTCTCCCTGTGTAGCTGTTATCCATACAAGATAGATAGATAGATAGATAGATAGATAGATAGATAGATAGATAGATAGATAGATAGATGTGTAGCTGTTATCCATACAAGATAGATAGATAGATAGATAGATAGATAGATAGATAGATAGATAGATGTGTAGCTGTTATCCATACAAGATAGATAGATAGATAGATAGATAGATAGATAGACAGACAGACAGACAGACAGACAGAAAGATTGCAGTATGCTAAGCACTTTGCAGTGGACTGTGTAATGCATTATAATCTGGATTTTGCTTGTAGGAAAGGGAGCAAGGAGTCTAGTTACCAAAATACCCATTTGATAATATGGCCATGTTGCGTGCCACAGAAAAAAAAAGCCTGGCAATAGTAGTGCATATTATTATTATTATTATTAAAATTAAAATTATAACCTCAGTCTGGCATTGTCAATATGAAGAAAATAATAATGCTAAGTTTTTGTACAGGGCTTTTGTGAAGATTATTGAATTGAGATATGGAAACGTTTTGGAAGTTATGAGATGCCAGATTAAGATGCCACATAAAAATCACATCCTCCTAATTTGTATGACTAGTGAATTTCCTTGCTCACATGGCTGTCCTAAAGACAGTGTTCTGGTATTATTGTTGTTTTATAGTTAGGACATACACTTTCATTATTCAAGCTAAATGTATTCATGGTAAATTTGTTCTCTTGTTTTGTGCCCATTTTTTTATTAACCTCTTCATGTTTTATTTACACACACACACTCCTACTCCTTATAGGCAGACATACTCTGTACAGCTTTTTGTGATAATGCAATTATATTTTGTGTTATGCTTGGCAAAAAAATGTAAAAAAAAAACATGAAAAAGGGGGCAAGCTTTGAGGGAAGTTTTGGTACTCTCACTCGCCATTGAATTCAGTGTGTTTTGACTATACACTATTTTGGCTTTAGGCACTGTCCATGGAACATAACCTCGGCATAAATTGGGAGTCGCCTGTACTTTGAAATTTTCTTCTATATTCTTAGCTTTACATTCTGACAACCATATTAAGAAACACAGACTACAGTCCTAACAATGCAGCCCCACTTGTGTCAGCTGAGTTTAGAGGGATTTGTTCCCTGGTGGTAGTATAGGATTGCAGCCTCCTCTTCAAAAGTAAATCGGTAAATACTACTTTCAAGTCAACATGATTAGGATTAAGATTGATTGGTAGCATGCCCAAGCATTGTTTTTCTGGTCCCACGACAAATTTATAACACCTGCCCCCTCCCACACGCATCCCATAATACAGTTGCATGAGGCATTAAATAAAAGTTTGTCTTTTAATTCTGAAATTATATTTTTCGCATTTCCAAAATTATACCATGGCCTACTGTAATTGGGGCTTTTCAACCATGCCCCCAAACACCTAGCCTGAATATGAGTCCTACAAATGGTTTTGCCTATTTTAACTTTTTGGTTGGTCCTTACGAATATATTATCCTGTCAGTGCTTTTATTTTTTATTGTAATGGACCAGTATGTGTACAAACATTTTATATATAGACCAGTTTATTATTGTGTTTTGTGTTCTTTTTCATTGCTAAATTAAATTAAAGTAAATTAAATTAAAGTAAATTTCTCTTGCAAACTCACTCTTGTTAAGAGAAAGTAACTACATTGGTTAACCATTCTTATTCTGTAAATCACTTGCAGTTTTTGATGATTGCTAGCTTGCTGAAATTCATTTTCTACAAGAGTCACTTCCAATTGTTAAGAAAATCCACAAAGCAATGCATACTTTACAGAAAATTCATTTCAGTTGGAGTGTTGTGTGAACTGCATTTAATAAGAAGTGAGGATAGTTTATATTCTCCTCAGGTGACATATCATAAGGAAAATGCTCAAAAGATCTAGAGTGTGCTTGTGAGAGCCTGTAAATTCCACCAGCAACGCTGAGTCCCACTGTCCCTGGAATCAATGTCTTTGTTTATTATGATGCTTTGTCCACAGAGTTGCTTGTTCTGCTCTAACACTGCTTGCCATTGGCTTCTGCTAAACTCACAAGATCTCAGCAATAGATACAAAGACAGAGGGAAATAAAGTTTCCTTATCCCCAAGCATGATTTATATGATGCTAACTTACTAGTAGGAAACTGTCTGTGGACAAACGCCGGCTCCCTTGGCCTGAAAGCAAGATGAGCAACACAACCCCATAGTCGCCTTTGACTGGACTTAACCGTCCAGGGGTCCTTTACCTTTTTACCTTACTAGTAGGATACTAGGGCTGGGGGGTCTGACCAGGTACCATATTGGCCTGAACATAAGCCGCACTTTCCCCTCAAATTTTGACCATGAAACGTTAAAGTTTGGCTTACATTCATGACCTTACACCGCCAGCAAAGCGCTGCCACTCTGCCGCTCCCAAGTCTCCCCCGAGCCATTGAAATGAAGGGGGAAAGGGGAAGGCCGCTGGCAAAGTGGTGTGGGGACTGCCCCCCCCCCAGGAAGCAGCCCGGGTATTGTCTTTTTTTCTTTTTCCCCATTTACATTTAAAGGTGCAGCTTATATTCGGGTGCGGCTTATATTCGGGCCAATACGGTATCTCTCTTGATGTAAAAACCCGGATCACCCTTCCAGGCTTTATACATGAATGGAGCTGGCACATGAACAACGAATGTGACTGTCTGGCCATGTTTAGCTTGGCCTTGTGCCTGAATCTCTGAAATTATTATTAATAATGAATATACCACTTAATGCCCAGTTGGTTTCTAAGTAGTTTACAAAACAAAAAACAACACTGTTAAAATACATAATGGTATGCCATAATTGAAGTCCACTGGAAAACAATCCAATTGGGATGTTAAAATGCAAACTTCAGTGATTAAAATATTCACTGAAACAGCCCCGTTAAAACAGCACAATAATTAAAGCAGGAGACCTTAGGTGACGAGATCAAGGGAATGCCAGGAGCATCTTCAAAAGGCAATGGTATGCCAGTACATTCCACAACACTGGTGCCACGAGTGAAAAAGCCTGACACCACATCATTAGGGCATGAATGATAAAACTAATCAGGTTCTGTTTGTTGATCTTAATGGTCTTACTGAGCAGTGGAGGTGAAACTGATTTTTCAGGTAACCATGTCCAGTGTTGTTTAGGGCTGCATATGTAGGTAACAAGATGTTAAAACTGGTTCATTGACCTATAGAACCATAGCAGAGCCTTTAGTGCTGGTGTGATACATGCCCAGTAAGAAGCACAATTAACCACCTGGGCTGTGGCATTCTGTACCAACTGCAGTCTCTGGACTAGTTGTAAGGCAGCCTCACACAGAGCACATTACATTAATCCAAACGTGAGGTTACCAGCACATGAGTCACAGTAGCCCAACTCAAACCCAGGAAAAGTTGAGTTTGGAAGTTCATAAATATTTGTGGAGTTCCACTTTACAAAGAGAGAGAATGTTGAACCAAAGTTAAGCCATAGTAATGGTTATTAGTGGTACGCAAACCAGATCAATGTATCAGTATATTGTAATGTATCTTGGGAGGGCAGATATGCTGAAAGGTGGGGTAAAAAAATCTATTTAACTACAGTAAACTAAACAGACCTTGGTTTCTCTCCCCCTCCTATTACTCAAGTTTCATTTAAAAGAATGTATTTAATTATTCCAATGACTGTAATCTTTAAATGTAAGCAGAGGTCCTTAGAATTCCAATAAATTCTATCTGTCTCACTTAGGATTGTGAAGTATGGTTTGAGAAACATCAACACAGTAGAAGCTGGAGTACTATTGCAGTCTTGTAAACAGCCACTCACCAGTGGTGAGTATAAATAATCTATAATCTATCTAGTCACCTGTAGAGCAGCTTTGCATGGTTGCATCTTCTTTTAGGCCACAAATGAGGCCTAGCAGGCTAGTTAATGTCCTTTGTGGTGCAATTTATTAGGTTATGCTGATCTTAAAGAAGCCAGTGGAAGTTTAACTGTGTAGAAAAAAATACTTGAGAGTCAGGGTTTTCAGATGGAACAATAATAATTGGTGCTTCTAGAATCGTTACTTTTGGTTCTGTTCCTCTAGATCCTCATCTCTCAAACTATGCCAGAGATGACAGAGAAGGCTCCTCTTAAGAAACAACACCGGTAAGTGTCCTGTTCACAAATAGAATTACAATGCAATTCTTCGCCTATCTATTTGGAAGCAAGCTCTATTGAGTTCAGTGAACCTGACTCACAAATAAGTGTGTATAAGATCATGCTTGTCAGTCTCTCTTATTATGTGTCAGCTGTTTGTAAAAAGCCACTACAGATAATGACCTGGACAGCCTTTGCATCAGATTAAATGTAGGTCAGTCTAATGTAAAATAGTTTTCTAGGCAGGTGGTGGCAACGGGAGCATAACAACTTAAGCTTTTACAAGTGTTGCTATTAGGTGAAGTCAAAGACTCTCCAAAGATGATGATGTTCAGTGTTACAGTGGTACCTCGGGTTACAGATGCTTCAGGTTACAGACTCCACTAACCCAGAAATAGTAACTCTGGTTAAGAACTTTGCTTCAGGATGAGAACAGAAATCGCGCGGCGGCGGGAGGCCCCATTAGTTAAAGTGGTGCTTCAGGTTAAGAACAGTTTCAGGTTAAGAACGGACCTCCAGAACGAATTAAGTTCTTAACCTGAGGTACCACTGTATGGTCCTTTGCATGTCATATCTGACATTTTTAAATTTTTAAATAAATGTTTTTCAGTCTGTTAAATGAACAATCAAACAAACCAGTACACCTGGTTTGTTACATGCAACATGAAATATGACCAATCAATAATAAATCCCTGTTCTCACCCTTTGCTGAACTTCCCTTATAACAAGATACGGAAAAGATCTCTGCCAGCAATGTGGGGACAGGTCCATACTTATGTGCCATATCACCACTGGTGTACACTGGTACTGTTCATCTGAACAGTACTTTCTAAGCCCTAGAGTTGAATGTGCTTTAGTGTTTTTAACCCACATTTTATATCCTTGCATCTGCCAAGTTTCTTATAAGACCTCTCCAGATAGGTTATGTTACTTCTCATGTTCACTAATGCACCTTCAGAGAAATGGAAACTCAGCTGCGCCACTGTTCTTATTGCTGAGTTTCTTAGTCATCAATAAGTACAGTGGTACCTCAGTTTAAGAATAGTCCTGTTTACAAACTGTTTGGTTTACGAACTCTGCAAAACCGGAAGTAGTGTTCCAGTTTGCGAACTTTACCTCGGTCTAAGAACGGAAGCCGAACAGTGGAAGGGCACCAGCAGCAGGAGGCCTCATTAGGGAAAGCGTGCCTTGGTTTAAGAACAGTTGGACTTCCGTATAAAGGTGGGTCTCAGTCAGGTAGAGAAGGTATTTTGTTGTCTTTACCCAGATCTGCATAGCCTGCACATGATGAGAAGTGGTTATAACTTAATTTGTTCTCTTTGGTCAAGTTTCTAGTCCCATGATTGGCATACAAGTGTGCAGTCAAACCTACAAAATAAGGAAACTTAGTGCAAAAACATGCTTAGGATAATAAGAGTACATAAAATTATGATAATTTCCATCAGTATGAAAAATACATCACCAACAGGGCAAGAGTTGCTTTGAAGTAAAGGATGGCTGTTCCTTATATAACACAGTACAGTGGTACCTTGGGTTACATACACTTCAGGTTACATACGCTTCAGGTTACAGACTCCGCTAACCCAGAAATAGTGCTTCAGGTTAAGAACTTTGCTTCAGGATGACAACAGAAATCGTGCTCGGCGCAGCAGCAGCAGGAGGTCCCATTAGCTAAAGTGGTGCTTCAGGTTAAGAACAGTTTCAGGTTAAGAACGGACCTCCGGAACGAATTAAGTACCTAACCCGAGGTACCACTGTACACACATCATTAAGCCCCACTGATTGGGGAGTAGTACTATGCCTTTGGCAGGCAATTGGCAAGCCAAAGTGGTAGGACCTTCTCTGTGGTGGCTCCCAGATTCTGAAATTTTTTCCTCATAGAGATTAGCATGGCCTGTATGCTGTGGATTTTAAAATGGGCTCTATAGACTCACCTTTTTCTTTCTGCCTTTTCCTAAAGGCTTTTCCTACAGAGGTATCTACAAAATATAGCTCTGTTTTATTAATCTTTGTAACTGTTTCAAATGGCCTTTGTTAATGTGCTACTTTTGTTAGGTTGTCTTAGGTCATTATATTTATTGTTCTTTTTATGATAATGCAAACTGCCTTGGCTAGGCTGTGTCCCAAAATGTGGCATATATATAATTTAAAAAGGTAAAGGTACCCCTGCCCGTACGAGCCAGTCGTGTCCGACTCTAGGGTTGTGCGCCCATCTCACTTAAGAGGCCGGGGGCCAGCGCTGTCCGGAGACACTTCCGGGTCACGTGGCCAGCGTGACGAAGCTGCTCTGGCAAGCCAGCACCAGCGCAGCACACGGAAATGCCATTTATATATAATTAATGCAAGCCAGATATATATATCTTGGGGATCCTTACATCAAATGTGGTTATTTCTCTTCTCCCTTTTGTGCATTTGCTGGCAGATTAAAGAAAATAGATTGATTAAAGAAAACTTCCTAGATAACAAATATTGTAATTTAGCCATTTACCTGTTACCTTTTTTTTAACAGAAAGAAAAACCGTGAGACTCACAATGCAGGTAAGAGCTTCAGTGCAGCTGTTGTCAGAGTGGAGCGATCATTCCACCAAGCATGCAAATATATGCCATTGCAATCAAAAGAGAAGTCTTATTGTTTCTGGATATGCTATCAATGTACTGTTATACACCTTATGTGTTCTGTTTTTGCTAGTGGAGAGGCATCGAAAGAAGAAAATCAATGCTGGAATAAACCGAATTGGTGAACTAATTCCATGCTCCCCAGCACTGAAACAGGTTAGCCTGCTCTTCATGGCGGCTGAATATTTATTTATTTAAGAAAATTTGTATACCGCTTGGCTGTAATAAAACCTTTAAGTATGAAATATTTAAATTGTCGATGAAAACAGTTAAAACAATTTAAACATTTAAAGATTATTAGAATGATCAGTAAAGAGATGAAAAGACGTCAACATCTACATGTGTGGATAGGCTTGCTAAACAAAAATGATTTAAGCAGACACCAAAAAGACTACAGCGAAGGTGCTTGGGCGATGTCAATAGGCAGGGATTTCCAAAATGTGGGTGCTGCCACATAAAAATATCAATTTCTTACAAGTGTGTAATGAGTATTATGTGGCACCTGTAGTGCTAGTTCCAGTCAAGTGGGCATATGTAGGAGACGTGCTCCAGCAAGTAAACTGGTTTCAAACTGTTTATGTCTTTATATACTAATAGTAACACCTAAAGCTTGGCTCATAAACATATTGCCAACCATTGAACATAGGTGTTAGATACTGACAGGGTCTCACTTCTGTTCAGCAACTCTGCATTGCAGTAATCAAATACTGAAGTTGCTAGTGCCCGAACTGCTGTGGTATACAAATTTAACAATAATAAAAAGTAGGCCTGTTTGTATTTCAGACTGAGTCTCTGAATGTTTTTCCTAATCATCCACATGTTCCCTTGCAGAGTAAGAACATGATCCTTGACCAGGCATATCAATATATAACAGAAATGAAAAGGCAAAACGATGAGCTCCTGCTGAATGGAGGAAACAATGAGCAAGGTGAATGGACTGGCTAGAATACTCTCGCTAGAATACCTCTGTTTTTATTGTACATACATTTCAAACCAAGCATTCTTTGTCCAACTGCTACTCCACCTTTCCTCTGGAAATGTTACCAAATGATAGATTCGCTATCCTGCAGATTGAATGCTGTTTGCTTAATATTTGTGTTTCGGATTGTAATTTTCCTTATCCTAATAAAAGTAGTCCCAATCTTTTATTAAAAAGCAGATTTGCTAATTTTATACCTTGCTAACAACATAATCTTGGTGTGCAGGTATGCTAATTCTCTTTCACAATACAATTTTTATGTGAAGAAGTTGAACATGATTGAAAAAAGCAACAGTAAAGTTAATTCTAAAAAATGTTGCCACACTTGTAAATTACGTTATAGAAGAACTGTAATTTGATAGTTTTTCTAAGTGAAGTTGCCTCTCAGTTATAACTGGAGCTGTTTTCTTCATCCAAACTAAACAGAAATAATGCGGTATTTCTGAATATTCTGCAGCATGGTTGAAATCCAAGTCCCAGTAGTAGTTGTTTATTAGGATTTACATTAGATGATGCCTGTTCATTCTATGATCCCCTAATTTTCATACGACTAATTATCCTTTTTGGAAAAATGCAGTGTGAACTGGAACAATAAAGAAATAATAGAATGAAAGCAATAGAAATGTTTCCTTGCTGAGAGTATAAGGCTGTAGTTTTCTTCAGATGATGAGTTTGTGAAATACAGTTAACATATTGCTCTCTACCAATTCAGGACAGTTGACCCATCTGCCCAGAAATGATTGGCTCCAATTTGCAGTGGGTTTTCTTTCCTGTTACCTATAAATATTGTAGCTAGAGATGCCTGGGATGTGTTGCATGCAACCTGTGTTCTCTCCTTTTAATTCTAAGTCTCTAAGGATGTAATCTGAGTTTGAGTACACATTACCAGTGCTTTTTTCTGCGGGGATGCAGGGATACACATACCCCTAAACATTTTGTGAATCTTTGTACTTTTGTCCATTTATTTGTCTTTATTGTTCCCGATTTGAACCATAAAATGGTGGTTTTCTTGAGTCAAAATGAGAGTACCTCTAAACATTTTTAAAGAAAAAAAGCTCTGCATATTACAGCAGAAACCTATGTTGAGGTGATGAAATGCTATTTTCACTTGCTCCTAAAACAAATCAGCTGTTGTAGACTTTTGCAGAACCTTTGGTCATTGGGCTTTATTCATTTTGTATTTCTCTGCAGCTGAAGAAATAAAAAAGCTCCGGAAGCAGTTGGATGAACTTCAGAAGGAAAATGGGCGCTACATTGCATTATTGAAAGCCAACGACATTTGCCTTTATGATGACCCCACTGTCCACTGGAAACGGAACCTCAAGCACGCAAAAGTTTCTGTTGTTATCCCCAATGATCAGGAGCAAAAGAAGAAAGGGAACCTGAAAAATGCAAAAGTGTCTGTTGTTATCCCCAGCGACCAGCTGCAAAAGAACATCATTGTATATTCCAACGGCAGTCAGCTTGGTGGAAGCAACCAGGGGGCATCAGTCCAAGGAATAACCTTTAATATCAGTCATAATTTACAGAAGCAGACTGCTAATGTTGTTCCTGTCCAGAGGACTTGCAACCTAGTCACTCCTGTGACCATTTCTAGTATCTATTCCACAGAAATCAAATCAGGGCTTCAGACTTCAGTTCCTCCACTGGTATCAGGCCCGTCAAATCCAGCCAAGAAAATTATTGAGCACTCTACCTCTGAGAATGAGCAAGGCCTACCTACTAGTTCTAGTGCTGACAGCTCCCTGAATCCCTTGCAGCTAGTGAGGCTACAGCCTGAAATGCAGAGTTCTCCACAAGATGAAGATGACATCTCCAAATCTAAAAATAAACCAGAGACTTTCAAGTTAATTGAGAAAGCGGGTTTGCCTAGCAACAGCCTTCCTGTCAACGCTAGTGTAGACAGATCTCTGGCTCCGCTGGCAGACATGCCCCCTAAAGAGGATCCAAGAAATGGATCCCTAGAAAGCTGTGTGGTTTCTGCAGCTGACACCACTTGTACTCCATCTGTGATGCTCTCCATTGATGGAAAGCCGTCTGCAGGAAGCATCTTCAAAAGCAGCGGAGGGCCAGCAGCGTCTGCTGTAGAAATCCAGAAGGCTGTAACAGAAATTAACACTTTGCCTGCTGCTTCTATAGATAAGTGGCCTTTTCCCAGTTCTTCAGCTGCTGGCACTTCAAATTCCAAAACCGTGGGTAGCCTGACGCGAATGACTTCTGCTGGAAACACCCAGACTACTTGGACTACTTTGCAACTAGCAGGGAATACTGTTCAGCCTCTAAACCGTACTCTGTCCAGCATAAACGCAGCCCTCTTAAATCAGCCAGTTAACAATGCTAGCATTACAGCATCCACTCCTAACAGGATTTTGGCAACTGCTCCCAGTTTAAATAATCCTCTACCTGCTGGTGAACAAACAGCTGAGCAAATCATGGTTACTTTGCCATCTTACCCATCCTTACCTATGCAGCCGCTAGTCACTAAGACGCAGGTTCTAGCACAACCTGCAAACGGCCTCCTTCCATTGAATCCACCGATGCAGCTGATTCAGGTGCCCCAGCCAGTAGGTCCATCTGTCACTGCACCACCTGCTAAACAAAATGTAGTCATTTTACAGCCTTCAAATGCCAGTGCAGGTCCACCAGTGTTGAGAACTGAAATCCCCAACCAAACTGTTAGCCAGCAGATTGTAATTATACAGACCGCTAACCCAAATCCTCTCTCCCTTTTCTCTGCTCCTCCTCCTCCTCCTCCTCCTCCTATCAGAATGCCTATAAATGGAGCCGCTCCCTCAGCAAGTGCTAGTAACCCTATGCAAAATGCCTCTGGCCCTCATATGTTTGGTGGGAAGCATCTTGTCCATATTTTGCCAAGGCCATCTTCTGCACCATCTTCTGGCTCAACACAAACGTTTTCAGTTGCAATGGCTAACCAACATCTTCCGCAGACTATTTCTTTAAATGGGCAGCTGTTTGCATTGAAGCCTGTGAAGTCCTGTTCTGGAGGTTCGGATCAAACCCCTATGCAAGTTATTCAGCCTACCACCAGTGAAGATCCAAATACAAACGTTGCCCTCAATACATTTGGTGCTTTAGCTAGCCTCAATCAAAGCATATCGCAGATGGCTGGACAGAATTGTCTGCAGGTGTCTACCAGTCAGCCTACAAATCCATCAACGGTCAGCAGCCAAACCACACCAAGTACCCATGTTCTGCTGGCAGCTACAGCAGCATCCTCTTCTGCTGCTGAGAATGTAATGTTAACCAGTGTTTCGTGCTCAGTGGGTGCTTCTCCCCCCAAAACCTCATTTGGTCTGGCTTCAAAATGGTCTAATAAAAGTACTAAGAAATGCTTGGTGGCCAGCAGCAATCTTGCATGTCGAGTGAATTCTTGCAAAGATTTGAAGAACCTTGATAGTGGGGATGTGGAGGCTACCCCTGAGCATTCAGGAAGTGACATCTTGCTTGAAAACATGCCTGATAATGTGGTGTTGCAAAGCTTAGCCATATCACAAGCAAATAGGGCAGCACCTAACGATGTTGCCCAAAATGATGCTTCCAATTCACATCCCAAAGAGAGACTGAGAGCTGAACAAGACATGGAAAGCACCCTGGCCTCTGACCTGAATGCAGCTATAGTGCCGAGATCGTTGCCCCTCGAATCAGCCTCCTCAGAACAGTTTGAAGTGGTTGCTCCCGTCTCCAGAGAGTGTGCATCTCTGCCTCCTCAAACTAATTCAGCAACAAATTCTAAGTTATCAGAATCACCCAAATGCATCCCCACCAGCCCTTTAACATCTTCTGACTCTCAGGTGACAGCTTCTCATATTTCTGGGACATCTGTGGCAAACAGTGGGGTGAGTGCAGAGGGTGTTCCCAGAACAGAGGTGTCTGAAATCTGCACAATGGAACAAAATTGTTCCATAGTCATGCAGGCCAGTGATTTGTTAGAAGAGCAAGGCCTGACCAAGATTTTCTCTGATTTCAGTAAAGTGGGAGAAGCTGTGGAAAAAAACTTCTCGGTCCAAGTTGAACACCCTAATTTTCGCACCCAAAACACTAAATCAATTATAGACTCGAATGACTTGGCAGAGAAGCAGGAGGGGCTCTTGCTGGTGAACACTGAAGAGGAAAACCTTGCACAGTCTCATTCCTGTACCTCTGAACAAGAAACAGTCACTGCTAACAGACAAGCAGACTCTCCCATGTCAACTAGCTCAGGCAGCAGTTGTGGATTCTCAGTTGCATCCATGTTGCCAGACACATGCAGGGAAAATGTTCCCAACAACACTTCAGTGAATACATGCAACAGCTGTAACTTTTCAGAGCAAACGGATATTGTAGCTTTGGCAGCAAAAGCCATTTTTGACCAAGAGGCCCATGCAAAAGCAGCCGTGTCGGGAGCTGCTGTTTCCAAGGATGATGAAGTGGCATCTCTAAGAAGAGACCAGTCTCTTAAGTCTCACACCATTAAAGAGGCAGACCAGATAGAAACAGTGCCAGGAAATTTCAGCACCCAGAATGCAGTGAAAATAAACGTTGATCGGTCAGTCGAGAAACAAAGCTGTTCCGTTGGAGTGGAAGTGTCCCGTGTAACCTTGCAAATTCCAGCCTCCCAGTCTTCAAGCACATCAAGCTTAAGTGTCAATAATCTCATCCATCAAAGCTGCATCATCCACCCTGTTGTGAGCTGCTCAGCTTTACCCCCAACTTCAGACCAATCAGCTGTTCCTGTGACTATGACTCCATCCATGCCCACTAATCCCTATATGACTCAGTCTCCAGGACATTCTCCAGTGCTAATGACAGATTATGCTTCAGAGCAACTGTCTGCTGTTCGGACCAGCACCATGCAGGCTTCTCAGATGCATGAGCCACACTTAAAGCAGCAAAGCCAGGAGAGCCGCAAAGACTCTGTCAAACGTTCTCTTCCAGATGATCACCTGCTTTCCACGCCGAAGAGACAGAAACACTGCCAGACGGCACCTATGCAGCTTGAAGGGATGGCTTTACTGAACCAAACAGCTGACGATATTTCAGATCAAAGTCGAATCCTTGTCAACCAGATCCCCTCCAACTCCTCCAATATGGCAGTATCAGGGAGCAGTCAAGGGCACACGGATAGTCTTAGCCGGCTGTTCCCAACCAGCAATTTTGTGCCACCTGCTCTGAGGCAAGCTGAAATCCAGTGTAATTCTCAGCCTTCTGTCCCGGATCAGTCAGGACAGCACCTGCAACCTATTCAACATGCTCCCACTCAAGGAATGACCCACCTTCATAGCAATCCGTATATAAAGCAGCAGCAGCAACAACAACAGGCTGGACAGTTAAGAGAAAGACATCAGTTGTATCAACTCCAGCATCACATTTCTCATGCAGAAAGCCCTATCCATTCGCAAGCCCTCAGCGTCCACCAGCAAAGAGTAATGCATCAGGAGGCACAAATGCAGAAGAAGAGGACCCTCATCCAAGCAGCCCAGCCCACCACACTTGCTCTGCAGCAGAAGCATCATGGGAACGACCAGTCGCGGTCAAAGAGCAGCCAGCCCCACCCCCATCACCCACAGATGCAGCAAATGCAGCAGCACTATCCATCTTCTCAGCCCGAGAAGACATGCGAGAACCCCACTGCAAACAGAACTCACCACAACCATCCCCAGAGCCGTCTGAATCAGGACATTCTGCACCAGCAAGCACCAGATGTGGGCAACAGACAGACAGGTTCTGGAGTTTCTTCTGAACACGTGCCAGGACATGGCCAGATGCAAAGACTTATGACCTCCAGGGCTTTGGAGCAGCAAATGGTGTCCCAGCCTAGTATTGTCACCAGGTCATCCGACATGACCTGTGTCCCCCACAGACAAGAAAGAAACAGGGTTAGCAGCTACTCCGCAGAGGCACTTATTGGAAAGACGCCCTCTAATTCAGAGCAGAGACTAGGAATATCCATTCAGAGCTTGAGGGCTTCAGATAATCTTGAAATGAGAAATTACCTTGATGTGTCTAGGAATAAAGGATTGGTAATCCATAACATGCAAGGACGCATGTCAGTAGACCACACAGTTGGAGCAGATGTTCAAAGACTTTCTGAGTGCCAGACATTCAAGGCAAATGGCACGAACCAGCAGTTTGATGTGCAGTCCTCAAGGAACAGTGAAATAGGGACCTCAATGTCATCCCTCAGAGGTATGCAGACACAGGCTTTTCGAATTGCCCAGAATGCTGGACCACCCATAGACAGACAGAAGAGGTTGCCCTATCAGCCAGTTCAGGGCATCTCAGCAGGAAATGTTCTTCCTCCCCCAAGAGACAATGAAAATACCTGCCACCAAAGTTTTATGCAGAGTTTACTTGTCCCTCATCTTGGAGAGCAAGTCGGTGGAGGCCAAAGACCAATTGCAGAGCACCAGAGAAATCCACAGTGTGCCACTTCTTCTATTGTTGAATATAATTGCCCCCCAGCAAGAGACAGTATTCACATTCGAAGAGAAGGCGATGGTCAGAACAGGGAAAGTTGCGATATGTCTCTTGGTGCTATTAATAATAGGAACAATACATTAAATATTCCCTTTTCAAGTTCCTCTGGAGATATTCAGGGTCGCAATACCAGCCCCAATATTTCTGTTCAGAAATCCAACCCCATGAGAATGACAGAGAGTCATGGAACCAAGGCTCACATGAATGCTCCAGTTTCTAGCAATGTGCATGGAGTCGTCCGACCTCCTCTCACCCACCCACCCGTCTCTCGGAACGCCGAGCAAGTCCCACCGTCAGTTCGTCAACCCAATTCTTCAGTTACTCAGCGATCAAGACACCCTCTCCAAGATAACAGTGGTTCTAAAATTCGCCAGCCTGAAAGAAATCGTTCTGGAAATCAAAGACACGGAAATGTCTTTGATCCTAGTCTTCCCCACCTTCCTTTGGCTGCCAGTGGTAGCATGATCCTTGGAAGGCAACAACCTGCTCTAGAAAAAAGAGGCAGTATTGTGCGATTCATGCCTGAAGGACCACAAATGACTAATGACAGTGCAGCTCCTGATCAGCACAGTCTGTCTCAAAATTTTGGATTCCCTTTTATTCCAGAGGGTGGAATGAATCCCCCCATAAATGCCAACGCACCGTTCATCCCACCAGTGACTCAGTCTAGTACTACTCGAACACCAGCCCTGATTCCAGTAGATCCTCAAAATACGTTGCCATCTTTTTATCCGCCATATTCTCCTGCCCATCCCACCCTTTCCAATGACATTTCAATCCCTTATTTTTCGAACCAGATGTTTCCTAATCCAAGCACAGAGAAGCCAAGCGGTGGAGGTTTAAACAATCGCTTTGGCTCCATCTTGTCTCCTCCCAGGCCAGTGGGCTTTGCCCAGCCAAGTTTCCCCCTTTTGACAGACATGCCCCCAATGCATATGGCCAATTCATCTCACTTGTCCAATTTTAATTTGACTTCTTTATTCCCAGAGATTGCTACAGCTCTTCCTCCAGATGGTTCCGCAATCTCGCCTCTGCTCTCCATAGCGAACACATCTGCTTCTGATTCTTCCAAGCAGTCATCAAACCGGCCTGCTCACAACATAAGCCATATTCTAGGTCATGATTGCAGTTCGGCTGTATGAAATGTGGTGGCCAGGAGTTAGAATGGTGAATTGTTTTATGTGCGTAGTATGCATATTTGTGTATATACATGCATGTGTCCATGTATGCATTTGGGATTGCCATCCTTGAAAAGACCACTCGAAGCATCACTGTTTGTGGGGAGTATATATACAATAGCAGGTGCTTCTGTCTTTCTACATACCCGTGTTGCTAAAGTAGCAGGTGCCTATCTCAATGCTTACTAGTAAGAGTAAGAATCCAACACCTTGATCTGTCTTAACAGAGTTCCAGATCATCACCCCCTGTGCCAAGATGAGCCTAGTGCAAAATTAAGCCCAGGGAAACTGAAGAGTTGCATTTATAGTTCTTGGTTTTTCTTTTTTGCCCAGGAAGTAGACAGGTGAGGGTCTCAAACACATCTCAGATTGGTACAAAGGTTTTGAGTCAATGCACACTAGATCACTTTTACTATTTGTGTTGAAGTTTATCATAGACATCTTTCATAGGGCTGACTTCATGTGATGAATTCTGACGGGCATTTAAAGCTTAGTGCCATGCCTAGCTTCTGAGGAACTGTATTAACGTATCGTGTAATGGGAAATACTGCCTCTCTTCTGAAACATATAGTTTAATGCTCTCCTCCTGAGGCTTTTATTTTTAGCATTGTTTCTGCTAACAATCCATAGAATTTTTTTAAAAACCATTTATGTTCAGTTCAGTTCATGCATGTTGATTTCTCCCCCGCAGCTTGTATGCTGTGAGTTTCTCAGGGTATCCTTTTTATGTCCTGCTTATCACTTTTTTGAGGAGGGGAATTCTCTCCATTTTTACCATTGTAATGTTTTTCTTTCCTTTTCCCTCAGATAACTCTGGTAACCTGAGAGCATGTAATAGGAACAAATATTGTTGGGTGAAACTGTAGGCAAATACAACATTAGTATTAAGTGCTTATTTAAATGTATTCGTTTGCACTTACAAAGCACCTTCTGTCCAGAAACGCTTTGCTGGGAACAGAAAGAGGAGCGTGTGAAGTTTTGAGCACTTAGCAAAATGGGATGGTCTTGATGAGGCAAAGTTACAGGGGAGAAGCACTTGTCAGTAACTTAATAGATGAAATGTGGCAAGTAACAGGTGAATGGCTCATTTTCTCTTGTAATTGTTACAAATCCTTTTTTTTTTTTTTGCACCCTTTTGGATAGTTTAAAACATACAGCAATATTGTTTCAAAGAGTCTTCCTCAGCTGATGGTGGCCAGGCTATGACCCTGGCAGTAAAAAAAATTGGCCTGGAATACTTCCTTGGTGATTGCTAGCTTCTTTGTGGGACTTAAGGAGAAAAAACTTAGGCAATTAGATAGCCGGAAGAACCTTAGAGGTAGCATATAAAGGGATCTTAGAATGGGTATAGTATATAGTCATTGCTTAGTAAATGTGCTGAAGTTACAGCGTGGGTCTGTCTCGGAATAGCGATTCCTCAGCAGCACCAGTTGCTTTGAGGGCCTCCTGTCTCAGAACAGGGGTCCTCATGGGAATTTTTAATCTCCAGTGGGAAATCTGAAGTGGCTTGGTCAGAATCAGAACTGTAGGAATATCCACAAGCTTGGCTTTTTAATGAGTACCCCAGAAGGTTCACTTGGCCAAGTTAGCTTCCTAGTATTGCAGTGGCTGATTCACAAAGGGTAAGGTAAGACAGAACAGCTTCCATGGACCTGCGTGACACATGCCTGAAAACCGAGGGAATTTGAATCTTGGACTCTAAAAGAAGGGCGTGCAAGGTTACCATTGATTTGTAATAGCATATTTCTGCTTTGAAGGATGTGCCTTCAGTTTGCCCTGGAGTTCAAGTGTCCTTATGTGCTTCAAAATGCTATCCTCTTGGCTCACCTTTTCAGGGTAGGACCCATGGCTTGTTGCTTTCTTCTAACTCCAGCTATAGTAGCTGCCACATAACATACATTTTTGTCCATCAGCAATGGCAAAACAAGCCGTTTCCTCTTAGAATCCAGTGTGTGAAGGTAAACTTAGAACCCCAGGGCATCCAGATTATTTTTAAAACTGCGAACAGCTCTCTTGGCCATAGTTTGTGCATAGCGTGTTGGGAAGCATCTAGCCTCATGGTGATTTCAGTTCATTGGCTTGGCAGGGTCATTCAGCCTGGATCTCTGGGTCTCCAAGTGCTTGGGGAATTCATCACTGTGAAAGAATGTATGCTACCATAGTTGTCATCAAGAGCTCGATTCCATATATATTGTCTCAAGAAAAGGGTGGATACAGTAATTATTTTCAAAGGGCATACTAGCATGAGAAGACATATGTATGTATGTGCAGACATCAAAAACACATGGATTCCTAGCATAATTTTCTCAAAAGCAATTGTCAAGTAACCAGTTATTTGGATTCTTCATTCCATACGTCATTCCAGCTACTTGGTTCAGTTTGGAGACTTCTCTGTGTTGTACGATTTAACCACTTAAGAGATGTCATAGAATTGTCTCTGAGTTTCTGATAATATCACTTGGATAATGTCTGAAATGAACATCTATTTCTTCGAAGGCTTTATCTCTTGCTGCATAAAAGTCTTGTCATTTGCCATGATTAATAAGTAAAAGTGGTGTATTTGACATGCCTTACTCCACATAACTCATTTCCTAAGGATGTGGAATTGTTCCTTAGTGTTCTGCTCCCCCCAAAAAGCTGCAAGACCCCTTAAAAATCCTTAACTATTCAGCCTGTTTAAGTTTGTTAGACATGCACTAATTGTGTTTGAGGGGTTTTTTGTAGTGCAGAAATCAGAAGGACTACCTTGGTTGTCCATAGAAAAGTTAAAAATTCAAATCAATTATTATTTGCTAAATTTATAACACACTCTGCTGAAGGAGCCTAGGGCAGCATTCACATCAAATTCCTGCAATTGCTACAAGTAATTTAATTCTGTAATGAAAGAGGACATAGCAGGTTAACTCTTTTCTGTTGTGGGCCCCATGCTAGGGGGTGGAAGGGGCACTTTGCTGTGCTACTTGTATACACATGCCAAGTTTCTGTTTTGTCCCAGTGAAAATGGAGAGCTCTGTGTTGCATTGGTTAGTCGAGTATTTTTTTAAAGCACTTGAAAAAGTCTTGAAGCACTTGAAAAGGTCTGCAGTGTCTGATACAAACTTTATGGTCTGATACAGACTGATACAAACTTTATGGGACTATGAACATTAACTTTTTAAAAATTATTCATAATTAGTACACACTGGTTTTTCAAAAAAATATTCTGGTCTTGAAAACAGAAGGGGAAGAAAACTGCTACTTTATAGAAATTATGATGTTGTGCCTTGACACTGCGTTGGTGTTGCCTCACTGTTCTATAGCTTACATTGTTTAACCACCTTCCACCCCCCGTTTTTAGTTGGTTGTCCTATACAGTTAGTGGTACTCCTAGTATTGAGAAGAATCAGTTTTCTTATTTTGCATCAGAGGAATTCAGGTTAAATACTCAAATAATAAGGAGCTGAGGAAACTTAAAAAAGAGTGACTTTCCAAGACAAACATGGCAAGTTAGAATCCTAGTTTTCCTGGCTTACCTTTATACTGTTCTATATTTGTCATAGAAGTTCATTTCTATGCAAAAGGTTGTGGATTCTGTAAACTGGTTAGATGTGGTTTAAGTGCAGAGAATGGGGAAGGGCTGAAAACAGGCCATTCAATATGAGAAAAGGCTTCTGCATGTTATTTCTTCTGAGCCAATATCTATTGTGACCCTCCCCTTTGCTCCCCATGGTTTTTATTTTAGTTCTGCCTCCGCCATCAAGTTAGCAAGACATCTACAGAGCTGGGAGGGTGTATGTTTTAAATTCTGTAAATTGGTGTCTATTTCCCACTTTTCCGACGAAGGAAAAAATTAAGACTGCTAAACCGTTCAGTGTGTTCTGTGGTATAAGCTAATAGATCAACCACTTCTGTGGGCTTTATCTATATTACATCTTCTTACAAGGATTTTCTGGTAGACACAACTGTGGTAGATAGCTGCTAATGTGAACCTTAGTGCTGTTAAGACCTTTTTAAAATGTCTGTCTTGACATTGTCTGCGGTGGCAGCTTTGCTGTCATAAGTGCTGGAGGAGCTTGAGCGATCGCAGGGAGTTCCGTTTAGCCGAAAATTGTCGTGTCTCAGTAGAATCCTTGGAGTACAAACTGATACAAAGCCCATAAATTCAACCACAACTTATCTCCTCCTTTCAGGCAGTTGTGTTCTTCACTAAAGAGCCAACGTGCAGAGATCTTCTCTCTCTCCTTTGCAGAATGTGCTGAACAAATTGGTCTGTTATGTACTAGCAAGCCATTTGACTCATAGATCTCTTAGCTTTATTTTCTTAATACCGCTGTCCAGTTTAGTAACATTGCTGTCCAATTTTGTAATCTTATCAAGATCTTTTGCATTATGCGTGACCTTCTAACCAGCACTGCTTAAGGGAGCTTTAAAAAAGCAACACTTGGCAGTTTGTAGGTCCTATGGGATGCCAGACTGGACACGTGAACCATTGTGCTGTTCTCACTATCACATGCAAGTGAGTTGCATGTAAATATAGAAGCTTTAACGGAGTGTGCATATCACATCTTGTATTGTTTCTGCTGGGTGCAAGCAGACAATGGGAGCAATTATGGAAAACTGGATACCATACAGATTATAGGTTGTGTGGCATCCAGCTTTTGGTAGATTGCTTCATCTCCAAGCCAGAAGCGGACATCCCGATCCCCTTATGATTCCCTTAAACAACTCCGAGTGAGCGACGCTTCCCTCTTCTCTTGAAAGTAACAAATGTATTCCCTTTATTTGCGCCACAGTTTTTCTGCAGTGCATCCCCTAAAATCCTACATACAGCCTCTAGATTCTTTCAAGCCCTAGTACAGAAATGTGTGGTGATGCTGATCAGGCACACAAATTATTGTAAATAAGATTTTGTTCCGTTTATTTTGACATCTTTTTACAAATTCGTTGCATTCAGATGTAAATATTTACAACAGTGGTTTTGATGAAAGGTCTCAGATTTTTATTAAATGTAACAATTTATTGATTGTAAAAATTGTATAGATACGAACAAAATGGTATTTTATTTTAAAAATGTACAGTTTGTGTACTTTCATTTTTGCATACTCTATATACTTTCTAGTTCCACTTCCTCTCCCCCTTCCAGGAAAAAAACCCCAATGCCTGTGATCCTGTGCTTAAATCCTGGCTGCAAGTTGCAGCCAAAGTTTATAAACTGTAATTTTTTAAAGAAAAATGTAAAGAATTTAAAGTCAAGAAATTCTTTTTGTGGTTTTTAACTAATTTTAACTTCTTTGATCTGCCTACTTCTGCATTGTAGATGGATTTATCATTTTAAATCGGCTAGCAAGTTTCACTTAAGAACGCCTCTATGTTTACAAACTGGGTCCATATACTCTCATGTTCCTTTTTTATCTGTTAGCAACTTTGACTAGCTGATCCAAATTCTGCCTGTCACCCCAACCCTGGCTAAAAGTTTGGGGGGGGGGATGAGACCAAAAGAAACAGCCTGATTTGGCCTATTCTCCTGGGTTCCCTTCCTTCTAGAAGTTTATAGCATATGCTTGGTCTGTTCAGTATTTGGACTGTGCTTTTAAAGAAAGACAAAAAGACTGGCATGAACATGAAATGAAAGGCTCTAAACTTACAAATCAGAAGCACAAGGAAACTACTGTTTAAACATCTATTTAGGTAATGGAACACTGAAAAAAATGCAATGTATAATACATACGAAGTAACAACAGTGCTTCACTTACATTCTGTCAAAAGTTCTTAGCTGAAGGGCAGGCTGATATTTTACCCGTTGACAATGGAAGGCGTCCTGAGTCTCAGAGACAGAATTGTGCCCATAGCTACCAAGTTTATGTCCGAGGCGGAATTTGAAACAGAGCCTTTCCACCTCACACTGTCCATTGCTGGCCCCAAGTTTTATGAAATACAGTGGTGCCCCGCAAGACGAATGCCTCGCAAGACGAAAAACTCGCTAGACGAAAGGGTTTTCCGTTTTTTTGAGTCGTTCCACAAGACGAATTTCCCTATGGGCTTGCTTCGCAAGACGAAACGTCTTGCGAGTTTGTTTCCTTTTTCTTAAAGCCGTTAATAGCCGCTAAGCCGCTAATAGCCGTGCTTCGCAAGACGAAAAAACCGCAAGACGAAGAGACTCGCGGAACGGATTAATTTCGTCTTGCGAGGCACCACTGTACAAAGGTTGATAAGGATTTGAAAAGGGGTTCATGAATACCGTCTCTCCAGACTCTTGAGTTCAACCTCTAGGCAGCAGACATGGAGGAGTTACAAGTTAGGGGTGCAGAAGCAGCTTTGGGTGGGTTTGTTTGTTTTTAGTTGATATAAGAATGGAACTAATTTTGTTCTGAGTTCTCAGGTTTCTTTTAAACATTTGATGGCATTTGACACGACGACATTGTAAAACACATCAGTGCAGAATTTCAGCACCTGGTACTTTGATACAAAAGTACTTTTGCCCAGGTAAGCAGACAGCACAGTCTGAGCTGGTTTAATAGCTGGTTTAAGAATTAACAGCAGAATGGGCAGATATTTGGGTAGATTCCATCGATACACTTTTGGAATAATTACTACCTTACCTAGTCATAGTGAACCAACTTTTCATTCAAAAATTTAGCAGAGCAGGGGGCAAACAAGAAACGCAGGGCCCTGCTATGTATAATCTAAAATAAAGCAATTTGGGAAAAATGTAAGAGTTGCTTCCTAAAACCATTCCTCTTCTCAAGAGAAAGGCATACTTAAGAAAATAATCCATTTGGCATTCACAGCAAATGTTAATAATAATAACTGCAGCTTTCGGAAAAGAATTCATGAGCAGTCTGCTGCAGCAACAGCCAGAAGAGAGAGGGGACTCCTAGACCTTGAAGTATCGTAACACTGCAATACACAGAGCCTTTTACCCTCTTTGAGAACAGAACCAAAACTGTCATTTCAGTTCAAGGGGCCTGAAAAATGGCTTTCTAAATAATAACATGATGGCAGGGAGAGGAGCGGCAGATTGTGGATGAGGAAGAGAACACCTAGACTCATAGAGTTGGAAGAGACCACAAGGGCCATCGAGTCCAACCCCCTGCCAAGCAGGAAACACCATCAGAGCACTCCTGACATATGGTAGTCAAGCCTCTGCTTAAAGACCTCCAAAGAAGGAGACTCCACCACACTCCTTGGCAGCAAATTCCACTGTCGAACAGCTCTTACTGTCAGGAAGTTCTTCCTAATGTTTAGGTGGAATCTTCTTTCTTGTAGTTTGGATCCATTGCTCCGTGTCCGCTTCTCTGGAGCAGCAGAAAACAACCTTTCTCCCTCCTCTATGTGACATCCTTTTATATATTTGAACATGGCTATCATACCATACCTGTAGCCTAGATTGGAAAGCTCCTTTCTGAGGCGTGTGCTTTTCCCTTTCAGCTGTGCTATTCAAATTAGCCAAGAAATAACTCTCTGAGGAAGAAGGGTACAGGGTGGGTGCAATTTTTAAATTGGAATTTAAATAAAATGGTGGTGGGCTGTTATTGGCAGACCGGGGTGGGGTCAAAGCATTCCTGTACAGGAGCAGACAGGATGCTCCATTGTAAACTAATAGTGATAAATTAAGCAGTTGGGTATGAGTATTAAAAAGGATAACAGCTTACCATAAACATCAGAAGAATCAGACTAAGAACCATAGTTTCAATGGCCAATACATGCTTGATTTTTCAATACAAGAGATCTCTCGAGTCTCAACACTATTGCACTTATACCCGCTGTTTCCAGGCAGTGAGTGGAAGCAGAAGTTCCACCACTAAAATTCACATTGGGGAGTAAATTTTATTCTTCATCAGATGGCTGAAAAAGATCTGCAACCCCCAGATAATTATTCTCATCTCTCTACTTTCTACCAACAATCTGGCATACAAGCCTGAGCCTTCCAGTTGCAAAAAGATTCTTGTCCTCTGTTCAGGTCTTCCTTATTTGCCGGTTGAACACGTTTCTTCCCAGTGCACACTTGGTGCGCATTGTGTACACCAACAAGTTTGTTTTCCGTCAACTGTCCTGGGCTGGCAACACAATGGGTTTGAGCAAGCACCGCCAAAACTTCCTGCGGTTCAGAAAACGGGTATCTTGTCTCTCCGCACAGAATCCAAGTCGTCATCCAGAGTCAACAGGACCTGGAACAAAGCAGGGCAGAGATTGGAGTCTGGTCTTCCGGGTGGTTCTGCAGAACACACTCTCCCGTGTCAGCAAACCCCAAAGCAGGCAGGCAAAGGTCAACTCAGCCTCCTGCGGAAGCAGAGACGACACCCCTGATGCCCCAGAAGAAAAGGAACCTTTCAGGTTCTAGATGGTGTTGGCCACTCCCACCAACCTTTGGGAACAAATAACGGTGGGGAGATAGCTTAGTTGGTACAACATGCGACTCCTAATGTCAAGGTCATGGGTTCAAGCCCCATGTTGGATGAAAGAAAGCAGGGGATGGAAGTAAATGATCTTTGCAGTTCCCTCGTGGGATTATTTTTAGCAGGAAACGAGTATGGAGTTTGAGTGGGCACATAATTTTCTATCTGCAGAAGCCTATTCCTGATTATTAGCTGCTTCTATTCTTCCTCCCCAAAAGGGAAGCAGGTGGCGCTGTGGGTTAAACCACAGAGCCTAGGACTTGCCGATCAGAAGATCGGCGGTTTGAATCCCCTCTATGGGGTGAGCTCCCGTTGCTCGGTCCCTGCTCCTGCCAACCTAGCAGTTCGAAAGCACGGCAAAGTGCAAGTAGATAAATAGGTACCACTCCGGCGGGAAGGTAAACAGCGTTTCCGTGCGCTGCTCTGGTTCGCCAGAAGCGGCTTAGTCCTGCTGGCCACATGACCCGGAAGCTGTACGCCGGCTCCCTCGGCCAGTAAAGCGAGATGAGCGCCGCAACCCCAGAGTCAGCCACGACTGGACCTAATGGTCAGGGGTCCCTTTACCCTTTTTATTCCTCCTCCCCACCCTATCAAACACAAATTGTCAGGGGAACAGAAAGAGAGGGCTTCTCTAGAGCAGCCTGCACCAGCACTCTTCTCGCCCAAGGCTATACATTTTAGCCTCTTGTGGGGGTTGGCCCAGGAAAGGATCTAAAAGCAGAAAGGCCCATCTGTGTGCAGAAGGCCCCAATTCAAATGCTGCAGCCATCTTATCCTTGCACAATACATGCGGTTACATTTTGAGAAAACCAGTGCAGCTCGCTAAAGATTGCTTGGGACAATTTGGGCCTGCTTACGTGGGCTGCATCTGTCCCCTTGATTCTTGGGCTTTGATGGAGCTTGTATAGATCCTATTTGGGATCTGTTCCAGACAAGTGATGCCCTGCCCCAGTGCCCTCTCCGGGCAGAAGGTGATGGTGAGTTGGGGGGCGGGGGGCTCACACCATGCCCTTCAATCTTCGCCACCATTAGGAAATTCATGTATTAATTCAGTTGCAGCAGATAAAAAGAAACAAATTCTGGCATGAATTTATGTTGTTTGAGGCTCCCAGAAGGCGTTCGGCATTTTGGGGTGTGTGACCATTTATATTAAACTTTAACTTGGAGGCATAAAAAGCCACAGTGACCACTCACAGCAGCAGTGAGTGAGAACACAAACATATTGATTAAGGCCCTGCCTGCACACTTACAAGCAGTATCCTACCAAACTGAACACCAGTTGCTGGGGAATAATGATTAGCATGAGAAGGCTATTGGGCACATTTCTTGCTTGTGAGCTTCCCATAAGCATCTGGTTGGCTGTTGTGAGAAAAGGGTCCTGAACCTTTGGCCTGATCCAATAGGGCTCTTCTCTCTCTCTCTCAATTACAGTGGTACCTCAGGTTAAGTACTTAATTCGTACTGGAGGTCTGTACTTAACCTGAAACTGTTCTTAACCTGAAGCACCACTTTAGCTAATGGGGCTTCCCGCTGCCGCCACGCCGCCAGAGCACGATTTCTGTTCTCATCCTGAAGCAAAGTTCTTAACCTGAAGCTCTATTTCTGGGTTAGCGGAGTCTGTAACCTGAAGCGTATATAACCTGAAGCGTATGTAACCTGAGGTGCCACTGTAAGTCTGACCTGCATGTCCATTAAAACCACAACAAGTATTTAAGGTCATGTGTGCGAATGCGCTGAGTGTGCTATGACATGGAACCAGGTGAGACAGGAAGCCTATCCAGCATGACATTGATAGAGGGACTTTAAGGAAAACCTTACCAAGAAGGAGAAGAAGAGTGCGGCCGCTGAGAGGAAGTGCCAGACATCATGATCGTCAAAGAATCCCAGAAGGATGCACGGGCGGTTTATCTCTCGGGACTCTGCGGGAGTTTCCTACAGAAAAGATGGGCACAGGCAGTGAATTCCAGTTCGGTCTCAAAAGTTCTGTCTTTCTGGTGCTGTGGAGAAATTCCTACCACATGTGTGCTCCCCCCCGGAAGCAGGGGAAAAATATTTTGGGGGAGTGAGGGGGATATATGCCATGATGCCTTCAGCAGATAATCATGACTTTGGAAGAGGCCTTGTTAATAATTCTTCAGCAAACCATTGGCGGTATCGTATCCCTTGACTACTGGGGCTGACTGGGATACAGGCGACTCTCCATTTACACGTGGGTTATGTTCTGCCCCCCTGCATGCAGAAGTGAAATAAGGACCCCACGGTGCCTCCAGCTCGTGAGAAGACCTTCCCCAGAGCCTAAACAGGATAATAATAATAATACATTTTATTTATATCCCGCCCTCCCCAGCCGAAGCCGGGCTCAGGGCGGCTAACAACAATAAAATAGTACAACATTCTAAAATCATTTCATTCTAAAATTAATTCCAATCAGATTAATGGGAACCATTGGGCTATAGTCCTGTGAGGATTGCCAAAGGAGGGAGTCAGACTGTGCCTTGGCCAAAGGCCTGGTGGAACAGCTCTGTCTTGCAGGCTCTGTGGAAAGATGTCAAGTCCCGCAGGGCCCTAGTCTCTTGGGACAGAGCGTTCCACCAGATTGGGGCCACGGCCGAAAAAGCCCTGGCTCTGGTTGAGGCCAGCCTAACCTCTCTGTGGCCTGGGACCTTCAGGATGTTTTTGTTTGAAGACCGTAAGTTCCTCTGTGGGACATACCAGGAGAGGCGGTCCTGTAGGTCCTCTTTGGGCTCCGGGGAGTGTCTCCTCACAAGCCAAGAAGCACACTGGGGCTTTTTGGCTAACAGCTGATGCACAGGAACTGTAGCAGCAGCAGCTGCTTTCCTGTGCATCAGCTGTTAGCCAAGAGGATGAAGAGCCTCAGCAAAGCCCCGCTGCACCTCCGACTCATGAGGCAGAGCTTGGTTGAGGCTCTTCAAGTCTTTCCCCCCACTTCCGGGTTTCTGGGGTCGTGTGGTTTTAATATGTGTTAACGGGGGGGGGGGGTGCCTGTTGCAAGCTCTCATTGCTTGTAACACTATTATTCCTGTAGTGCTTGGGGAGAGGCGAAGTTGTATCACTTCCACGGATGTCCTGTGCATTTGGCTGCAAACCCCACTCATGCCTGCAATCCTGAATAGCAAGGATATTGGGTACATTCTATAAACTTTTTCACAGACCTCCCAAGAGCATGAGGTGGACAACTCGGCATAAATAAAGGGCAGGTTCTGCACAACTGGTTCTCGTTAATATTTGGCGTGTCGCAGCATTTGAAACAACAGGGTGGCAGAAATAAAACGTTGCCCAGGAGATTGAGGTGTAAGTCTGAAGACAGGGATTCAAATTGGAAGGCAGAGCAAATAAAGAGTTACAGGCTGCTCCCTCCAATACCTGCAGCTGTTTACTGCAGTAAGTCTTCAAGATTGCAAAGGCCATGCCAAGCAGACAGTCCTAGTAGGCCTTGCCCATCTAGCCTAATGCCTGGCAGCAGTTATTCAAGATCTCCAGCACAACTCTTGCCAAATTTCCCCCCCAAGATCTTCTTTAACAGAAATACCAGGGATTAAACTTTAAGCATGTGGATCACGTGCAGGTTATTATTATTATTATTATTATTATTATTATTATTATTATTAGGCTGTGGGGGGTGGCTTTGGGCAGTTAGATCATTTTGGAAATTCGTGAGTATTGCAAGCGTTAGAAAGCTTGGAGGAAATCAATTATACACTGTATTTCTAAATTTATGTATGTTGTGCCTGAAGCGCAAGAGAGGGCAACAAATGAGGAAACCTACCTCCCAGCTGCTAAGGTTTTGGAAGAAGAAATAAAGGGCTGCGGCCCAAACCACGGCTGTGGCCACGATGCAGAATAGAGGGATGAGCAGAAGCCTCTCTGAGCTGCGGAGCTGAAAAGGGAAAAACCTTAAAATAGTCCCCTCCAATAAATGATATTTGAGCAGACACTTCCCAGGAGAACATTTAAGCCAAAGGGGTGCATCATAAAGATTTGGATCCCCACCCAAACAAATCTCTGCTGCTGCTGCTGCTTTTTTGCCAGTCATTGATTTGAACCTAGAGTGATAAAAATGTGCTTCAATTTGCTGGAAGTTACTTTTCATACGGTGGTGTCCTTGGCAATGCCAGCTGCCAGGTGGCCATGGGAACCCCACATTCTCCCATGGCTACGGGAGAGTTGCCCTGGAGGAAGAACCACCCGGAGGATGTCACCCAAGTGCAGTGCTATTCTAAGCGTTAGGAATAGCCTTCTGGAACCACAGGAAACTGGAATTCGTAGCAAGGGATTTACCTTTCCAACAGGAATCCAATAATCCCCATGACATCTGCGGTGGAGCCTCAGAAAGTAAATCTACCACTAGAGTGGGTGTGCAGGAGGTAATTATAGCCCAGCAAAGTGTTCAATCTAAAATTGCCTTCTTGCAAATACGTGCTATGACATAATATGGGAGAGAGCACTTTGACACAAATTGACACAACACAAAATAGTGAAAGGTGGCAAAACATGATAAATTTAATTGAAAGTGGTTGTTGGTCAAAAATAACAAACAAAAAAAAAATCAGCCCCACCCCCCAAAAAATTCCCAGTCTTCTTGGAGAGGGTATTTGATATAGCTTTAGTTTTAGTAACTCTCTCTTTGGGGAATCTATCACACAGATTGGGGACTATGCTAGTTTGTGTGTTCAACGACAGCCATTCATTTGTAAAGCGAAAACTCAATAAAACTTATTATCAATAAGACGTGAGAAACAGGCCCTGCGTTGCTATAGTTTGACACAAGACAGGTAGAACTGGTAAGTTCACACAATGCATCTTTTGGGCTTCCGTATGAAAGCTAGTTGTTAAAGTTCTCACAATAATGACAGAAAAGAGCTGCAGGTGCTACTCCTTTACCTTCATGATGACGTAGAAAGCAAGATACAGCAGAAGATTGCAAATGAAGATGCCCAGCATGTAGGAGGCGAAGTCTTTCGGCCGATATACCAGTCCAAAAATGGCACTAAGAAAGGAAAAAGACAAGGGTTATGTTATCCAAGGTGCAGGCCCCCCATAACTTGCCATCCTGGTACATAGCTCATGATACCAATATCACGCGCCACCCACACTGCGCATACTGAAGAGGGATGCTGCCATCTTGCAGGTCAAGCATATAAGAAGATACTTGCATAGAATGAAGGAGCAACTAGTACTTAGTCTAATTGGGTCTCCCTTTTCAGCATTGGGACCTCCAGCCATGGGCCAATTTGCAGGATCAGGCCCCTCCGAATGGCTGACGAGGGAACTCTGAGCAGACTCCGCCCACCTGCCAAACATGTGATGTCATTTGACACCTGTCCGTTACATACGTCACATGACCCGTATTTTACATGCAATTCTCCCCAAAACTAAGGGGGGATTGAATGAAAAATGCATAAAATGGACATAAAATATATTTAAATAAAGTATGCAACATTTGCTTTTTGGGCTCTGGCCCTGCTCACCATTCAAAGCCCTAGAAGGCTGACCAGGTCTGAATCCAGTCCTGAGGCTAAAAGTGGCTCCCCCACCCTACATTTAAGGGAACTTAGGTTTCTCCACTAACAATAATCAGGGTGATATTTGGGAAATGTCTTCAATTTATCAGGGGCCGGGGCTGGGAGAGAAGAAGACAAAACGACTAGAGAGCAAAATCTTTACATTATTTCTAAGCTCCCTGCTTCAAAAGTATATAAAAAACCTCAAATATGAGGGGGAATTTCTGGGGCTAATCTATGTAAGCCCATTGTGATTGTATTCCCTGAGTGTGCTAAACATACACAAAACCCCTTACTTACAAGGACCAGTTTACAAGGTTCCCAACGACAAGCAGGACCATTCTGTCCTAGAGGAAAGAAGCAAGAACCCTCATTAGCAAACCAGAAAGGTGTGTCAAGTCACAGTTGTAGCTGGAGACTCAGAGGCCCAAGGGACAATCCAAACATACGATCATTTTAAAACCTCGTCTGATAAACATCAAACCCATTGGTTTCAAAGGGAGAGAGTTAAATACCGTATTTTTTGCTCTATAAGACTCACTTTTTCCCTCCTAAAAAGTAAGGGGAAGCGTGTGTGTGCGTCTTATGGAGCGAATGCAGGCTGCGCAGCTCTCCCAGAAGCCAGAACAGCAAGAGAGATTGCTGCTTTCACTGCACAGCGATCCCTCTTGCTGTTCTGGCTTCTGAGATTCAGAATATATTTTTTCTTGTTTCCCTCCTCCAAAAACTAGGTGCGTCTTGTGGTCTGGTGTGTCTTATATGGTACATGCTTAACTTTGGGACAGAAAAATGCCTCACTTTGGGCCGGATCTTCCTTTTGATTCCAAAATACCTGCGAGGAAACTTTAAAAATGTTGCCAGGTAACTGTTGATGCTTTGCTACTAAGCATTTACAAAAAATTTGAATGTTCTGAATACTCCACATAATTATGAGGTTATGTGCCTGGTTCAAATGCAATGGAAAACAATAGTTTCTGACTAGTGAACAAGTCTGCAACCTTCTTCTTTTGTGGCCACAAAATGGAAACCAGAAGCTTTCATTTCTGGTTTTAAACAAACTAATGAAGAGCACCTCCTACACGTCTTGTCTGATCTTTCACAAAGAGGGAGGCAAAGGGAGGGAGCAAGAGACAGCCCATGGTATCCTGATGTTCCAAATAAAATGCTTTGGGAGGAAAAATATTTCTAAAGATAGTTTTCTATTTGAGTTACATTATAGTCCAAAGGCTATTCTTCAGGAAATAAGGATTTGTTTTAAGTTTTTCATGTGTGCTAAAACTCAGTCTAAGGTTTTTTTTTAATTGTTTAACCACATCAATTAACAAACATGGATACATATGATATAATATTACTGTTTTAGTTAAATAAATTGTTTAAATTGTTATTAAGGAAATGATTCTTTTTCTCCTTCCAATAAAGTACAGCAGAAAAGTTGTCGAAATATAAAGTTAACTTATTAAACCTCACAATAATTTCATAATTATGTGTCTATGTATTTCTAATAGTATAGCCAAATCAGTAATTTTTGATATAACTGTAAAAACTACTCTGAAAATTTATTATTCCAAAAAACGAAACCTTGCTCTGGTTGTAAATATTAAGATGATACCAGCAAGAATGAATCTTTCTGTAAAAGATGGTTTAAATCAAGTCTTACTGACTAGTGATTTAAATCGATTTGATTTAAATCAAATCCACCATGCTAAGAAGTAATCACTTTGCTAAAAAGACCACCTAGGGAGGTTCATGGCTGAGGTGACTTTTGAATCTCAGGCTTTCTGTCTCAAAGTTTGTGCTCTTAACCATTGCAATACACCATTTCTCCTGAAAAAGTTAACCAGGAAGAACAACTTCTCTTGTTCCATTCATTCCCCACTCCAAAATTCTGATTTCCAGATGTTTTTGCTCCACGCCAGGTCAATGGCTGACAACATAGAATTCCACTCCACACTGATCTCACTGGTGTAAATCTCTCTTGGAGTTTGGCTCCAAAGATCCTGCCAGCACCCCTCTTGCTCTGTGTGTGGCGAGTGTCTGGCCCCCTTCCCAGAGACCACCAAGGGGAGCAGGAAAGTAAGTACGGATTTGAAATTTCTAAGTTTATATCATAAGGATTAGGCATGATCCATTCGGGGACACGGGTGGCGCTGTGGATGATACCACAGAGCCTAGGACTTGCCAGTCAGAAGGTTGGCGGTTTGAATCCCCGTGACCGGGTGAGCTCCCGTTGCTCGGTCCCTGCTCCTGCCAACCTAGCAGTTTGAAAGCACGTCAAAGTTCAAGTAGATAAAGAGGTACCACTCCGGCGGGAAGGTAAACGGCGTTTCCGTGCGCTGCTCTGGCTCGCCAGAAGCGGCTTAGTCATGCTGGCCACATGACCCGGAAGCTGTACGCCGGCTCCCTTGGCCAGTAAAGCGAGATGAGCGCCACAACCCCAGAGTCAGCCATGACTGGACCTAATGGTCAGGGGTCCCATTTACCTTTACCTATGATCCATTCAGAGTTGAGGACTTTCCTTTTGATAATAAAAGCAAGATAGCAATTTCTCTCTCACCCATGTTTGCATGCTCAGATGCAAAGCAGCTCTCCAATCCGGCCAGAGATGGCTAAAGAGAACAGGGGAAATACATACCGTGTACATTGGCCAGCTGCACTGCTGGATGCAATCTGTGTAGAGGACCATAACCGCACGCTGGAAAATCCCAAAGTCTGCCAGAGATTGAGAGCACAGGGTGTGAAAACCTAACAGAGCACAGCTCCCAGGAAGGAGCTTCGTTTTATCTAAGTACACCGCCCACTCTACCATGACGATGTACCCTGCCAGGCGCTGGCGATTTCTGGCCAGTTTCCGGCCAATTTCCATGCCAATTTTGGTTGAGATCTCCCCCAAAATTGTGAGATCTTGCACATTCAGCAAGATCTTGCCCAAAATAGATGCACTCTTGCCAAAAATCTGGGCCGGTAGTGCTGTTGTTTAATAGAGGAGTACAGTGTCTTGCTGGCATTGCTTATTTTACCGAGTTTTCAACTTCTATGCGTTATTGGTTTTATTGCTATTGATTGTGTTAAGGGTGCTGCATTCCTGCCCTCAGACCAGATAGTGAAGGGCAGGTCGTAAATTCCACAAAAACAAAGAAAACATCCCAGTGCCGTAAGGCAGGGGTAGCTAACAAGGTGAGATCCAAATGTTGTTGGACTACAACGCCCATCAGCCCCAGTCAGCAGGGCCAGTGAGTGATCTGGCATGATGGGAACTGTAGCTCGAGAACGACTGTGCCGTAAGGCTTGCAAAGGTTCTTAGAATAATAATGTACAGTGGTACCTTGGTTCTCGAACTTAATCCATTCCGGGAGTCCGTTCAACTCCCAAAACAGTTCAGAAACCAAGGCGTGGCTTCCGATTTGCTGCAGCAGCTTCCTAAACTCAATTGGAAGCTGCAGAAGCGGCGTCGGATGTTCGGCTTCTGAAAAACGTTCACAAACCGGGAGCTGATTTGTTCGGGAGCCAAGACATTCAAGGATCAGGTTACATATGCTTCAGGTTACAGACGCTTCAGGTTACAGACTCCGCTAACCCAGAAATAGTACCTCGTGTTAAGAACTTTGCTTCAGGATGAGAACAGAAATCAGGCTCCGGCGGTGCAGCAGCAGCAGGAGGCCCCATTAGCTAAAGTGGTACCTCAGGTTAAGAACAGTTTCAGGTTAAGAACGGACCTCCGGAATGAATTAAGTACGTAACCAGAGGTACCACTGTACTAATAACGTAATAGTGTTGTGTGCTGACTACTAGTTGGCCTAATGTGGTACAAGAAATTGTTTCCAACCTGTTCTGAATGGAGTTGCATTCCCTCACATAAATCAGGTCTGCATTTTGGACCCTGCTTGATCCAGAACCATTTCTTGATGGCCAAGGGGTAGAGTGGCACATCCTGTTTCACCACTTGAGCTGAAATGGGAAGTGCCACACTGCCCTGCCGCTTAATCCGTTCCGGAAGTCTTTTCCAAAACCAAAGCATTCCAAAACCAAAAGTCTGGAACAGATTAAGTTTGAGAACCAAGGTACCATTGTACATAGTTCCATCCTTCTTTCAGACATTGTGATATATTGTGATGTTTAGCTGGTGATATATCGCGATGTTGGAAATCAGGTATCGCCCAGCCCTAGCCCAAGCTATTGACCTTCCCTGAAGCGTTAGAAGAATGAACATCCCTCCTATTCTGGCTGCCAAGGCTTCTGCATGCTCAGCCCAAAGGGAAAGAGGATTCGCATCAAGGGCTAGTTACCTGGATCAGAGACATCTGCAGCCAAGCGAAGCAGAAGAGAAAGGGGGAAAGATGCTAGTGAGAGGAGCATAACGGCACAGCAAAGAAGGATAAATGTATGTGCTGCCGTTGGAAAGCCCCCCAGCACCCCAAATGCCCACTAAAGTAGAAGCTGGTTTGATTCCTACAGCATGCACTTACATACACACATATACCCCAACCAGCCTCCTCCCTGAGTCACTGGCAGGAAGGTGAATAATTCCTCGCACAAAGCCCAGCACTAGCATGCAGTTAAGTACATTAGGCAGAGGCAAAGCCAGTACCAGATTCCATTGGGCAATCGATATTGGTCATAATATAGATATGGAAGCATGGGAACAATTGTGGAATATGGATATAAAATTTACAGCAGAAAAGTATATGAAAATGATATATCGGTGGTATCTAACACTGAGTAAATTGGCAAAATGTATAAATCTAAATCAAATAAGTGTTGGAAATGTAAAGAGAAAGAAGGTTCTTTTTATCATATAAAGTTGTAGTAAAGTTAAAGCTTAGTGGGAAATGATATATAATGAAATGAAAAGGATGTTTAAAATAACCTTTGTAAAAAACAACAACCAGAAGCTTTCCTTTTGGGAATTATAGGGACAGAACTGCCTAAACTGTATAGAAACTTATTTATGTATGCTACTACAGCAGCAATAATATTATTTGCCCCAAAATGGAAAGAAGCAGAAGTCCCAACAAAGGAAGAACGGATACAAAAACTTATGGAATATGCAGAAATGGTGAAACTTACCGGAAGAATAGAAATCAAGATAACAAACTTTTTTATAAAAGAATGGAAATGGTTTATTGACTATTTACAGATAAATTGTAAACAGATAAGAACATTGGCAGGATTATTGTAATAACCTGCAGTTTTATAAGAGTATATATTTAAAGAAGATGAGTAAATGAGAAAATTAAGTTAATTTGGATATGCAGAAGATATTAAAAATAAATTTAAGGAACCGCAGAAAGAGGGGAAGGAGGTCAAGTGAAATGTATAAACTTGAAGAGTATAAATAATTTTTTCTTTTAAGTAAGATTTCATAGGGAGTCAAGTGAAACTCCCTAGTACCAAATCTCCAGGTGAGGCAATAAGCAGAAATCGTAAGGTCATGTCAACATGTGGTCTTTTTTTTTACTTAACAAACAGTATGAAGGGAATAAACACCACTCCTATTCTATCTCTGGGGCCACAATCCTAAAGGTAAAAGGCTGAGCAGTTCCATGGATTTACCTCCAGGTGAATATATTTAGGGGGGTCTGAAGTGTCAATCATCTGTCATCAAACTTACCTATCTTGAAACGGCCCATGTAGTAGATCTGGGTGCTGAGTCCAAGTGAGGCCACAACATGGATGACTGAGAAGAGGATCCAAAACCACAAAGCATTTTTTCCAAAAACCTGATAGCAAACAGAAAAAGAATTATTGTGTGTTATGTCCAGTTATGAAAAAGGTCTCCTTCTCTGCAATGAGAGGTTATAGATGCTCTACAGACAGGTGGCATTTTCCAAACCTATCTATGTCTGGTTGTTAGAATGGTTTGAAGATGTAGATACTCAAATAACCCAGAGTACAGAAACAGCCATCCCATGTCCCGGGAGACCTCGCACCTTTCCCGGCATCTGCGACAAGCAGCCAAAGTACTGGGGAGAGACATGCACCGAGGGTAGCGCCGTTCCCAAAGCAGTTAGAGCAAAATAATGGGCTTTAATCAGAGCACTTCTTTTGTATAAAGGGCCGTGAGTGTTAGTGTTATGTACTGAAGTTCTCACCCTGGGCCAGCAGGGGGATACTGTAGATAGTTTTCACTCAGGTCCACATATGCAAATAAGGGATCGAAAAGTGACGTTCAGTGATTGGATAGTTACTGAAAGTTGTTACAGTTACGTTGTACTGGAGCTCTATATAAGCAGGCTGGCTGAACCCTTCAGTACAGTTCTGTTCTGACCTTTGAAGAAACAAGAGCTGTTTGGAGAATCGCTGTGTCGTCTGATATGTTCACCCACAACTTAACACTGGCGACGAAGGTGGGATTGATGGACCCAGATGCGGCCACTCTCTGAGCTGAGCTGAGCTGAATCACTGAGCTGAAACACGGAGCAAAATCACTGAACATCACTTTCGATCCCTTATTTGCATATGTGGACCTGAGTAAAAACTATCTACAGCATTCCCTGCTGGCCCAGGGTGAGATCTTCAGTACATAACACCCCTCCCCACCGAGATAAGGCGTTAGTTACAATCATAATGGTTTCCTTATATACAGCACTACACGTAATGGTTCAATTAGGCACAAAAGCATTACATTTCACATACTTCCATTAGACCAACAGTGTTACATGTCCAACAACATAGTCCTTTAAATAAGTTGGGCGCTTGGAAACTCTTAACAGTTAGGATAGTATGGAAGGAGCTGTAGTGGTTGTTTTTCTAATACTTGGCTGCTGCAGAACCCGAGCCTAAAACCACGAGAATCCTGCAGAGGTTGAGAGTAAGGCTGCGCAGGCAATTTTGTTGCAGATGCTACAGCCTATTTGCCTTTGACCCCATTCTCAGAGCTCTCCCCCAAGTTTTGCTGATTCGGTCCCTCTCTCTGAAGGGCAGAGGGTGTCAAATACATGCGTACCACTCCGAGCACAGCAAGGCAAATGACCACTGCGAAGGATGCGTAGGCAGAGTAGGCACTGGCGTTGATGTCAGGGTGGCGGGTCTGGTACAGCTTCAGCATGCACAGCCCTGCGATCATGTACATGAAGGAGGTGTCTGTCAAAGGAGGAGAAAAGGCAACAGATCGTTTCAATACATGGCAAAAATATATTTCTAAATATATTTGGCAAGGGGGGAAAACGAGCATAAAATATTGGTAGATGCAAAAGAAAGATGAGGTTTCTCCCAGCTGGATATGAGACTATACTATGAGGCATCCTGTCTTTGTTGGTTGAAAGAATGGATGACATTAGAGAATTCACATATTCTAGATTTAGAAGGTCATGACAATATTTTTGGTTGGCACACTTATTTATGGTATGAAAAGGTGAAAGTTCATAAAGGGATTTACAAATCATATAATTAGGAAGAATCTGTATAGAGTATGGAATAAATATAAGAATTTATTAGAGGTAAAAAAACCTGCTTTGGCTCTCACCGTTGGAAGCTATAGCAGTAAAAAAAAAGAATATGACAAAAGGATGGACAACTTATAGAAATTTATTAAAACAAGAGGGAGGAGAGTACATATTAAAAGAATTTAAGGAATTATCAGGAAAATTAGCAACATGGATACAATATCATCATTTAATGAAGTATTTAAGAAAGATAGGATACAAGGGTTTGGGGAACAAATATCACAACTGGAGAGAGACCTGTTGGAATGTAATGTAAAAGTGCTGCCTAGAATGTATAAAGTATTATTGAAATGGGAGACAAAGGATGAGCAAGTAAAATCCTCAGTGATACACTGGGCGATAGATATTGGTCATAATATAGACAAGGAAGCATGGAAACGATTGTGGAATATGGATATAAAATTTACAGCATGTTATGATCTAAGGGGAAAGTATATGAAAATGATATATCGATGGTATCTAACAAATTGGCAACAGTGGTATTACTGGCAAATCTTTTTCTAAGGGAGAAATCCTCTCTTTGCACCAGAGGGCGCTATCACCACCCCATTGTGGCTCGTAAGGTTCTTGTTTTTGTGAACTAAGACCACCACCGAAGAATGGATAGTTTTGAATTCTGGGGCTGGAGGAGACTCTTGAGAGTCCCATGGACTGCAAGAAGATCCAACCTCTCCATCCTTAAGGAAATCAGCCCTGAGTGCTCACTGGAAGGACAGATCCTGAAGCTGAGGCTCCAAGACTTTGGCCACCTCATGAGAAGAGAAGACTCCCTGGAAAAGACCCTGATGTTGGGAAAGATGGAGGGCACAAGGAGAAGGGGACAACAGAGGACGAGATGGTGGGACAGTGTTCTCCAAGCTACAAACATGAGTTTGACCAAACTGTGGGAGGCAGTGGAAGACAGAAGTGCCTGACGTGCTCTGGTCCAGGGGGTCACAAAGAGGCAGACACGACTAAACGACTAAACAACAACAACAAGACCACCAGAGTGGGGTTCCTATTTTTCTTCAAGGTAAGAGTTCTGGGCTCCCGTGGGTGTGGCAAAAATTCGGAAAATTGTGACTGAAGGAGAGTCTTTGTTCCAGTGCCCCAAACAACACATTATCTAAAGATAACTTCTTAAGTTCTCAAAGCAACATCTCTCCCAAGCTACTATAGTGTTCAAATCTATGTTCATCCTAACTGAAAGAGGGCCTCGAGCACACTGAAACCCAAAACATCCAGCCAGAGGCAGATTCAGGGAAGTGCAACCGGTTTGGTTGCCTTGGGGGAGATGCTGGGGCTGCTGCAACTATGATATGTTATGGAGCGCCAAATTTTGGTGTCGCACGGGATGCCGTTGAAATCTGAGACCCCAAGATCCGCCACTGATTCGGCTATCCGAAACCAGTTCTTGGGGACTCTGTTCAAAACATCCGTAGAAGAAAACAAACCTCTTAGCTCCTTGGCTAGAAGAAGCCACCCACTTACCAAACTGGAAGTTAGAGTAGTTGGGGCAGACGTGATAGCAAGCGCTGAGGACACCTTCCATCATCAAAGCTATGCCCATGGCATAGAAGAGGCCAAAGTGCTTGGGAATCCCATATTCCTGAAAGAGAGGGACCAAGAACAGCATCATGCACTGGTAGTCTGCATAGAAGCTTGGAAAGTGTCTTTCATTCAATACTGCAGACAAAAATCCATCTAACAAACAGTTTTGGCTGGATGTGACAACTGTAGTAGCAACTCTGTTTGAAAAATATCTTGCTCTTTTACACCAGACACCTTTACGAGAAGAAATGTAGTCTGCCATATACATCCTTATTTGTGCCGCTGCTTAAAATGTTCAGCCAGATTAATGAATGTTTACGCACTGCGGGTTGGGACTGATATACTGACAAAGATAAAAAGGTAAAGGTACCCCTGCCCTTTGTACTGACAAAGATAAATGTGTACAATTCAGTATCCATGGAGGCGCAGGTCAATTCTGTGTCCAGGGCAGCTGTTTACCAGCTCCACCTGGTACGCAGGCTGAGACCCTACCTGCCCACAGACTGTCTTGCCAGAGTGGTGCATGCTCTAGTTATCTCTCGCTTGGACTACTGCAATGTGCTCTATGTGGGGCTACCTTTGAAGGTGACCTGGAAACTGCAATTAATCCAGAATGCGGCAGCTAGACTGGTGACTGGGGGCAGCCGCCGAGACCACATAACACCGGTCTTAAAAGACCTACACTGGCTCCCAGTACGTTTCTGAGCACAAGTCAAAGTGTTGGTGCTGACCTTTAAAGCCCTAAACAGCCTCGGTGCAGTATACCTGAAGGAGCGACTCCACCTCCATCGTTCTGGCCGGACACTGAGGTCCAGCGCCAAGGGCCTTCTGGCGGTTCCCTCACTACGAGAAGCCAAGTTACAGGGAACCAGGCAGAGGGCCTTCTCAATAGTGGCACCCGCCCTGTGGAACGCCCTCCCACCAGATGTCAAAGAGAAAAATAACTACCAAACTTTTAGAAGACATCTGAAGGCAGCCCTCTTTAGGGAAGCTTTTAATGTTTAACAGACCACTGTATTTTAATACTTTGTTGGAAGCCGCCCAGAGTGGCTGGGGAAACCCAGCCAGATGGGCAGGGTATAAATAATAAATTAGTAGTAGTAGTAGTAGTAGTAGTAGTAGTAGTAGTACCGTTGTGTAGGCGTCTTTGGCTTCCAGGGAGCGTCTGTGGAGGATGTCTCTGCGCAACACAATCAGGAGGAAGAGGAAGCCCAGAAGCAAGTGTCCCACATTGCTGAGGATGTTGTTAAAAGCACTGCAAAGAAGGAAATCTTATTAAATATTATTTTTGTAAACGTTACCAGCCAAACCAGAAGTTCAAAAATGTAGGAACTTCTCCTGTACAGAACAGTCCATTTACAAACAGGAATAGATCACTATCTACTTCCTGATTGTAAAGGAAGGAGAGAGAAAAAGTAAACCCAAGCAGTGGCCTGTGAGTCAGCCACACCCACCTCAGGACGCCCAGTGGATGAGCGCACAGGAAATTATAATAGCAGATGTCCTGGTTTCCAGTCACATTCACCACCTAGGAAGAGCAGTAGAGAAGGTGTCACTTGCATTCTGAATGCACCATCCCGAAGATGATGAGCAAATGGAAAGGGAGGCCAAACAGCCTAATAATGAAAAGCAAGACTGAAGACATGTCCTTCAAACCTCCTGCAACCCAGCTACATTTCACTGTGGACACTGTAGCCTTCCTGACCTCAACATCTCAATGGTTTGAGAATGATGGTGCACCTGTAAGGGGATTGGCTGTGAGGACTAAGGACCAACCTCAGCCGACCTGAGATTTGGAGAAAAGGTGGAGTTGTCTAAACAAGGGTCCCTATACCTTTAAAAAACAAGAGGTACCAGAGGATCTGGAGACCTAATTTAAATGTCATCCTCTCTGTCATTGGTTCTCTGGTATCCTCTCTATCAAAGGGGTAGCCAATTAGCCATGACTTACAGCAGAAATTAAACAATAGTCAAGGAGCACTTCAGAGACTAGGAAATGTATTATCCCATAAGCTTTCATGGATCACCAAAAATTATGAGTCTGGTGAAGTGGATTTTAGCCCCCAAAATCTTTTACCATAGTAAATTTATCAAGTCATCAAGATGTTAGCACCAAGATGAGTTTTTGGTCCTAAGATGTGGGGTGAAGGCAGACAACTCACCGTCTGGTACGTGATCACCAGCTGGATCACAGGCAGGGCATAGAAGACTGCTATTGTGATGATGTTCCTTCAGGAAGAGAATAAATGGGCATAAGAAGAGGCACACACATTTCCACCAAGTTTTAACCAACGGCATGTATTTTATCAGCTAAGAAAGGCAAATGGACCCTACAATTTGCCTGTACTGTAAATCCCATTATTTCCACACCGCCATACCAATCCTCCAATTTCAATACTTCCTACTTCTAGACTGCTCATTTAAAACTTGAAGCTGGATCTTAGTGTCTTGAAATTTCTCACACAGCAATTTCTGCGTTGAGCAACAGCCAGGTTTCATAGGGTGTAGAACTTTCCCTTCCACTCCTAGCTGACCACCATTCCACCTCCCTCTTCAGCTTCTCTACACATGCCCAAAATATCTTCTTGACAGAGGATGTCACTAATGATGGATTTAGGCAGGCAGCTCTTATTATACCAAGAAAACATTGGGTCATCTGGATGGCCCTAAAATTAAGATATAGAAGGCTGAGCTTTGGCTATCAGCTACGTACCAGAAATAAATGTTATATTTTTTGCTGACAATTCTCCGATCCTTCCTGGATAAATCTGACAGATATAGCAGTCTCTAAAAAGAGGGAGAGAACAACCTTTTTTAAAAAAAATTCTGTGACAGTTTATTTAAAGGCATGCAAGCTAGCAAAAGGCCTAGGACAGGACAGCTGCGCCAAGAACTTTTAAGAAGGAACTCAGGTAAGAAGAGATGAATCACCATAGTGCCACCTTGAGCTGCTTCAGTTTTTGTTTGCTTGTCTTTGCAAAACCGGTTCCAGGTCATGTCTTTGTGTAGGTGGGTTTCTAAGGGGAAACACTTTAAAAATTGCAGATTTCTTACAAAAGAGGGGGGGAAAGTGACATTGTGGGGGCACCCATCTTTTGTTCTGGAAAGGATTCCACAACATGATGTACAGTCACTTCCTGGGAGCATTTTCCAAAGAGATATTTTACCATGCGGCTATGGAGCTGTTCTGAGCACCTTAAAAGGTTAAACATGTTAAAAAGGCAAAAGTACTGCACGGATCTGTGTGTGGTTTGATCAATGGATTAGACGGGTTAATTGGCAGATCAATGTTCTGATCTGCGCATAGGCCAGGGATGCATGTGAACTGCGAGAGTTCACACCAAAATGCAGAATGCACTGGAACCCTCCTCATCCCTATCCTCAGGATAAGCACATGAAGAAAAACCTCCTCCCTTAAGGGCAGCACACACATAATTTACCTGTGCATGTCCTGCACAAGCTCAGAAAGGCATGTGCATTCATGGACTGAGACCATGAAAAAGAACAGGAACACAGACACACAGGGAGCAAGAAAGAAGAAGAGAAGAGTTTGGATTTGATATCCCGCTTTATCACTACCCGAAGGAGTCTCAAAGCGGCTAACATTCTCCTTTCCCTTCCTCCCCCACAACAAACCCTCTGTGAGGTGAGTGGGGCTGAGAGACTTCAAAGAAGTGGGACTGGCCCAAGGTCACCCAGCAGCTGCATGTGGAGGAGCGGGGAAGCGAACCCAGTTCACCAGATTATGAGTCCACCACTCTTAACCACTACACCACACTGGTGTGAAGGCAGAAATGGGGAACCCTTGGCTCTCCAGATGCTGTTGGACTCCCAACTTCCACCCGCATGTCCAATGATAAAGGGACAATAGGAGTCCAGCAACTGCTGGAAAGCCCCAAGTCCCCCATCCTGGTACAACGGGATTCCTCCCCAAATGCTCCCTAAATAAGGACCCAGCCATGTGCACATCAGAGTCTTCTGCACTGCTGCTCTCGCTTTGGTTATGGCAGCAGCACTCACCAGATCAAGAGTAGCATGAAAGAGAATACTGCACAGCTTCTGACCTCAGTTGCCTGCCCTGCACCAAGTGAGTGTGTGCCTGGGGTCTGCTTGCCACTTGCCTCTCACCCCACAGTCAAAGAGATAAATGAGACCCTCCATCTATAGCTGTGGCCAGAATTGGCTACCTGTGGTCAAAACCACACAGGGTTCATATCTTTCATTTGCTGGGTTGTTGTTTTTGCAACAGCTGGGTTCTTTAAATGCTTTGCAGTAAAATGCAGCAACATGGACTGCAAGAGCCCCTGTCATTTGAAGTGTGGCGGGTGGCGATGAGATGGAGGTGAACCTTCTTGACTACGATATCGGAGCCATGGAACTGCCTGTCCCAGAAGGGTTATGTGGCACCCTGCTTACCAGCAGCAAATACCATCTCAAATAACCCTTGATTTTTTGCTAGAGTCCCTGTCTTTCCTTTCTCGCCTTCCTTGTTTTTATTTCATGAATGGTAACTTATCGGTTTTTATTGCTTCCCAGATAAATTACAATGCCAGATGGGATGCGTGTCTTTTTGTGTGTGACACCTGGAAGGAAAAGTTCCTTACATAAATGATCCTGCACGAAATACCTTTGTGCGAATGACGTTCTTGTCGCTTTCAATTTCAGGCATGGTGTCAAAGTCGCTTTCCTCTTCCACTGAGCTGTCTGTGTCAGAGCCACGACGAGGCCTGCGCTCCAGAGACAGCTGCTGGCCGCCACTGGAGCTCGACTCATCTGGGAAGAAAACAGAAATATTTAAAGTATGAGATGCCTCTCTCGGGAGTATCAACCTCTTGGCTTAATGCACCGCCAAATAATACTAATAATAATGGCATGTATTATTGGAACAAGACTAAGTGGACGAGCAAGACCTCCTCATGATGAGGAAAGATATCAAGCTACAAAGGAAGTTGTCCAAACTTGTATAACTGATGCTGCTTTTCTTATATTTCACGGCATAGATGCACTGTATTGCAAGTATTTAACTCATAATAATAATTTGCAGAATGAGGTGTTCTTCTCTTTCATTGTTTATCTGTACCAGCTGTTTTCTTGCGTGTCTGCATCTCACCTCACATCCTTTTTCAACAAGTAATAATAATAATAATAATAATAATAATAATAATAATAATAAGTAATTTCGTTGTCCCCGAGAGGGGGCAATGACAATAAAGATATTATTATTATTATTATTATACCCCGTCCATCTAGCTGGGTTTCCCCAGCCACTCTGGGTGGCTCCCAACAGAATATTAAAAACACGATAAAACATCAAACATTAAAAGCTTCCTGTATACAGGGTTGTCTTCAGACGTCTCCTAAAAGTCAGATATTTATTTCCTTGACATCTGATGGGAGGGCGTTCCTCAGGGCGGGTGCCACTACTGAGAAGGCCCTCTGCCTGGTTCCCTGTAACTTCACTTCTCGCAGTGAGGGAACCACCAGAAGGCCCTCAGAGCCGGACCTCAGTGTCCAGGCTGAACAATGGGGGTGGAGACGCTCCTTCAGGAATACTGGGCCGAGGCCGTTTAGGGCTTTAAAGGTCAGCACCAACACTTTGAATTGTGCTCAGAAATGTACTGGGAGTCAATTTAGGTCTTTCAGGACCGGTGTTATATGGTCTCTGCGGCCGCTCCCAGTCACCAGTCTAGCTGCCGCATTCTGGATTAATTGTAGTTTCCGGGTCACTTTCAAAGGTAGCCCCAAAACTACTCTCATGGTTCCACATCTTGCCATCACATACTTTAACTAACTGTTCTAATGTAACTTTACTACCAGCTTTATAAGCCACAGAGATATATCTAGCTGTGCCTTTGCAATTCCAGAGTTACTTTACCAATAGCTCCATAGCTGCTTCCCTCCGGAGTGCTGGCAGTGATCGGATGAGAGGAGGCCACAGTCCCAGACCCTGCAATGGGAACAAACATGTGAACAGCCTTCATCTGACTGGTCAAAAGTCCCCACAGACTTGGCAGGGAGACTCCTCCTTGAATGGAGAGCAGGGGCTTCCTATTCTATGGGCCTCTGGCACTGATGGGCAGGAGCTCAAGAAACAGAGGTTGTTGCCTCATGGGAAGGGGTTGAAGAATAGTATGCTTGTTAGCACATTTGCTTCTGTCTGAAGCCACAGGGAGCCACCACGGGAACCAGAGAATGCTAACACATCCCCCAACTTTCATCCCCAGCCCACCCCAGCCCCCAAGACAGGGCTTGCCCAATGCATTTTGGCACCTAAGGCGGTACCCCGTCCCCCCGCTAGGGAAGAAGGGGTGAGGGAAGATCAAGAACAAGTAGGGAAGAAAGATCAACATTGGGATTTGCTCCCCCTGTGGATTCTCCCACCGCTTGAGATAGCTGCCTCACCTTGCCTCATGGGTGGGCCGGCACTGCCCCCCTTGCAGTGCTTTTTTTTCTTAAAAAAATGTTTAGGGGTACTGTCATTTTCCTACTCATACTGAAATACTGCCCTTCAATGAGGCCAAACTTAGATTCACAAAATGTTTAGGGGTATGGGTCCCCCCCAGGAAAAAGCGCTGCCCACTCGCTCCTCAGTGTTGTACATGTGGATATACCTGGCATGTCATTGCATAAATTATCAGTTCTGAGTAAGAATGCTTTACGAGAGCAGTTGAGACATCAAACAGGAGACATTTGCAGGAGGCTCGTTTCAAACAAGCCTCCTCCGGCAAACCGGCAGAATGTACAACCAGTGTTTGCTTAACAAGGTGTGATGAAGCAAAACTGGTTTCTGCAGCCCATCTTCCTCAATGTAAGCGATGGGAGGAACCCAAAGAATGGAACAATCAGAGGGTGAGGTTACAAAAGGAAAAAGGTCAACAAAGCCCAGCTGGATTGCACATAATATTCAGGAAAGGGGAACAGGTGGCCTATAGCATTTAGTTAATGCTTGCCATTCGCAAAGTGAGCAGTGAACCATTATAGAAGGAATAGAGGACTTATTGGCCTTCTAGAAGCTGGACTCCTATTCCCATTTCCTGCCACCAGCATGGCCGTTGGGCAGGGACGGTGAGAGTTATTTCAAATGCTGAAAGGCTATGAATACATTGTTTTGATTTCTGTTGTAGGTCAGTATGTATTGCCGTTCCCTTTACTTCCCATCTTCAGTCGAGACTGAGAATGCCGACACTTATGTAGCCAAAATGGAATGGTGAATACTGGAAAAAGAGGGTGGAGGAAGACATACGCAGTTCCAAAAATTATAGTGAGAAATACTTCATTGTCTGGACAGGTAACTTCTTGGTTCACACACACAAAAAAAACTATTTTAAAATGTCCCCAGGGACAAATAAATCTATCAAGAAATCCAAGGTTTTAATATGGTAGAGATTAGCAGCACCCCTAAAAACAAAACAAAAAACCAACAGGCAACACTACAAAGTCCCTGCTCTTTATTAGTTCTTATTTAGGGTAAAACATTTTTACAAAGAACTTTGCTCATGCAAACGCAGTTTAAATTGTATGTTGGAAGGGTGAGAGTGTGATGGGCCTTCAGTTCACAGGACAGTCTCTGAATGGTTTACAACACCCCTGCAGTGTTGTCCATGGCTATTATTATTTATTTCCTCACTGTGTGTGTGTGTGTGTGTGTGTGTGTGTGTTAGATAGGACTCCTGCAGTGGGCAGGAGGTTGGATCCAGTAACCCATGAAGTGCCTTCCAGGTCTGTGATATAAGAACAGTATACTAGAAGGTTACCATCATCAGGACTGTGTCCGGCAATTGAAGGCTTCCTATGGTTCCTGCAATCAAGCACAAACACGGCTAATTATCCATCAGGCTACACAGCTATCACCCTCATCTGTGAGATGTACAGTGTCACCATCCACATAAGCTTTACAAAGAAGAGAAATTTGATTCTCGATCCCATGCGAACCAAAGTCCTGGTGGATTATTTCCTCTCTTTTTTTTTAACATCACATGGGTTAACCAAAAGAAAGTGCTCTCATGTAGGAGGCACAGGAGAAGCAGAAGCAGGATGCTGGAATATGTATTTGTGAAGGCCTGGCCCATCTTCCTTCATGCACAGAATTTTCTTCCTACACTACAAACCATTTCAACTAGAAACCACGGTAAAATGGAAAGGATGTGAGCCAAAAGAACACATTGGGGGAGAAATAGGTGCAAAACAAATCCTTTTTTCCAGGAAGAGGAATGAAGCATGGGCAAAAGTGTGGAGAGAATTGGGGGGGGGGGTTCTCTTTTGTGCAGGGAGGAATTATGGGAGGAATCAAGAAGCTCCATAGGTGAAAGGTTACATGCAAAGAAGATGACATTGCAGTCAAAGAGGAAGTGGCAAAAAGGAAAGAGAGTACAAAGAGTGCCAAGCTAATTTATACAAGTCTTTAAAGGGATGGCAACTTCTTTGGCCAACTCTTCTCCTGACTTCCTGCAGAGTCAGGCATGTCAGTAAATGGAAAATGAGGCAGCTGGCTTGCCCTCCACGCAGCCACTACTGAATGCTTCACCCACCTGACGTAATGCACAAATGCAACCACCAGTGCGCCCAGATAGAATGAGAAGAAACTCAGAAAGCTGAAAAGGATGGCGTTCACATAAACAGAACCTAGGGGAAGGAAAAAGGATCTGCCATCAGCATATGAAGAGGATGAACCCATAAGTCCATCCCTCTGCTCTTGCTCCTAAAATGGTAGCACAGGTGTTTTCACTCTCTCCAAAGCCTTGCTGCAGCAGACCAGGGGTGCCACCTCCCATTTTGAGGTGAACCGGGAAAATGTTGCCACTAGCTGTTGCCCTGCCCCTTTGCTGCCTCCCCACCACTCCGACCTGGGCGCTGGCGGCGACTTCTGGTGAGATCTTGCGAGATCTCACTGAAGTCCCCCAAGATTTCATTGAGATCTCACGAGATCTCGAAAGAAACCGGTGCCGCAGCTGGCGCAGCTTCTCCGCTGGCAGCAGATGTGGCAGGGTGGGAGGCGGAGGCAAGGCAGGCAGCAGAGGCGAGCTGGGCGCTGCCTTTGGGGCTTCCACAGTTTGAGGCGAGCGCCTCACCCTGCCTCATCAGTGGGCCAGGTCTGCAGCAGACCAAAAACTGGACAACAGAGAATATCCAGTTCTGCCTCCTCCATGACACAAGCATATACTTCTGTCCTGCAACTGGAGTCAGAGCCATGTGTGACCCACACTCTGCAGTCTGCACCACAACATAAACTGGCTTTTCTCTGCTGCTCTGCAATTTAATGTCTGTGTGTTTTTACCTAAATTACCATATTTTCCGTCTATAAGATGCCCCCATGTATAAGACACACCCTACTTTTGGGGACTCAGATTTAAGAAAACGGCCTCGGCACTATCCGTGTATAAGACGCCCCCTAATTTTTGACATAATTTATTAGGAAAAAAGACCTAGTCTTATACACAGAAAAATACGGTATGTTTTTAACTAGCTGTCATTTTTTTCATCTGCTCTTTTTGATTGTTGCATGGTTTTATTGCCATATTGCTTATTTCCTATGTATGGATTTTGTTGTTATCTGTCTTGGGCATTTTTCAGGGAGAGGGGTATGCGTAACAAATAAATATACTGAAGAAACCGGGGCGGGGGGTGAAAATCAGGAGGGAGGTGTAATAGCTGATTGTGTCAGTATGTTCCAGTGCTTCCTTCAGAGAAGCAAGTTTCCTCGGGACTGCAGTGGGGAAGGAGAGGGTTGCATTGCCATTCTATGCCTGCTATGAGGCCAGGGACAATTATCAGATCCACAACCTACAGATAAAACATAAAGGTGCATTTCAACATGTGCCTAGTTTGGCCTTGAAAGTGGAACAGTTCTGTGAAAACCAACCATTTTGTACTAATTTTTAAAATATCCCATTATTATTATTATTATTATTATTATTATTATTATTATTATTATATTGAATTTATACACCGCCCTATACCTGCAGGTCTCAGGGTGGTTCACTGAACAAAATCAAAATATAAAACCACAAAATATGTAATCGAAATAAAAACATCAACCCAATATCGCCCCAAAACCCCACATTTTAAAAAGGCATGGGATGCATTAGCACTTTCTAGACTCATCCTATCTACAGGGACATTGTTCCCAAATAGTTTACTTCTCTTTCTGAGGCTCGTCCTAAGAAGAAGTTAACATTATAGCCAGATACCTTTAATGGAGGGCACAACTGTCACTTCAAGACTCTTCATCCGCTGCAGGTTCCAGGTGTAGTTAGCCTTTCCTAGAGGAAGAAGATTGCAGGGTGGGAGGTGGGGAGAGAGAAAGAATTTCTTGTGGCCTTGGTCATGGGCAGAACACATTGGGGTGCTGCATAACCCCTCACTCACTTGGGGACCTCTCCAAGATGCAGCACAGGAATTGTTGCACAGTACTCTGGTATTTTTGAATGAAACTGCTTTCATAATTTTTCAAGGAAAGCAGGAAATGAATGAATGATTGAATGAATGAAATCAACAAATGCTAGATCAATTACAAGAATCCGTGTGATTTCAAAGAACAAATTTATTCAATGTGCACTTAAGACTTTTTGGAAAATTTTAACTAAGTTTCCCCCCAATTAATAAAAGTACTCTCAACTTTTTTCATATGCAAAATTCAAGCAACTACTGCTGATTGGTGCTATGCTGAATTTTTTTTGTTAGATTTGAGTTTTGCTGTGAAATTTGTCATTTTGGGAGGTCTGAAAATGCACATTAAACCCCTGACCTTCCACCCTTTAATTTATCTGTCTGTCTGTCTATCTATCTATCTATCTATGCGTGCAACTGTGTGCAGCTATTGTTCCCATAATCCACTACTGCTTAGGGAACAAAAATGATAGAACACACTGAAGAGGCAACTGGGCAATATTCCTTTGAACTTTGATACATATCAAAGGCAGGATCACATTGAAAGCTATGTGGTGCAGATGATATCATCTCTTGATAATAACCCTTGTCAGATATTATTTATAGGGTTCGTAAGGAGATGCCCAACCTGGGAAGCTCCTCCCTTCTTTCCACAGCTGCTTGCTCGGCTTCTCTAGGATCCAACTACATTTAGACAACGGATGAAATTTCCTATGGACATTGCCATTGCAGTCTAAGTGTGTCCAATATGGTGCCTTATGAATAGGCTGCTTTCCCCAACCAAATTGGTTCCAGTCCTCTTACCTCGAATGGAGGAAGGTATCGATCCCCCGCAGGCATAGTCCTCAGGCTTTATGACAAATACAACAAAGAACTGCATGCTTGGGAAGTCCTTTTTCTGCACAAGACAAGAAGCAAAATTCCTCTTAGAGACTGAGTCTTTCAACAAATGAGAGGATCTCTGTAGTTCTGTAGAAACTTGAAGAGGGTCACAGAACCTTTCTCCATCTATTGTACATCCCTGTCTTAATCTCAACATTTTTTGAATCTAGAGCTGCCTGTGGCTAGAACAATAAAGTGAAAAGGGAAAACAGGGAAATGGCTTAATGGATAGCATAAGCAACTCACCTGCACAGTGATGGCTGCCTGTTTTGTCATGGATTGGTAAACGCCATTAAATTCCACATTATGGTCCAAATCATAAACTGGACACTGCAACAGATAGACATTGCTTGTTAAAGGGTTGTCTTAGGTTCTCTCTTAAAGTTACCTTGCACAAATCTTTTCCTGAACTACAATTTTGCACTGTACAATATACACCCTATAATATTTTTCTCAATATTGAGGGCAGATGCCGTTTAATGTGGCAGCCTCCAGTCTCTATCAGGGTCTCCTATTACTTTGTGAAAAAGCTCAGTAAGTATCCCCTCAAAAACCCACAATGCACATGGGATTGTTTGCCCTTTATTTTTAGTTCGTTTGTACTGTCTTGACCTGTCCTGAATTGATTACTCCCCTTAAACATGACTGCTTTTCATCGAAAGCCAACTTCTGTATTTTAAAACATTACGTGTTAATTCCAGCTGACCAAGAACAACCGACTTTCACGAGTCTGGAAGAAACTGGGTACAGCTCACAAACAGGGCAGTAGCTTCGGGAGGGGCTAGCCAGTTCTTTTGTATGATATTTTTTTTATTTGGTTTTACAAATATTAATGTATAACAATCCAAATTACATATCCATATTTAGAATTTCCTCCAAATCTCTGGACTTCCCACCTTCCCTTCCAAGGGTCCTATTGTACACCTTCTTAACTGCATATTTTTCCACAATCCATATTTTGTATCTTTCCATCTTATCCATAATATTTGTGTCATTAAGATCCTGCTAGTGTTTTCATCTGTTTACGGTGATCTCCTAGATAAATTATAAATTTCCCCCATTCTTTATTGAAGTTTAGGTCTTCCAGACAGTTTTGCAATTTCAGCATGGTCCAACAGCTTGATTTGCCATTCCTCTCTGGTAGGGACTTTATCTTCTTTCCATCTCTGGGCAAATAGCATCCCTGCAGCTGTTGTTGCATACATATGCGACAATAGCCAGTTCTTTTACCCCAGGTGAAGCCCGGGTGAAGGCTCCCAGCCTGTGTGTGTATGTACGCAAATGCACGTGGAGGGGTGCCAAACTAGGTCTTTGACCCCGGTGAAATAAAGTCTAGTTTTGCCCCTGTCACAAGCCATTCCCCTGACCAGTGACCACAAACACACCTAAGCATATTCTCACCATTTCAAAACATTTAGATCTTAAAAGCCCACACATAGCTCCCAGTACCTGAGACATAGTTTTTGATGCGCAATGCTAAGCCTGGGAAAGCCACACCAAAATGTTCTACCAGGCTATTACAGCCCTTCTGTATGACCCAGCCTCCTGGAGCTTACCACAATATCCTGGATGGAGACAACGGAGCATGGGTAGACGGTCTCGGAAGTCACTCTGACTATGACAGAATCCACATCTGGAGGGAACTTGTACAGAAAATACTATGGAAAGAAGGAAAGGATTTTAAGGTTCTTTCTTGTCATGCGCTAAAAACATCCTTATGTCGTGAGAAAAGCCATGCCCACTGGAGAGCCCAAATTCACAGGAGGAATTAAAAGGGAGTACGACCTGTTTGCCCGCATTGGGCACCAAGCTGAGAGGGCACCTCAGGGGACACGGCAACAATGAGAAGCAACAGAAGGTGAGAGGTGCACCAAATTTGGGCTTTGTACAGGGCACCGCTGAAATGTTAAAGCCCAAAGTCCGCTACGGCCAACTTAAGCAAGTCCCTCGTCGCAGAGCATTGGTCTGAAGGCACATGGCATAGTGTGCTGAAGGTAAGCAAGTCTGAACCTTCTCAGTGCCCAGAAGGAAGACTCCCTGGGAACACTGCCTTGAGTTCCAACATAGAGGAAAGGTTGAATTTCACAAGAAATAAATACTGAGACGCGGGGATGCGGGTGGTGCTGTGGGTTAATAATAATAATAATAATAATAATAATTTATTATTTGTACCCCGCCCATCTGGCTGGGTTTCCCCAGCCACTCTGGGCGGCTTCCATAGAAACCAAAAACCCCACTAAAATATCATACATTAAAAACTTCCCTGAACAGGGCTGCCTTAAGATGTCTTCTGAATGTCAGGTAGTTGTTTATCGAGTTAAACCACAGAGAAGTGGGTTAAACCACAGAGCCTAGAACTTGCTGATCAGAAGGTCGGCGGTTCGAATCCCCGCGACGGGGTGAGCTCCCGTTGCTCAGTCCCTGCTCCTGCCAACCTAGCAGTTCGAAAGCACATCAAAGTGCAAGTAGATAAATAGGTACTGCTCCGGCGGGAAGGTAAACGGCGTTTCCGTGCGTTGCTCTGGTTCGCCAGAAGCGGCTTAGTCCTGCTGGCCACATGACCCGGAAGCTGTACGCCGGCTCCCTTGGCCAATAAAGCGAGATGAGCGCCGCAACCCCAGAGTCGGCCACGACTGGACCTAATGGTCAGGGGTCCCCTTTACCCCTTTTTTTAAAATACTGAGATCTATCATGGCTTGGAGAAGATAGAAAACAGCCTTGTACCCGATTTTCCCTTTCCCTCCCTCCATCTCATTAGGGTACACCGTTGTTGTCATGACACACAAACTGAACCTCCCCTCTCACCAACTGTTGCACAAGGCCCAGTTTAAACAACAGCTGAGTGGCATGGGCATTGCCACTGTGAGCCATGCCCACCAGCAGTTGGCCAATCAGCATCCATCACAGGCAAGGTTCAGACCCATGTGGCTGGAGACTTAAATGTGACTGTAGCAATTCAAGAGTGACCACAGTAGTGGCAACTTTCACACTGCCAAGCTGTGGTTGGGGTCAGCCCCAGTTAAGCAGTATGAAGAGTATGAAGTGGTGGAGCAAGCTGTTTATTTCCTTGGTATTGACTGTAAAACCTCAGAGTGGTTACATGGTGGCAAACATAGATTAAACTGCATGCACATGTGGCAAGGAGTTGCAGCCACTCCCAGGCTCCGTCAAGTGCTCCTCTTTGGTTTACACAGTTGAAAAACATTCACCATTCGCTCACACAATGGCAACTGCACAATAACATAAACTATGCATTGTGTTGGCTGCCGCTCTGGACGCCTTTGAGAAGGGGGGCAGGATAGGAATTTAAAATAAAGTAATAATAATAGTAATAATAATGGCCATTAATCTCCTTGTTTGTAGTGCACCTGTCTTTTGTACCCATCTTCACAGGGTCAAAAAGCTTACTGTTACAGTCATCTCTTGTTGAATGAGCTCAGCCTGTGTTTGGGCAAAAAAAAAAAAATCCTAGCAGACACCATTCCGAAAACCAGAAAAACCAGTTCCTCAAAGATTCTCATTACTGCGGCCCACAAGGACTACAGTGTAGTCATTTCACAAATGCTTCCACTAGCCAGTGGGGGAAATAATAGGAACCTTTCTATTTATTTATCGTTGGCATTAATGAGATGCTTCTCTGCTAAAAGTACCCCTAACACTGTTGCAATAAAGTAAAAAGAGGAGAAAAGGGAGGGGTGGGAACTGAGGCTGAAGGTTAATTGAGGAAAGGGATGGAGGAAAGTCCATCGACATATTTGCATCCAGAGATGACACATCTTTGAAAAGATAACTCACAAGGCGCTTGCCCTCACACTCACATTACCTAATCAAGCTCAGATACAAATCTTCAAAAGCAGAGCAAACCAAAACAGGATGTTAAGTATGTAGGAATTCCTTGTGCAAGATTTGGTAAACAGAGTTAAGACTGTTACGCCTAAAGATGGTGGAAGCTTGAAAGAGGTGCTTGAATTCCACTATGGTCCAAGAGTCATTGCTTTTTGTGTGCTCCCTATTACTGAAGGAGCTGCTTTTGAATACATTTGCCCTTGTCCGCTATCAGTCCCATAACCTGGTGCCTTTCAACTAAGCAAATAGCTTTTCTCCCTTAGCAAATCAAACAAGAAGTGGACTTTGCAGCCGTGGGTAAAAATGAACAACAATGTTTGAAGGGGGGGGGGACACTTATATGGGACTAAAATACTTCTGCTCACAATGTACAAAGATTATCCTCCCTACTATCTCTGCCACTTTACATAGCTATGGTGTTTTGATTCAGAAATGTGTGTGAAATATGGCAGGAAAAGGAAGGGGCATAATTCGCCAACAGCAGGGGAGGGATGGGACACTGTGGCCAGAAGCATGACTCACAGAGGCCAGGCTCCAGCATCTTACCTCCTGGGCAACCAAGGCAAGTTGTCTGCTGAAGAAGATGCAGACTGAACTATGCTCCTCAGTGGTGCCACCTTAGGGCGTCACTGCAAGCCCCACCAGCTGACTCAGAACCTCGTCAGAAAACCCAGTGTCAATGCAGCCCCACCTACGGCTACAAAGCCTGAGCCGCAGCAGGGCCCACTATTCAGTCTGAACATTTCATAGACTTAGGAAATCCTGCTAGGCTGAGCTCCTGCTCTCCACTCCTCCTCACACAAGCCACCACTTCTTGCAAGGTGATAACAACAACAACAACAACAACAACAACAACAACAACAATAATAATAATTTATTATTTATACCCCACCTATCTGGCTGGGTTTCCCCAGCCACTCTGGGCGGCTTCCAACAAAACACTAAAATACAGTAACCTATTAAACATTAAAAGCTTCCCTAAACAGGGCTGCCTCCAGATGTCATCTAAAAGTTTGGTAGTTATTTTTCTCTTTGACATCTGGTGGGAGGGCATTCCACAGGGCGGGTGCCACTACCGAGAAGGCCCTCTGCCTGGTTCCCTGTAACTTGGCTTCTCGCAGCGAGGGAACCACCAGAAGGCCCTCGGCGCTGGACCTCAGTGTCCGGGCAGAATGATAACAACAACAATTTATTATTTATACCCCACCCATCTGGCTGGGTTTTCCCAGCCACTCTGGGGGGCTCACAACAGATTAAAAACAGAATGCAACATCAAACATTAAAAACTTCCCTAAACAGGGCTGTCTTCAGATGTCTGCTAAAAGTCAGATACGTAGTTGTTTATTTTCTTGACATCTGATGGGAGGGTGTTCTACAGGACGGGTGCCACCACCAAGAAGGCCCTCTGCCTGGTTCCCTGTAACCTCACATCTCACAGTGAGGGAACCGCCAAAAGGCCCTCGAGGCTGGACCTCAGAGTCCAGGTAGAATGATGGGGGTGGAGATGCTCCTTCAGGTATACTGGGCCGAGGCAGTTTAGGGCTTAGAATGCACTGCTTGCTAATGATTTGTTCCTTGGGACATGGCCTCCCTGTGCACCTGGACAGGGAAAGAGCCTGGTAGAAGTATGCAACGCGATATAATTCTTTCCAGTGGCCACAAGTAATGCCCTCTGCTGTCCTGGACGGGTGTTATAAGAGGGTTCTGTACAAAGATAGACTTTGTATTTGTGGGCAACCACAGCTGAAGGACATCCAGTACTATTTATTAGGTTGCCCACTATATACAGAGCCTAGGGAACGCTTTGTAAATGCCTTGCTTGTCCAGAAAAGCTACCTCCCCCACCCACGGAGAGTCTGCTATGGCTGCTCAGTGTTGCCAATGCTCCAGCGACTCAAACTGTGGCCCTGTTTGCACTGGTGGCAAGAAAGATCAGGAAGAAGAACCTGGACAAAAGTGAAGTAAACTGTGAGGGAGATTCAGAGCTCTAAATAGGAAAATATTATATGTTGTGTGGAGTCCTCACTCTACAAATCATTCAGTAACGCACCTGAATTTTATTATTTTGATGGTTCAGGCAGTGGTTCTGTTTTTTATATATAATATAGATATTTCTTTTCCTGGTAGTGTTTGTATGGTTTTGTTATGGCATTTGGCTAGTACAATAAAGCTTATCTACCATATTTTTCCACGTATAAGATGCCCTGATGTATAAGGTGACCCCCTTTAAAGGTAAAGGTTGGTAAAGGTAAAGGTACCCCTGCCTGTACGGGCCAGTCGTGTCCAACTCTGGGGTTGCGCGCCCATCTCACTTAAGAGGCCGGGGGCCAGCGCTGTCCGGAGACACTTCTGGGTCACGTGGCCAGTGTGACATCGCTGCTCTGGCGAGCCGGCACCAGCACCGCACACGGAACGCCGTTTACCTTCCCGCTATAAAGCGGTACCTATTTATCTACTTGCACTTTTAAGGGTGCTTTCAAACTGCTAGGTGGGCAGGAGCTGGGACCGAACAACGGGAGCTCACCCCGCCGCGGGGATTCGAACCGCCGACCATGCGATCGGCAAGTCCTAGGCACTGAGGTTTTACCCACAGTGCCACCCGCGTCCCGACCCCCTTTAGTTTAACCCAAAATTTTAAAATAATTATTTTAGGGTTGCCCTATCTCTAGAAATGAAAACCCGGACAATCAGAAGCGGCAGAAAGTTGACCCAGACATTTGCTAAAGAATGAACAAATCCCACCAGCGGTCAGCCTGTGATGGTTGGTGGAACTGGTCCCAGCAGCTTCTTCATGGCAGCTGCAGGAAAGTAAGTAGTGGGGGGGGGGTTGTGTGTGTGTGTTTTAAACCCCATGCATTCACCATCTGTGTATAAGACGACCCCCAATTTTTGACTAATTTTTTTAAGCAGAAAATATCATCTTATACACGGGAAAATACAGTACTTACAATGGCCACAAGATAATGTTTTCTGGTATTGTGCAATTAGGGCATATCAGCATCTTAAGAAAGGAGAGGTAGTGATCCTAATAGTCAAACTACTAATTATACTCACTTGCCACTGCGGGGGGGGGGGAGATGTATAATCTATACTTAGCATCCAGTACTCTAACTTACCTGCGGTTGGGAAGGGCTGGCACTGAAGCTAAAAGGAGTGTTCAACCTGAAAACACAGGAGGGGGAAATATTAGTATGGATGCCAACATGAAACCCAAAATACACCGAAACGTTGGCAGGAAGAAGCTTTTTGAAGGTAAAGCCCATCATAGGAGCCAACTCCAGGGGGTGCTTGGGGACTCACAATAATATAATTGTGGGGGCCAGGCACCCGCAAAGTCAATGAGAAAAGCCGGCAGGTATTTCCCCCGCTCATCAGTTCATTTGGTATATAGCAGGTGCCAAAGCAAAACGGAGAAGATGGATTATGAAAGCATCTCTTTCTCCTTGAATCAGATGCCCTGAATTACCCTGTTCACCCTTCATAGAAGAAAGAGATCTCTGAACCTAAGGTCTTTTCCTCAAAGGGGAAAAAGTCAGGCAGTTTCATTGCATCGCTTAAGGCAGGCTTCATCAACCTCGGCCCTCCAGATGTTTTTGGCCTACAACTCCCATGACCCCTAGCTAGTAGGACCAGTGATCAGGGATGATGGGAATTGTAGTCTCAAAACATCTGGAGGGCCGAGTTTGAGGAAGCCTGGCTTAAGACAATAGACCAATCATCAGGTGACTGTGATGGCTTCTTCAGCAGAGATCAAATTACAGATGTTTTGAGGGAAAATCAACACCTCCCTTCTGAAACCATCCTCTGTCCAATTCAATTTACTTTCTGTCTGGAAATACAGAGGAACTGCCCCACCTTCCAGTCACTATGCGTCAATCTTGGTTGGAGTAAAAGTGCAAGAGGGAATATGCCAATCCCTCTTTTTCCCCATTTGTTTATGATAGCAGTGGTTCTCAAACTTTCTTTTCTGGGCTAGAATCAAAAGTTGTTCATACAAATACATTGGAAAACAAAATGAAACAACTCCTGGCAGTGTTTGCTTTATAACACAATTACTTTCTAATATGATCATGGGACATTCCGTAAGTACAAAATAAATGCAGCTACATAAGAACATGAGTCATTTCCAAAATATAATTATAAACGAGCCTCTTACATATGTACCTTATGTATGAACACGTACTCAATGAGTTTGATTGTCCATGAATCTTCCCACCAGACTTGCCACCCTCTCCTTCCACACCAGTTTGGTACACCACACTCTTTGAGAACCACAGATTTGTAGTGATCTGTTTTGTGCTACAAGTCTGTTTCAACTCTGTAAGCTGCACTAATGTTGTTGAAAGCGGTTACTTCCTTTATCTTTTTGTATGCTTTGTGACAATGGTGTGTGTGTGTTTTAAGGAAATCAAATTACCAATGGCTGAATAAACAAACTCTTAGAAAAGCCAGCAGGGGTTTCCATGGATATTCAATAGCACAAGGCAGAAAAGTGAAAATATCCATGTATATAAAGGGGGTGGGTTTCACACACTTGCATTTATAACTTCCCAGCACAAACCCAGTGTGTCAGGACAAGCTAAGACAGATGGGTTGCAAGTTGAAGGTACACACACACACACACACACATACACACACACACACACACACACTCTTGAGGATCCAACTAAAATTTATCCAAGAGTGAAAAAGAAGTTTCAGACTTGGACTCTGCCAGAAGAGAGTGATGGAGTGATGTGTCCACCAGGAGTGCCAACTTGTGACCATGGGTGCCCTAGGCCATGGGTGCCATGCAGTGTGCATGGCCCTGACACTGAAATTTGTGAGTGCCTGGCCCCTTCGTGGGGGATTTTGTGGGTGCTCGGGTGCACCCAGGGCCCCAGGGAGTTGGCACCTATGCTGTCCACCAGCTTTCCCTTGCAGCAAGCATGAGAGTGTGGGGTGCAGCAATGAATCTGTCTCCAAGCTGTGCTAACAATAAGCCAGAGCAACCTGAACCGATTATACCATATCTCCAAGTAGCCTAAGGTCTTCTAGTCACAGTGGTAATACGTATGTGTAACTCACAGCAACCGTGAATGCAGAACAAAAAACACAGACAAGTTCAGAGTCAAAACGTGAACCACTCACATAAGTTGGAAGCTCTTAATCTTGGTGACCTGCAATCTGTATAGGGCATTATAGGGGGCCATGGAAGCCACATCTACAAATATGATCTGCTCAGAAGGTTCACTGTCAGGTGTGGGCTGTGAAGGGCAGAGGGTACGGCTCACCTCTTGGTAGTTATAACTTCTTTGGTAACTGAAAAAACAAGAATAAAATCCAGAATTCTTCATACCCAAGAAAAATGACAATGCTAAATTCTAGAGGAACAGCCATGTTGAACCATATTCAGTATGCACTGATGAAAGGGCTATAGGATTCTGCAGGAGACCCAGCATGCCAGCAGAATTGAGACACGCCTCTGCCACTTAAGATATCCTTCCACCACGCCACAGATATAATGGGTGGGACCTGTGATGCAATGATAGGCTCTCATCCCCTATTCGATGAACGGGACTAAATATGGAAAACCTTAAACAGAACAGCATCAAATACACCGTCAGGCAATGACAATACTACAACTACTTAAAGGTAAAGGGACCCCTGACCATTAGGTCCAATCGTGACCGACTCTGGGGTTGCGGCGCTCATCTTGCTTTATTGGCCAAGGGAGCCAGCGTACAGCTTCCGGGTCATGTGGCCAGCAGGACTAAGCCACTTCTGGCGAACCAGAGCAGCGCACGGAAACGTCGTTTACCTTCCCGCTGGAGCGGTACCTATTTATCTACTTGCACTTTGACGTGCTTTCGAACTACTTACAGGCCTCGAAAAATAAGTGGGACCTGCCAGGATAGCACTCCTTTCTGCTGCCGAACTACAAACAAGACTGGATACTGAAGATCTTCAGAGTTACTCTGCACATTAACCCGGACTGCATCCACCTGCAAAGAGAAAAAAATATGTACAAGCACTCACTAATTAAAAACCCACATGGCGTCGTCTCCAAGGGGGAGGCAAGAGGAACAGATGGTCCCCCACCCTCTGAACTTGAAGTTCCAGATTTCATTTAAAGAACAACAACCAGTTTGTTTCTAGGATTTGTCAAACCTGGGATATGAGGCAAACATTTGCAGGCACCATTCTCCTCATTAGTTTTCTGAGAAACTTGCCTCCGTTTTGCCAATGAACTTGCCATAGATGTTTAATATGTGGTTACCTGCCCCATGTAACAATCTAATTTGAGAGACAAGGCACTTGGAATATTGTCAGCAGTGTCTCTCATAGCAAATGCCACTTGGCATTATGCTGGAGTGCCCTGTCCATCCACCCCTGCCCCCCGCGTCTTAAAAAGATGCCCTCCACGGGGGTGTAGGAAGGCGGCCCGCCCCAGGCGTCATCCTTGAGGGGTGTGTGTGACAAAATGGCACACCGTGGGAGGCGGCACGGGGCCTGGCCTGCAGTGCGCCTGACCCACTCACCTCTCCTGGGAGTGACGCTGTGGCTCAGGGCCATGCGCTGCCCATAATGGCAGCATAGTGCTTGAATCCGCCAGGCAGACTCTGTGGGCAGCTCGCCACGCCACCCCCCTGGGCAAACTGCTGTGCTGCCCCTGTGCAGCACCCCCATACGCGAATCGCTGTGCCGCCTCCATGCACAGATTGCCCCGCCCCCATGGGTAGATCGCCCCACCCCTGCCACTCTGTGCCCCTGGCCCTTCGTCCTGAGATGGGCAGTAATCTTTCCTTGGGGTTGCCCTGACTGCCACTCCTGTTATCTCATATCAAAAACGTCAGAAGGTGTAGTGATAAGCCAAGCTTTTCCTGCTCACAATGTTCAGCAAAAGAGGAAGAATGTAGCCTTGAAATGTAGGAGAACCTGTAACTGCCTGTCAGCTACAGACCCAAAACACCCGCAGGGCAGAAGTGGCTCAAGAAGCCAGATGTCCTCATGGCAGATGTCTATTAATGTTGCCATGGCAACACAAGCTATGCGACAAGCATATCCTTCTCTCCTCCATAAAGTTTAATAAAAGCTGGCAAGGCACCCTTGAGTCCAGGATCCATGGGGACAAAATGAAACCTGCGATATTTCACACGTACGTTCTCCCTGTCAACCCCACACTTTATACTCTTAACCACGTCAATAGTCGCGACACCCTCAGGCACCCCATAGGCTCGGTGCTCAGTGTGGCAGAACTGGTCCCACTGCTCTAAATCTACCTCTTGCCTAGGCCAGAGAGAGGGTGGGAGGGGTTTTTGGAAAAACTTGTAAGCAAGACAAATCCCTTCTCACCAGACCAATGTGGAATTAGAAATATTAAGAACTGTAATTACCAGGAATTATAAAACCTCAAAGCTTATACATTTAGCCATGTCTTTTTATTTATTTATTTGGAACTTCTATGGCATTCTATCATTCCCATGTTCTTCACAGTCATGAAGTCTGAAAGCTCCCATAATAAAATAAGCCTATATTCTCAGAATATAGGATGTGGTCCTTTTGCTGCCTAAAGCGAGGGGCAACCCCCCCCCACCCCATTCCTCTTGCTGAAGCCAATAAGGTTCACACAGATGAATTTTACTTCCACAGGCTCCCATCCTTCAGTGCACTCCAAGAGAGAGGAGCAGGAGCCCTTCATAGCACACAGAGATCTGTACTGCATTAGGGTGGGTGTCTCTCCCCACCCCCGTGTGTGTGTGGGGGGGGCTACCACTGCCCCACTCCTTCCAGCAATCACTGCCTCTGGCAACTGCCTCACTCTGTCAGCCCTGAGCTACACAAAAGCTCTGATGCCAGCCACATGAGACTTCTGGTCCACACATTGCCATCTTTTGCACTGAATAATTTTTAAAGAACAGAAGCTCGTATTTTGAATCCTATAGCCCTTCTTTGAGGTGGTAGTTTGCAAACCACCCAGTATCATGGAAACAGCCTGAGATGCAAATTATAACACCTCAGCATTCTTTAGTGTGTGTGTGTGTGTGTGTCTGTGTGTGGTGTTGTGTAACGTGCATAAAAATGGAAAGTAGATGGTGACCAACCTCCTGGTTATAGTCTCCTTGGTTACCACCTAATGTTTGCTTCTATAAACTACACCATTAAAATATTTTACCATTGTATCCCTTTTCTGGCAGCTAAAGGTAAAGGCAATCACAGCTTTGAAAAGGTGCACCTTATGTTGTGCCAATTTGTGGCCACTTAAAGTAAAGCTTTATTTGCAAGTTTTCAAAGCCTTCTCAAACTAGAGATGTCTTGGAACTATCATTGCCTGAGAAATTTCTAATCAGGCAATGCTACCTTTGATATCTTGTATCTATGTCAATGCTTAAAGAGTTAATGAAATCCCCTCCAGGCTATATACATGTTCTTGAGAATGCAGTCCAGTCCACAACAGAAAAAAGGTTCCCCACCTTTGCATCAAGGCTAAATTTCTTTCAGTGTTTCATTAAAGCAGAGAATGCTTTAATATTCAAGAATGGCTCTGAGCATCTGAATGTGTATCTGAAGAAGTGTGCGGGCACACGAAAGATTATACTCAGAACAAACTTAGTTGTTCTCTAAGGTGCTACTGGACAATTTTTAAATTTATTTCGACTGCGTCAGACCAACATAGCTACCTTCCTGGCTCTGAGTATGAAAGTCAAAGATTTGTACCATTTTCACCCCAGAGGTGGGAGAAAAATGCCCCATGATTTTGGTCTCCTGCTGTGGCTGAGTGGTTAGGAAACGGCTCTGTGGTATCTGCTAGGTAATTTTAATCCCAGGCATGCTCCTCTCTTCTGCCCCTAATATGACTGGGCTTTGTGGGGGTGGGGTGGGGTGTGTGTGCCAGGAATGTAAAACATGAGTGAAGGAAGTGCTTTTTTTCCTAGGAAAAAAGGTGCCAGAACTCACCACCTAAGTCGTGTGGGATGTGACATAAGCCGCAACACTTCCTGTTTGCCCAGAGTGGACATGCGGGGTTACTCCAGTTCCAGAAGGACTTCCTGTCATACCTGCTCTGGAGCTTCCTCCCCCTGTGTGTAACCAGGTAGTTGGGTGTGAGCCTGGGAGACCCCATAAGAGGAGCTGGTTGCGCAGCCATCTTCCTCTTGATGCCATGCTCTCAGGATACTGATGTATTTTGCTGTCTGCTGGCTCTCAGCCACCAGGACATGGGCTCATTCCCATATGGGATGATCTCAAACCTTCTTCTGTAACTCTAAGCGAAAGCCTGCCTTCAGGGATCCAACTGTGAACTGAATGTGAGTAAACTTCTTCTTCTTCTTCTTCTTCTTCTTCTTCTTCTTCTTCTTCTTCTTCTTTTAAAGCTTCTTGTGTCTATATTGTTTTAAGGAGGGACAAAGGGGTCTTACCGGGAATATACTCCAATCTGGGCATGCCAGATTGGATTGCTTAACTAAAGAGATTCAAACGAATCTGCAACTAGCTTCCTGCTGTGTATAGAAGGGAATGAACTCTGCTGTATGACTCACTAGGGTGAGTTAGGAAGGATAATATTTAATCAATATATCCTCTCCTAGTATCCACAACATTCCTACAAGTCGCCAACCCAGACACCACCTCCACCAACATCTTGTGATGCAAGTCATGTGACAAGATGCCAGGTTGGCCGCTCTCCCCACCCCACTCAGGCCACTTTGGCTGCCATCCTGCACACCTCACCATTTAGGGACCTCCTTTGCTGGGTTGAGCAGACTTATTGAGCAAAGCATGGCAAAAAAGGTGCCAGAACTGTGTTCTGGCAGAAAAAAAATCCCTGTGTGAGAGCATGATGTCCCTGGAGCCATTGGACTTGGTGTGCAATGGTATCCCTTTGTGTGCTCTGTAGTCTTTAAGATACAAGATGATGTGCTGGAGGTGTCCCCAATTGTCTCACTGTCACTGGCTGCTTCCATCGCCACACATAATGGGGTGTGTTGCCAGTCCCACCTGCAATTGGAGGGCAGTAACAAAGCTTGTGCTTATCAGGGCAGGGTATCCTTCCATTATCTAACTTTTTTATAAAAAAGTATTTTCCTCTCTTGCCCTAGGCTGAATAAGCGTAGTATTTGGCAGGTGTACAGTGTATCTGTGGGCTGGCATCAAGGTGAGTAAAAGATTACTCTGTAATGGACTGACCTGTGAACCAGGAAGTTAAAGCTTGCCTCAGGCACCGGACACAAACAGATACACACCTTGCAACTATGAGAAAATACAGTGTTGCTGTAGGGCTTCCTGATGCAATGAATGGGAAGTGCTTTTAATATTAGAATAGAATCATAGAGTTGGAATAGACCACAAGGGCCATCGAGTCCAACCCCCTGCCAAGCAGGAAACACCATCAGAGCACTCCTGACATATGGTTGTCAAGCCTCTGCTTAAAGACCTCCAAAGAAGGAGACTCCACCACACTCCTTGGCAGCAAATTCCACTGTCAAACAGCTCTTACTGTCAGGAAGTTCTTCCTAATGTTTAGGTGGAATCTTCTTTCTTGTAGTTTGGATCCATTGCTCCGTGTCCGCTTCTCTGGAGCAGCAGAAAACAACCTTTCTCCCTCCTCTATATGACATCCTTTTATATATTTGAACATGGCTATCATATCACCCCTTAACCTCCTCTTCTCCAGGCTAAACATGCCCAGCTCCCTTAGCCGTTCCTCATAAGGCATCGTTTCCAGGCCTTTGACCATTTTGGTTGCCCTCCTCTGGACACGTTCCAGTTTGTCAGTGTCCTTCTTGAACTGTGGTGCCCAGAACTGGACACAGTACTCCAGGTGAGGTCTGACCAGAGCAGAATACAGTGGCACTATTACTTCCCTAGATGCTAGACTCCTATTGATGCTATACTCCTATTGATATTAGATAAACGCAAAGCATTATTGCAACATGTACCCACTGTACCCACCCCATGTGATGTTTTCTTCCAGCACTAATAGACGCCAGAAGGGAAACTTGTTTTAACCAGGACTATAGCAGAAGGAATAGATTGACACAACTCCCCATGTGTTACAGTACCAATGAAAATCAGGGCTCCCTGCAGCAGTTAAAAAATAACTACAAGTTCAGGTTCACATCTAGCTTCAACCTTAGTGGGGTATATTCACATGGCTCCATCTCATTATTTAATTCCGCTCTAACAGGTATACCATACAACATAGAAACTGGGTACTCTAATAAATGTATCTAGCTATATCTGGGTAAGGTAAAGGTAAAGGGACCCCTGATCATTAGGTCCAGTCATGGCCGGCTGTGGGGTTGCGGCGCTCATCTTGCTTTACTGGCCAAGGGAGCCAGCGTACAGCTTCCGGGTCATGTGGACAGCATGACTAAGCCGCTTCTGGCGAACCAGAGCAGCGCATGGAAATGCCGTTTACCTTCCCACCGGAGCAGTACCTATTTATCTACTTGCACTTTGATGTGCTTTCGAACTGCTAGGTTGGCAGGAGCAGGGACCGAGCAATGGGAGCTCACCCCGTCGCGGGGATTCGAACCGCTGATTCCCCGATCAGCAAGCCCTAGGCTCTGTGGTTTAACCCACAGCACCACCCGTGTCCCATTATATCTGGGTAGGTAACAGCTATATCCCAATGTGTTCTATGGCATCTCCAAAGATTTTATGAATGCATTCTCATTAAACAATAGATGTTTCTTTGTTTCCCTGACAAATATTCATCTATACAGTACTGGACAGAGCTAAGATGTTTGGTGACTCAAAAGCTTCAGACAAACGTGGCCTCTCTCTCTTTTGAATAAAACTCCCAAATCAAGCAAAAAGCTTCAGACAAACGTGATGCCTCTCTTTTTTTCTGAATTAAACTGCCAAATCGAGCAATCAGCCACAGAAAATGTTTCATCAGAAAGAAGGGCAAGAAGTTAAGGATGGATGCATTTAAAACACACACACAATGCAAGTGTTTCCTGGGCAACTGGGTAAGATAATGGACCTGACAAATGGACCTTTCTCCCACCCCCACTATAGACTCTCAAGGAGGGAAGACCAGCAGCCTGCGGTCCCAAACCGCATCTAAAGCGCATCCCCCCCCCCCAAAGAAGGGTTCGAGACATTAGGGTTTCCCCACCGAATCGCCCCAAGGTCGATCCATCTCTCCCAGTATCAACTGCAGCAGCCAGTCAGATGCAGGCGCGCAGGCGAGACGGGTCTCGCTTCCCTGCCGTGGATCTCCTGCCCTTCCTATCCCAGCTCCGGCTGCCTGCAACGGCTCTTCCGCAGAGAGGGCTGTCTGGACCCCCCGACCATCCCTAACGGGGGCCACGCAGGCCTGCCTCTCTCCCGGCGCCCCCCGCCCTGCCTGGGGACACGGGGATCCACGCTCCTCGCCCCGGCAGGTGAATCTGGCTCGGGAGTCTGATGGGGACCGAGCGCCCCTGGAGCCGGTGGTCCGGGCTCTGCTGCCGGGCAGCGGCGAGGAGGAGGACAGCAGCCCGGGGCGGTGCTCCGCCTTACCTGGCCCGGCTTGCTGGTGTAGTTGAAGGCGTAAAGGCGCTCGGCGGCTCGGTTGACCTGGCCGGAGTAGACGACGTCGAACTGGGCTGCCTCTTCGGCGCCGGCGGCCCCGGCGCCTCGCCTTTGCGCGCGGGGAGGAGGCTGCAGCTCGCGGGATCCGGCGACGGCCAGCAGCAGCCCGGCGAGCCTGGCCCAGCCGCTCATGATCCCCCGGCCAGGTGGAGGGGAGGAGGAGGAGGAGGAAAAGAAACCGGGAGCGGCTGGAGCAGGGTCGGCTCTAGCGCCGGGCCTGGCGTCGCCTTCCAGCCGGGGCTAGGCGCTGCTCTCCGCGCCGGGGCTCTCCATGCGCCCGCCTGCAGCCGGAGTAGTGGTGGGTGAATCCGGATCGGAGGCGCCTATGCCGGATCTGCCTTCTCCCCCCGCTCTGCGGCTAATTGATAGACGCCGATCTCCCTCGGGTCGAGACGGCAGCTTCTCCTATTCGGCGCGCAGGGAGGTATCCGCGGAGAACGCAGCAGCAGCCGGCTGCGCAGCGCGCAGATCCCGCAGCAGAAACCCACCTGGGGTCTGGTCACCCCGGGGAAGGGGAGCCGGCCGAGGGTTGGGAACTAACTGGCTGCCTTTCCCTTCTCGGCTGCCCGGAGGACGTGTCCTTCCAACTTTAGGTCTTGCGCAAGGCGGAGGTCGCCGAAAGGCGCGACCCCCTTTTGGCCGGGGTAAAAAAATCGTTTATTGCGCGCGGGGCTCGGCAAGCGGAAAAACCCGGGCGGGAGGCGAACTCCGGCTGGAAACATCACTCGCGATTAACCTTTCACGACGGTTGCGTTTATTGTTACTTGGAGAGCCCCCCGCTTGCTTTTCTCGCAAGACATCGTCTCGTGGGCAGCGATCTGTAAAAATAATGCCCGGAGCCAATCCCACACTTTAGTGCCGGGGTGGTTTGCGCCAGCCTCTGCCACGTGTCCATTTGCAGGCTCCGGCTCATATAATCTCCCTGCTTCCTCCCGTACGCAGCACTTTCGAGAAGGTTGCGAGTACTTATTATTGAAACGTCACATTTAGCTTTCGGATGGGGTGGCGGTGAACGGATTACTGAGATAGATGGTTACGGAAATGGGCCACTTGCATTAAGCCTACTGTATTTCTGTAGCCCTCATTAAATGCCAAATTCTACAGCTTAGTTCTTGAGCAATTGCTTTGATTCATTGATTTAAAAATAAACATAGCCCTCCCTTTCGTATGTTGTGTCATTCGAACAGCAAAAAACAAATGACACAATAAGTTATGCATGAAGAGCGAAATGACCAAACCTGGCTACAACCGCCCCCAAAAAAATGCTTGTTGCATTTGCAAAGGGATAGGTAAAGGGACCCCTGACCATTAGGTCCAGTCGTGGCTGACTCTGGGGTTGGCCGAGGGAGCCGGTGTACAGCTTCTGGGTCATGTGGCCAGCATGACCAAGCCACTTCTGGCAAACCAGAGCAGTGCACAGAAACGCCATTTACCTTCCCGCCAGAGCAGTACCTATTTATCTACTTGCACTTTGCCGTGCTTTCGAACTGCTAGGTTGGCAGGAGCAGGGACCGAGCAACAGGAGCTCAACCCGTCAAGGGGGATTTGAACCGCAGACCTTCTGATCAGCAAGTCCTAGGCTCTGTGGTTTAACCCACAGCGCCACCTGCGTTTGCAAAGGGATAGCACCCCATAAATCAGAGAAGGACCAACCTTCCTTTCTTCACTGATGGTACCTGGGCAAGTTACTGCTTCAAACAAATAACACAATAAATTATGCAAAAACAATAACATAACCAAGGTGTGGGGGGGTGTTAATACAGACAGAGCCCACTAAAAAAAGTCAGACTGTTTAAAACAGTAAAGACACTCAAATTACTTGAGTAAACAAAAAAAATGTTTTAACATGGTTCTGAAATAGAAGTGCTGAGGTTGTAAGCACCTTGCAAGGTAGGTGCCACCGCAAAGAAAGACCTAATACATGTGAACACAGAACAAGCTCCTGTCCCCATTGGAATGTGAATAACCCCCTTAGGCATGTTGATACAGCGAGTCCTTCAGGTGCCTAGCCATTTAGGGCTTCATAGGTAACCACCCAAAACCTGAAATGGGCTTGGAAGTGAGTAGGCAGCCAACACAGTTCTTTTGTAATCTGTGCAATGTGATTTTATCTTGCTGCACTGGTCAAAATTCTGTCAACAACAATTTGCATTATAAAGGAAGCTTCTGAGTAGTCTTCAAGCACGGCTCCATGTACAATGCATTATAGTAGTCCAGCTGGGGTCAGGCTATCCCTATCCAAGGATGGTGATAGCTGAAGAACTATCTTTTTCCTTTCCACCTTGCTGTATATTGCAGTGAAGCTCTTTTATGTCAGGCCCCTTAGCAACCCAGGCCACTATCAAGTGTAAGAAGATAAAGCAAGCTAGTTCCTTCCTTTTCAGTATCCTGTTTCCCCACAGATAGGTAGCTGTGTTGGTCTGCCATAGTCAAAACAAAAAAAATTCCTTCCAGTAGCACCTTAAAGACCAACTAAGTTAGTTCTTGGTATGAGCTTTCGTGTGCATGCACACTTCTTCTTCAGAAGTGTGCATGCACACGAAAGCTCATACCAAGAACTAACTTAGTTGGTCTTTAAGGTGCTACTGGAAGGAATTTTTTCTGTTTCCCCACCTCACCTTTCAATGGACACCCTCAACTTTCCAGTAAATATTTCCTTCTAATCTTGGAACACCAAGAGTTTTCTCCTTAGCTGCAATATTGTCATGCAACCTTTGTTAATACTGTCAAAAAGCAATCTCCTTACCTGATGGCATGATGGGAATTGTAGTCCAACAACACCTGGAGGGCCACAGGTTGCGCATACCTAGTCTAAAGCAATAAAATACCAGTTATTAAGATGGTAGCACTGAAGGCTTGCCTAAAAATAACTGCTTTTAGTGGTTCCCAACTTTTTTTGGCCATGCCCCACCTAAGCATCTCTAAAATCCTGATGCCACCCCGCGCCCCGTGACATATAATTCTTATATGTGCCCCACATTGGGAACCATGGGTCTAGAAGGTTCAGATTTTATTTGGAAACCCAGCCATAATACATTTTAAAGGATGCATCTTTCAGATTGCTACAGCTTCTTGACTTCTGTAAAAAAAAAGATATGGCTGGCTGACCTAGGAAGCTTGAGATCTAATAAAAAGGGGGGAATTTCAGCACCCCCCCACATCACCAGCCAGAGTCCAGAAGCCAGGTCAGATGCTACCATTATTGAGCATGTGCCCATACCCATTCCCTTTGCCATCCCTTTGCATCCCATCCATCCTGTTGCCTCCTTGCCTGCCTTTCCTAAGTGAATGAGAACTTGCGGGAGGGAGGAAAAGGAACGGGGTTGCTGCTTATCATAACTTTGGCCAGTAGGACTCATAGGGCCTTGAGTGAATGGTAAAAGGAGGCAGTCAGTGGTGTCGCAAGGAGGGCGGTGTGCCCCAGGTGCCATGTCTGGGGGTGTGTGACAAGAAGGCACCCCATGGGGTGCTCACCCCGCCGCCCCCAGGCGTGGCGGCGTGAGCTGCCATCACGCTGCTGCTGCCGCATGTGGAGGATCCTCCATTCATGGCTTCAGCCACGAGCAGAGGATCCCGCCATTGTCCATAAGGCGTTCGAGCGGCGCTGGCGGCAAACCGCTACCTAAAACGCATGCACTGTGTCGCACATATGCGCTGTACATAGCGGTGCCACGCATGCGTCGTATGTAGCGGTTTGGCTCACCCTGGGTGTCGGTTAGCCTTCGTTTGTCCCTGGAGGCAGTGGTGAAAGTAGCAAGGAGTTGGGCCCTGTCCAAAGGGCCTCTCAAACCTGGTTCTGCAGGTATCCTTAAAGGAAAAGGCAAAAACATTTAAACAGTTCTGAGGACAACTTTTTTGTGGGGGCTGAATATGGAAGAGTCCCCCACCTTATGGGTCTGAGTTATCATGTATAGTGAAAGGACAAGAATCCAAAAACCAGGAAGAAGCCCTACTCGCATAGAGAACAGTTCTTAAGAGATGAAGGAAGGCAAGGTTTGGCTTGCGGGGGGTCCCAGGGCTCCTTTCTGAAATAATAGCACCTAGACGCCTTACATTTTGAAGCACATTCGAAGCACTGTCTTCCCCTTAAGGAATTCTGGGTTCTGTAGTTTGTTATGGGTTGCTAGGATTTGTAACTCTATGTGATGGGTAAACTACATCGCCCAGAATTATGTGAAAGAAAGCATGTGTTTCCAATGCAATTTAAAGGTAAGGTGTGTAACACAGGAGTGACTTTCCCTCACTTGTATTACCGGTAACTATTGCAGCCAGCCCACATTCTTATAGGTTATGACCTATAACAGGGGTCAGCAAGGTTTACCTTGCCTGGGCAGGTTCACTCCAGTGGAGATCCCTCTGTGGGCTGCATTGCAGGCATGTGAGCATGCACACCCACAATTTCCAGCATCTGCATCTGTGCAGATGCATTTTTCAGCATCTGTGCCTGTACAGACACAATTTCTGGCACCGCTAAAGTGAGTCCCCGTGCTGCACTGCGCTGGTTTAGCGCAGCATGCAGGGACTCGCCGAGCAGGCAGCTCAGTTTGGGGGCGGCTTGGGGGCTGGTTAAACGACCCCCATGGGCTGCTTGTGGCCCATGGGCTTTGGTTGCTGACCCCTGACCTATAATAATAATAATAATGATGATGATGATGATGATGATGATGATGATGATTTATTTATACCCTGCCCATCTGGCTTGGCGGCTCCCAAAAGAATATTAAAAGCACCATAAAACATAAAAAACTTCCCTAAACAGGGTTGCCTTCAGATGTCTTCTAAAAGTCAGATAGTTGTTTATTTCCTTGACATCCAAAAGGAGGGCCCCACTACCGAGAAGGTTCCACAGGGAAGACACCACTACCAAGAAGGCCCTCTGCCTGGTTCCATGTAACTTCTCTCAGTGAGGGAACCAGCAGAAGACCCTTGGAGGAGGACCTCAGTGTCCAAGCTGAGCGACAGGAGTAGAGACACTCCTTCAGGTATACTGGGCCAAGGCCGTAGGGCTTTAAAGGTCAGCACCAACAGTTTGAATTGTGCTCAGAAACATACTGGGAGCCAGTGAAGATGCTTTAGGACCGGTGTTATATGGTCCCGGTGGCCATTCTGGATTAGTTGCAGTTTCTGAGGCACCTTCAAAGGTAGAGTGCATTACAGTAGTCCAAGCGGGCGATAACCAGGGCATACACGACTCTGTTGAGACAGACTGCAGGCAGGTAGGGTCTCAGCCTGCGTACCAGATGGAGCTGGTCTAGCTGCCCTGGACAAAGAATTGACCAAGACTCTGGAACTCCCTCCCTAGGGGATGTTAGACTGGCTCCCTCCTTGTCATCCTTCTGACTTGTTCCAACAGGTTCTTGGGAACTGACTGCTTTTAATGAAAGGGACCACCCTGAGATCTTTGGATGAAGGGCGGTATACAAATTTAAATAATAATAATAATAATAATAATCTACGATTCTACTATGATGCTATTTGTATGGTTTAAACAGATTGTAGCAAAAAACCTGCTAGCACATTTGAAAAGCTAACCAGGGTCTGATATGGTTTCAGTTTGGAGGGGTACCATGTGTTGAGATTCCTGCATTGCAGGGGGTTGGACTAGATGATCCTCATTGTCCCTTCCAACTCTACAATTCTATGATTGTGTTTATTTGGGTTTTTTAAATGATCTTTAGCTCAGTGGTCCTCAAACCTTTTCTCTGGGTCACAATTTCAGAATAAAAATTTGCTTGCACCACACCATTTTTGTTTGTTGATAAGAAATACATCTAGGATTTCCTCACTATCACTTGATGCTCTTGCTCTCATTTTGAAAATGCCATACGTCCGGACATTACCTGGATTTCAAAGGCATCTCTGTCCTGAATCTTAGGCAAGTCAATCGAAAAATCAGTTGAAAAAAATATAGGGTATTCCTAAAAGAAACTCAACAACCTTTGGGGTGTCCTGGTTTTTACTTCTGGAAATATGGTTACGCTATAAGGCCGTGGTTCCCAATCTGATTTTTAAGAGGGGTAATTCGAGAATGAGTTATTAACAGCTAATGGCATTTTAGGCTTTTCCCCTGTGAATAGAAGTTCACTTTTTGAATACAGTGGTACCTCGGGTTAAGAACTTAATTCGTTCCGGAGGTCTGTTCTTAACCTGAAACTGTTCTTATCCTGAAGCACCACTTTAGCTAATGGGGCCTCCTGCTGCACGATTTCTGTTCTCATCCTAGAATCATAGAGTTGGAAGAGACCACAAGGGCCATCGAGTCCAACCCCCTGCCAAGCAGGAAACACCATCAGAGCACTCCTGACATATGGTTGTCAAGCCTCTGCTTAAAGACCTCCAAAGAAGGAGACTCCACCACACTCCTTGGCAGCAAATTCCACTGTCGAACAGCTCTTACTGTCAGGAAGTTCTTCCTAATGTTTAGGTGGAATCTTCTTTCTTGTAGTTTGGATCCATTGCTCCGTGTCCGCTTCTCTGGAGCAGCAGAAAACAACCTTTCTCCCTCCTCTATGTGACTTCCTTTTATATATTTGAACATGGCTATCATATCACCCCTTAACCTCCTCTTCTCCAGGCTAAACATGCCCAGCTCCCTTAGCCGTTCCTCATAAGGCATCGTTTCCAGGCCATCCTGAAGCAAAGTTCTTAACCTGAGGTACTATTACTGGGTTAGCGGAATCTGTAACCTGAAGCGTCTGTAACCGGAGGTACCACTGTAATAAGAATTATATGTCACAGTGGGGGAAGGAATCAGGATTTTAGGAATGCTTAGGTGGGGCATGGCCAAATAAAGGGAACCACTGCTATAAGGTATCTTACCCATAATCTGCAAAACAAACAAAGAAACAAACAAACAAACATACATACATACATTCCTATACTATACTATACTATACAGTGGTGCCTCGCAAGACGAAAATAATCCGTTCCGCGAGTCTCTTCGTCTTGTGGTTTTTTCGTCTTGCGGAGGAACCCTATTAGCGGATTAGCGCTATTAGCAGTTTAGCGGCTATTAGCGGCTTAGCGACTATTAAAGGCTTAGCGGCTTAGCGGCTAAAAGGCTATTAGCGGCTTAGCAAAAGGGGGGGGAGCGAAAAAAATCGCAAGACTCGCAAGACGTTTCGTCTTGCAAAGCAAGCCCATAGGGAAAATCATCTTGCGAAGCTCATCGAAAAACGGAAAACCCTTTCGTCTAGCGGGTTTTTCGTCTTGCGAGGCATTCGTCTTGCGGGGCACCACTGTACTATACTATACTATACTGTGGTACCTTGGTTTACAACCATAATTTGTTCTGGAGGTCCGTTTGTAAACCAAAACACGTTGTAACCCAAGGTGCGCTTTCGCCAATGGGGCCTCAAAAAAAAAAGTGTTTGTAATCCCCCCAAAATGGGTTGCAATCCAAAAAAAGTTTGCAAACCGGGACACGCACTTCTGGGTTTGACGTGTTTGTAATCCAAAATGTATGCAAACCAAGGTACCACTATACTATACTATACTATACTATACTATACTGTACTAAACTGTTTAAAAGTCGTTGAATCTCCTCGCCACACTTGTCATCCTCTCCTGCCACATCAGTACCTCAGGTTAAGTGCTTAATTCGTTCTGGAGGTCCGTTCTTAACCTGAAACTGTTCTTAACCTGAAGCACCACTTTAGCTCATGGAGCCTCGATTTCTGTTCTCATCCTGAAGCAAAGTTCTTAACCTGAAGCACTATTTCTGGGTTAGCGGAGTCTGTAACCTGAAGCGTATGTAACCTGAAGCGTATGTAACTTGAAGCGTATGTAACCCGAGGTACCACTGTATGGACAGGCCCCACCATATGAGAACCACTGCTTTAGCTGTTCTTGTTTTTATCTGTAAGCCGCCTTGAGTCCCTGGCAGGAAAAAAGGCGGGGTAATAATAATAATAATAATAATATATAATAATTAATAATAATAATAATTTCATTCGCCTCTTTTGGGCAGGCGGGGGAAGGAGGTTAGAGCCGGCACTGGGACGTGGCTCCCTCCCGAGGGATGCACTGCAGTCGTCGGGCGTCCTGCAAACTCTCGGCGCGCTCTGCTGAGGGGAAGAGGCCCGCCGTCCCGGCCTTCGCTCCGCGGCGCCGCCTTCCCTTCCCGCCCAGAGCCGGGCGGGGTTGCCGGGGCAACGGGCGCCAGGCCTGCTCTCCTCCACGCCGCCCGCCTCAAGTTGTGCGCCGCGGCCGGCGCTTCTCTCTCCGCGCTCGGAGTCCCGCCCCTTCAAGCCGCCGCCGCTTGAGCGCCGCTTCGGGGGCCGCGGTTACTATTATTATTATGATGTCGCTGCTGAGGGCGAGTCGCTTGCCGGCCTCGGGAGCCAAGAGGAAGCCGCCCAAGAAGGCGAGGAGGAAGAAGCAGGACTGGGACGTGAGTAGGAGCGGGGGGGGGGAGCCAAGCTGTGAATAATAATAATAATCTATTTTCCTTTTTAGTCGCAAGAGTCGTAGATTCGTAAATGGAATTCACGTTTTCTAAATGCTTTATGACAGATTCCATTTGTTTGTTTTTAAAAAATGAGTCAACCAAAAGTTTTATTTTTCCAGTTTATCACCACAACAGTTACTAACACTATTAATAACCAGCAAAGCAAATAATTTAATTAGACAGCGCCTCTATGACATCCAGCGACAGAATAATCCAGCCCCAATAAGGAAATGTGGTCCGTGGTGGGATTACTTTCCACCTGGTCGTCTTTGCAAAATTTAACGGTCCCCAAATACAGACGTGCTTTCACTTTGGCAAGTTTGAATATACTGGCTTGGGCTGCACTTGAGAGTCGATTTCCAAAAAATCCACTGGGGAGATGGCAGTATTGAGTCAGTGGCTCATGGGCTTCTGGCTGCACTCTTTATGAAGATTTGAGGAGTGAGGTTATTTATTATATTTATTATCCCTCTATTATTGTCCATTCCGGGTTGCTCAACCCTTGATACTGTGTCCTTTCAAGATGATCAGGTGACAGCAAAAACTGGAAGGGCAATTAGAATAATATCTCTTATTTGATTATTGATGTCAACCCCCAAAATGTGTTTTCTAGAGTTAAGTTTTTACCTCTGTCTTCAGTATATTTTATTCTATTTTATTGCTCTGGCTAGTGGCTCATGCAAATAAAGATTCCTCTGAGTTGGAGAAGAAGGCGGGTTTGCCCAGCAGGTTTGGAATCAAAACCTAAAAGGAACCAAACCCAATAAAATCTAGTGTGTAAACTTTTGACTTTACCAACACTTCTGTTCAGGCTGGAGATATATATATATAGAGAGAGCGCGCGTGCAAGCAGTGCCTCCCAAACTTTTTTTGGCCATGCCCCACCTAAGCACCTCTAAAATCCTGATGCCACCCCCCACCCCACCCTGTGACATATAATTCTTATTATTCAAAAAGTGAACTATTCATGTGGAGGAAGCCTAAAACACCATTAACTCAGTGTGACTCACTCTCAAATGGCCCCACTTAAAAATCAAATTGCCCCCTTTGGGAGTGGGCCCCACGTTGGGAACCATGGATATATATAAAGTGGTACCCTTGGGTTAAGTACTTAATTTGTTCCGGAGGTCCATTCTTAACCTGAAACTGTTCTTAACCTGAAGCACCACTTTAGCTAATGGGGGCCTCCTGCTGCCGCCGCGCTGCCAGAGCACGATTTCTGTTCTCATCCTGAAGCAAAGTTCTTAACCCGAGGTACTATTTCTGGGTTAGCGGAGTCTGTAACCTGAAGCGTATGTAACCCGAGGTACCACTGTATAGAGGGAGAGAGAGGGTGTGGGGGGGAGAAGGTGTTAGGGGTATAAAAGCTGCGGTTTGTGGAAGCCTCCTTTGTGCTTATGCAGGAATTCCTGCCCCAATGGGATACAGAGGGAGAGATTTGCGAGTGCACTACTTCATGATTTTTTTGTTAGCCTCCATCCTCCATGGAGGAATTAATTCTGGAACTTTTAGGCCAGCTTGGCAACTTGTGCTTGAGTCTCCCCGATTTCACGTGTCAAAACAATCACAGATGTGAGAGCCTAGGCTATCAAAATTTATGGGAATTTAAAACCATTTTTTAAAATGTTTACTTGGAAGTATGCCTGCTTTCGCTATTATTTCCTTTGGTGTATGTGCGCAGACATAATATTGCAGCAGTGCCATACTCAGTTTTCTTCTTCTTTCAGTAGTGCAGTTCTTCGTGTCAGTAGCTTGCTCGCCTGGCAAAAGATTCCTGCATTGAAGGGGCTTGGATTAGATGACCCTCGTGGTCCCTTCCAACTCTTAGGATTATAAGACGTTCCTCAACTGAGGAGGCAGCTGTGCTCTTTCCATTGTATTGTATAGCCCTGCCCTCTAGGTTCCTGGGTGTGCTAAAATGGGGTGGGATGGTTAGAACTGACCTATCTATGGATAGAAGAACTTGGAGAACGTATGTTATTAATTTGATGTACTTGGTTTCATGTTCTAACCTTGCATTTGGTATGCTTTGTTGCAGAACACTGTTCATGATCTCACCGTGCATCGTGCAACTCCTGAAGATCTTGTAAGCTGGAAATTTGTCTTTCTTGACATACTTTGTTGTTGTTGTTTAGTCGTTTAGTCGTGTCCGACTCTTCGTGACCCCCTGGACCAGAGCACGCCAGGCACCTCTGTCCTCCACTGCCTCCCGCAGTTTGGTCAAACTCATGCTGGTAGCTTCCAGAACACTGTCCCACCATCTCGTCCTCTGTCATCCCCTTCTCCTCATGCCCTCCATCTTTCCCAACATCAGGGTCTTTTCCAGGGAGTCTTCTCTTCTCATGAGGTGGCCAAAGTCTTGGAGCCTCAGCTTCAGGATCTGTCCTTCCAGTGAGCACTCAGGGCTGATTTCCTTAAGGATGGAGAGGTTGGATCTTCTTGCAGTCCATGGGACTCTCAAGAGTCTCCTCCAGCACCAGAATTCAAAAGCATCACTTCTTCGGCGATCAGCCTTCTTGATGGTCCAGCTTGACATACTAGGGAGGCACTTAAGGAGGCTTGCCTTAGACATAAAATTATAGAAGTAAACCACAGATTTGCTCTTTTTAATTCTGGATGTGTCCCAGTCATGTATAACGTGGAGGCTGGGGGTCCAGTGCTGGATCTTGAATGAAGAGAATATTGACTAGGGAGAGGGGTTACAAACTGTAATGATGCAAGTGCAAAGGGTGTGTGCAGTTAGCATCCTGTATCCCTATATGCTTCCTTCTGTTGCTGATAGTGCAGGTCTCCACTACATTTGATGGCTACCTCATTAGCCATCCCTTATCCATCCCTTCCATGCTTCTCTGTTGCTTGTTCTTCTCTCTTTCTCTGACATGCTCACAGTCCATTGCAAAGCTTGTATTAGGTGAACCATCTCCAAGTGTTTAGAAGAAGAGTTTGGATTTGATATCCCACTTTATCACTACCTGAAGGAGTCTCAAAGCGGCTAACATTCTCCTTTCCCTTCCTCTCCCACAACAAACACTCTATGAGGTGAGTGGGGCTGAGAGACTTCAGAGAAGTGTGACTGGCCCAAGGTCACCCAGCAGCTGCATGTGGAGGAGCGGGGAAGCGAACCCGGTTCCCCAGATTATGAGACTACCGCTCTTAACCACTGCACCACACTGGCTGCTTGTGCTTTTGTAACAGTCTGCATATGGCACTAAGATAGTGACCCCGCTGTCTAGTTTTGCCCAGTGTATAGAAGTGTAAAGACAGAAAGCCTTCTAGTTGTTTCGTATCGTCACTATCATCTCCTTCATTTGTTCCTTGGCTCTGGTTTGAGGAAAATCTCTTCCTTTCCAGGTACGACGCCATGAGATGCACAAGTCAAAGAACAAAGGCATTGTACACTTTGAACTGCAAGAAAAAGCACTGAAGAGCAAATGGAAGAAGCAGAGACCAAGAGTTCCAGAATCTCTGGAAAAAAAGAAACTGGCCTTGATGAGAGAGGTAAGAAATGGTTATATAGTTTCCTTGTGGCTGATATAGTAAGCTAGTCATCAGCTGTGGTTCTGCTGGGGGTGAGGAGAGCTCTCTCTGCAGGGTGGCATGCACAGTTCTTTCCTCCCAACTACCTGAGATCCAGCTTACTTTTCATGTGTGCAAGGCTTCCTGGTGAACTATTCATTCATTATGTGCCTGGAGTTCTCTAATCTGGAGAGGGCACACTCAGCCTCATAGTGTGCTTCAACCTTGTAAAGTGAATAAGATCACAAAAGTATGTTTATGCTGGTTAAAAGGGAGTCGGAAACCACATCCTCTGTGACCAGGCGGCTGGGTTTTTCTAAAGCCTTCTACCAGGTGTCCTTGTAGAAAGGGGGTGGAATGGTCCATAATTTCTCCACTAGCCCAGTGAATTTGTTTGTTTGTTTATAAGGTCTCAGAGCAGGTTGCAACAATACAATTATAGCTTTATAAAACCAAGTAAAGCCAGTAAAATTGTTTCAGACAAAAACAGAACAGTATAGATTAAACAAAACCTGGATCCCTTTTTAAAAATTGGTGCTACATTGGCTACTTACCAGCCTTCAAAAGATCTTAGGGACAAGTTACATATTTTTGTTATCCTTTTGTTAGCTATAATGCTGTCTTCATTAAGGCGGGTCATAAAATAACATCATTTTCAAAGAAGCATTTAGTCTTTTAGACAATGCTGTACAAATAAGCCTAAGATGAGTGCTAAAGAGTGACTGGCATAGACTGCCTTGGTCATGCCTCAAAATAAGTAATTTCAAATATTTGCCACATGTAGATGTATTTTTAAATGTGTTACTTATTGAATTAATCATGCCCATCTATTGGTCCTAATAAAAGGTAGCATTTCAAGGATGATATAGGCAGCAGTATTAATAATTTATATGATTAATAGTGGCATGTAACCTGTTTTGAAGAGTGCGTAGGGCCTGGGGAAGGAAAGAGAAGTGTAAAATGTGTGTGTTCTGTGCTTTCATTTTTTTAGATTCTTTCTGATCAGTACCAGTTACAGGAGGTCCTGGAGAGATCTGATCAGGCCATGGCTGTGGTGAAGGATCTATTTGGAGATGCCCCTCGCAGGCATTTAGGTGAAGTTTTACTGAGTGAGATATAGTTTTGTTTAGCAGACCCAAGCAAACCCAAAATGAAAGCTGTTTACTGGAAATGATAGCTTCATGTTTCCTAGTGTGATAATAACATAGAAATATGTTCTGTGACAACAGCCACAAACATGACTCCAAATTTTCCTAGTAGCATACAGGTAACCCCCCCCCCATTTACATGTGTTCACAACTATATGTGCATTGTGCAGACCCCAGAGTTAACCTGAAAATGTCATAAAATACATTTTATGTATTTTACATAAAGGGTGGGTCGGGGCTGAATGGGGTGTTTGCAGGCTTTTGCGGGCTTTTTCGATTACACACAATTTTACAGAAGTGCTTGATGATCCAGAAACCAAGCCCTGCGCAAATCGGGGGTTGACTGTATAAGCAAGTGATCTATTTAAACTGAATTCTGTTGGTTTTGCTAAGAGAGTGATGGCTGGGTCTTGACTGGTGCTCCAGAGAGTTACACAGTGTAAATTGCCAGTGTGGAAACCATATTTTCTCCCTTTGCGTCTACAGATGTTTCACCTACAGCAGCATATACGCGTCCATCCCATTTGGCCTGATAAATTCCACCACATACAGTCCTTTGCTCTGCATTTGTTACTCAGTTGGCAAACTATGAACTGCATCACGTTTCCTATGAGGAAAGGGTACAGGTTTATAAAGTGATACATATATTGTGGAGAAAGTGGATAAAAGACCCTTCTCTCTCTTTCTGGCCCACAAAAGCGTATCATGCAATAAAAACATTAGTGTTTAAGAGCTTATGGTGCCACACAATGTTCTATTGTTTTTCTACAACAAACTAACGGTATCTAGAATTTGTAGAAATATAAGATAGTGTCTCCATGGAAGGCAACAAAGGATTGCTACGTTTGTGCAGTAGGCTCAACATCTAATCTTGGGCCTAATGAATGGAAGTCTTTATTTCTTTTCTACCCTCTAGGTTTCCCAAATGTGACCGTGGCTCCTGATTATGATGTAGAATGCTCCCAAGGTCCCATCGTACAAAAATGTGATCCCCCCACACAGCTCTCTCTTCTTAGTGATTCTGTCATGGATCCACAGGTGGCGTATTTTCCATGTAAACTTTGTCACTAAATAAATAGAATAGACCAAGGACTGTGTCTTTTGCATTTGATACATAGACATGCCCCTTTTCAAATTATACCAGTGTTAGTCATTCTGTGGAGTGAAATGAAATGGCAAGCACATGCCAGTTAAGAGAAGATGTCTGCAGATAAATTCAGTTACAGATAGGTAGCCGTGTTGGTCTGCCATAGTCAAAACAAAAAAAATTCCTTCCAGTAGCACCTTAAAGACCAACTAAGTAAGTTCAAGAACTAACTTTGTTGGTCTTTAAGGTGCTACTGGAAGGAATTTTTTTTGCAGATAAATTGTTGAGGATAAGTCTGGTGTAAACTTTCACAGATCCATAGTTGCAGCAGTGACTCTTAAGATATAACAAGAGGTGCTTGAAATAACTCTTAAGACTGCAATCCTTTGCATACTTATGTGGGATTAAGTACCATTGAACTTAGTGGGATTTACTTCTGAGTAGACATGCATAGGGTTGTGCTGCAAATACAAAATTGAATGCAGAAATAAATGTTTGTACTCGTTTTATTTTAGCAAATTACTTACTGACAGTAGTGGGTACAAATAATGTTTATTGAAACCTGAACACTTCAGTTTTGACTTTAATGAAATCAAGGCAACATAGATTGAAAGCAAAAGTGTGTTTGCACTTAGTTGTTTAAAAATGCTGTGGCATTACAGTAAGTTTTCCCTTTCCACTTCTGGGCAATTGGGAATTGTCTTTCTGCCCTCTGTTGGTGTGAAATTAAATTTCTTGGGACACAAAACTGTGTGTTTCCTTTAGCTGGGCTTGCAGCAGTTGTGATTTCTGGCTATTGGCTCACTGTGTTTTGTCAGCCTATGAAATATGTCAGTTTAAATTTCTCCCATGCAAATGTTTGAGATGTTATATCTGTCTCCTGAAAGGGTCTCAATGAAGTAGAAGGAGAAAATTATTTGATGTGCAAGACAAACAGTGAGAACGATACGTATTTGAGCTTCAGATCTGACACTGATACAGAGAGGTAAGTGTGTATCTCTGTCTCCCTTCATAGTTTTGTATACCCTGCATAAGCACAAATAGTTTCTTGCTTGATACATGATCTACTAATCCAGCTGTTCAGCTCTGCTATTATCTCTCATGTATATGATCTTCTAAATGTTGCTATAATGCTTAAATAAAATCAAACCTTTGCCTTTTAAATTTATATTAAAAACAATATCACAATAAACCAGAACAAGATATAGTACATATCCTTTACATATTTGTAACATCACTGGGAGATATCCAAGTACAGGCATGTAACAATGAAGGTTAAGCTAACACACACTGTGGCAATAAATATTTCCAAAATGTCTTCTTAAACTTAGGCAATATTATATTAGCATCTTGTCTAGTTAAAAATGTTGTGAAAGGCCTCCATATTGCTATGAAGTTATCATGACTTCCAGCACCTTTGAGGGCTCTACTTTGCTTCCCAGCTACCACAATAAACCACGTTTTGCCTGCCAGCATTAAACTGTAAATGGTGATGACTGAAGGCAGTGCTGGGCTATTTCTATTCATGGTGCTGCTAGCAAAAATGTAATCAACTCTTTATAAAAAGAGCTCTTGTGTGGCTTCTGGAATCACTGCCCAAAGGGCTAGCGCTGGATCTAATGCAATCAATTTTGTTCCACTATAGCTGATATTTACCAAAATACACTTTGCCAAAATAAGTATAGTATGCGGCACTGAAAGCTATCTAGCTCCAAGGTAGGAATGATGCTGTAAACTAAGCACAGCATAGGGTACCAAACCATGTCCATTATGGCTAAAATAATGTTTCTGTTAAGGGCACAGCGATAAAATTGTAATCTTCCTAAAGTTTTTCTGCATCTCTGCTCTTCACTTAGGATGCTTCACCTTCTGAAAGAAGAAAACTCTGTGGCCGGTGGCCAGCATGAAGTTTCTAAGCAACAAGTATCATCACAGGAAGTCTATGTGCTTTCAACCCCAACAACAAACGTTCAGCCATTGGGATCCACAGGTTCATTTTACTCTCTTTTTAAACAACAAACCAGTCAGAAACGAAACAGTAGGTTCTGTGGCTTGCTGTAAGGAAGCATGGGGAACCGGCGGCCCTCCAGATGTCACACACCATCTCCTCTTAGCCCCAGCCAGCATGGCCAGTCGCCACGGATGATGGGAACTGTGGTTCAGCACTATCTGGAGCACCACAAGTCCCCCACCTTGCTGTAGGGCATGGATGGAGAATTGCAGGATCGGGAGCCATATGTGGACTCTAGATCTCTCTGCCTGGCCCTCAGGCCACAGCCAACCGTGGCCTTGTTCCATGCCCTCCTTATCCTAGCTGAAATGTAGCCAAGAGTCTTGGCTGGATGGAGGAATGAAGGAGGTGTTGGTGCATAGAAAGCGCTTTGCATAGATGGACCGTAGCCTGGTGTACAGAGGTAAAAGTCCCATTCATTTCTCTGCTCACTTTTGCCTCTGGCCTCATCCGTCACTGGCAGACAGTCCCCGGAAATTTCCCCATGAGTAAATGCAGCCCTCAGATTGAAAAGGTTCCCCAACTCTTCTGTAGTGGAAGGTATGTTTTGGATTATTTTAGACTAATTAAAACACTGTCTACATTTTTTAAAAAAATCATTTAGCCCTTAATGCTACTAATGTAGTCAAGAAAGTCCACTCAAAACTTCGGTATGAAGAGCAGACTCCAGATGCCACATACATTGTGCAGCAAGTACTGAACGCCAATGTAAGGAAGCCAAAGCAAACCACCAAAGGTATGTCTTAGTGTATCTCTCCTCTCGTATATTTCTCAGTCTCTGTTTGGTTGCAACCTCCCTTGTGCCCATCTGTGTGGAACAATTTGTCTTTTGGAAGGAGTGAATTAACCTTTTTAAAACCAGACTTTACTAAAGATACGTAGTGTGAAGATTCGTATGTGAAACAATCTGCACCCTTGATAAATAATAATTCCTGTGTATAATGTGCATGTATGTAGCTGTCAGGGGCTCAGGAGCAGAGGCGCAGGGGGGAGAGGAAATGGAGAGCGAAGGGGAAGAATCTGAGGGCAGCGGAGGGGAGAATGACAGTGACCCGAGAGATTCCATGAGCCTCTCCAGTGAATCAGAAGATTCCCAGAAGGGGGCGCCGATGGCCAGGGCAAGGGGGGTCCCAGGGGGGACACACCAGAAGCAGGGGGCCAGCGGAGACTCCCAAAGCAGTAGCTGGAAATCAGGACCAGCTTCCCCACCAGAGCGTAGTGGGGGGGAAGAGCCCCATAGGTCAGAGTCAGCGTCTCCTCCGGCAAGCAGGGAGGAGGAGTCAGACCCAGCTACATCCCCGAAGAGGGAAGCAGCGACAGGAGCAGTATAACGGTCAGAAGGAAGGTGGCAGGCTAGGCGCGCGCGCCAAGTTCAAATGTGCAGGCGCGCGGGACAGCAGAAAACCCGGATTGGGAACCAGGTCCTAAAGCTCGCCGGAGGGAGGGGGAAGACTCAGGGGACTCAGCGTCAGAAGAGTCTAGGAAGGGCAGGACCTCGGCGGACAAGCGGACCCAGAGGAGGAGGGAGCAGAGGAAGAGGTGGAGCAAGGCTAGGGTCTTAAACTGGTGTCTGGGGGGAGGAGACTCAGACGGAGCTTCGGCGGTCTAGGGTTTAAGACGTAGAGCTGCGCGCCGTGGCTGTAAAAGAGAAACTGAACTTCAATAAAGACTATTTTATATAACAACGGACTGGCGTTGGTCCTCTGTGAGCTGGGACCTGAGGCAGCTCTGACAGTAGCACTCAAATCCAAGATGTGTTTCTACACCTAGAGGGTGCTGCTATCTCGAGGAAAGGAGCCAACAAGACCTTCATTTCTTGTGAATTGCTGCTAGCCTTCTGCTTCTCCTTAATCTAGTTTGGAGTTTAATCTAGTTTATGCATAATACTGTTCTGTGCATTTCATAAATATGCCAGATAGAATTACAAAAGCAGTAAAAGGAAGAGTTTAGATTCACTAAGAAAATAGTATTGCATGCATTCCAGCATATTACCCAAAATCATTGTTTCTCCTTCACATCCCCCCACCCCACAATGCTCCCCCCTCCATGGCCTAACTAGATAAGTTTTATTTTATGCTGTTTTGCAGGGCAGGTATCTGCAGGAAGGTAATAGTGTAGCATTCACAATTGGATCACCTTGCTGGTCTGCCTCTTACTATTTTGTGACTAGTATACCTTTGAAAATCTTTTCTGAGCAGATTTGTTCTTGGAGGTTCCTTTAATTCAGAATGTGTGGGATATGCACTGTGTGTGAACCAGACATTGGAATTAATTTAATAGTAGTAGTAGTAGTAGTAGTAATAATAATAATAATAATAATAATAATAATAATATGTTTATACCCTGCCCATCTGGCTGGGTTTCCCCAGCCACTCTGGGTGGTTCCCAACATAATGATGATGATGATGATAATAATAATAATAATAATAATAATAATAATAATAATAATAATAATATAAAACATCAAACATTAAAAACTTTCCTAATCAGGGTTGCCTTCAGATATCTTCTAAAAGTCAGATAGTTGTTTATTTCCTTGACTTCTGATGGGAGGGCGTTCCACAAGGCGGGAGCCACCATCGAGAAGGCCCTCTGCCTGGTTTCCTGTAGCTTCACTTCTCTCAGTGAGAAATTGCCAGAAGGCGCTCGGAGCTGGACCTCAGTGTCCGGGCTGAACGATGGGGGTGGAGACGCTCCTTCAGGTCTGCTGGGTCGAGGCCATTTAGGACTTTAAAGGTCAGCACCAATACTTTGAATTGTGCTTGGAAACATACTGGGAGCCAATGTGGGCTCTTTCAGGACTGATGTTATATGGTCTCAGCGGCCACTCCCAGTGCCCAGTCTAGCTGCCCCATTCTGGATTAGTTGTAGTTTCCAGTCACCTTCGAAGCTAGCTCCACTTAGAACGCATTGCAGTAGTCCAAACGGGAGATAACTAGAGCGTGCACCACTCTGGTGAGACAGTCCGTCGGCAGGTTGGATCTCAAGAGACACTAGGTTTTTTATGAACATGCATATCTAGGACTTGCCAATCAGAAGGTCGGCGGTTCGAATCCCCGTGATGGGGTGAGCTCCTGTTGCTCGGTCCCAGCTCCTTCCAACCTAGCAGTTCGAAAACACGTCAAAAGTGCAAGTAGATAAATAGGTACCGCTCTGGCGGGAAGGTAAACGGCGTTTCCGTGCACTGCTCTGGTTCGCCAGAAGCGGCTTAGTCATGCTGGCCACATGACCCGGAAGCTGTACGCCGGCTCCCTGGGCCAGTAAAGCAAGATGAGCACCGCAATCCCAGAGTCATTCACAACTGGACCTAATGGTCAGGGGTCCCTTTACCTTTATATAATAATAATAATAATAATAATAATAATAATAATAATAATAATAATTAATAATAATTTTCCCAGCCACTCTGTCTAATTGCTGTCTAAAGCTTGAGTTGTTGTGCAAGGATTTAAAATTTCTAAACCTTCATCAAAGTTTAGCAAAGTGGTGGGGAACCTTTGTAAGCACCTTAATTCTCTTCAGCTAAAGTCCCCCTCCCTCGCTTTTATTTGCGTCAAAGCACTCTGTTTAAGTGCTAACTTCTGCCTTGCTAAGGACAACATGCTTCCTTGTCCTCTTCTCAGTGAAGAAGAAGCCAAGTGTGCAGACCCCAGAAGCACAGAAGAGGAGTAACTGGAGTCCTGCTGCAGCTTCCCTTGACCTCCCCAACGGCAACAAATCCAGCCTTGAGGTCTTGAACCAAATGGTGTGCGATATGGAGAATGAAATGGAAGAATATGAGAGATGGATGGGCCATGAAGTGCAGCAATTCCACAGCAGCCAAGGTCTCTCTGGATTTACCCGCTCGCTGGTGAACGCTCTGTGTCGAGTGCTGCGCTATTTGAAGGAGGTGGGAAGATACAGCAAACTGCTGCTTGTAGCCACCGTAATATTTTGAACAATGTTGACTGTGCTTTTTCAGTAGTTTGGTGCTGTTTGTTTTACGTTGTTTCCCATTGATTTTGAAGAAAGTAATATTTGGATTGGATTTATGTCCATTCTGTTGCACCGGCCTCAGAACAGCTATTTTTAATATATAGTCAGATGATTAATGAACAAATGTAAACTTGTTTTTTTATATTAAAAAACACCACAAACTCCCTTATACCTCTCCCTCTAATAGTGAACTCGTGGTAGTATGCCAAAGCAGGGCCATTGAGAAACAAGATGGAGTGAGTGGCAAGCTAAAACTTTTAAAAACCATAAACTTAAGACCCCCGTTAGGATTGAGTACAGTCACTAACAAAGTAATATTGAGTGTTAATTGGACAATAGGTAGTGGGGTTGGACTATTACGACTTGGCTGTCTGGATGAAATCCTTTAAAATAACACATTGACATATGGATAAAGTTACATTGCATAATTTTGTTGCAGGTTCCACTTGCATACTTATAGTACCATTTCCAAAATTCCAGTTCAAGGTGCCAGTTACTGGTTTGATGCCACTCAAAGGTTTAGGCCCAGCTGTCCGTCCCGGGGAACACCATCCAACATTCCTTTTTCTCTAGGCCCATATAGGATGGAATGACACCTCGCTTTGTTTGCCATCATAGTGCAGAAAAATGCAACCAGTTAACTCAAGGAATATTTATAACTATGGCCACCATGTTATGTTATGCTCTTCAAAGGAGACTCACCAGTTACTGTGGTGTGCTGTGCTTTGCCCAGTGCAATGGCTGCCTTTTAATACATTTAATAATTATAATTGTTTTTATGGGCGTTAGGTTGGATTTACTAGGTCAGACTTTATGTTTAAATTGCTAGTTTTGTACCGCTGCATTGCAAAAAAGCATATGGGGATTATACCTGAATTTATTTTTATCTGAAAACATTTATTCTTTGAGTGGGAGGGAGGAAAAGGCACATCATGATCCCTACATCCCATCAATTTACCTGGGATGAAAGTATATTTAGGATGAGCCAAACTTCATTACTGATGACATAGAGGCCCTCATTCTGATAATCCGCAAGTGTAGTTGGGGGAAATTGAGGCTGGCTCTGTACAGAGGATGTTATTCAATGCTACTCAGGTTAGACCCATTGAAGTCAATGGATATGATTAATTTAGGTTCATTGATTTCAATTGGTCTACTCTCAGTAGGACTTAGTTGAATACCACCCACTGTACTTAATCCCTGGTTAATGCTGCCAAGGCAAAGCAGACAACACCAAAGCAACCTCTGGTAGTAAGATTAGTTTCTGATCTATGTCCTGCAAGGAGAAGGTGCATTGAACATTCAGCTAGTGTAACATGCATCATTTTCCTACTCCCCCCCCCTACCCTTTATGCCCCAGTATTTTGGCTTCGACTTTGAAGGTAAAGGAGGGAAAGCTTCACCTTTCACTTTGAAGTCTGACCTTCATTCAAATGCTGCTGAACCCTGATAACTCCTGCTTTCACAACGAATACTTCAGCTGTCACTTTACTGTGGCTGATTCCTCCCTCTCCCTCTTTCCCTGTCCCCAAAAGACTGAGACAAGGCTGCGTCAAGAAAAGCTGAACAGGCAAAAACTTGAAGGAGAGCTAAGTGAACACAGGGCCCTCATTGATGCTCTAACTGCTGAAGTCCTCCTGGCGAGAGAAGAAAATATTGCTATGCAGGTACTACCCAGAATCTATGTAACCTAGGCACGACCTGCAATTGGAATTTAATGCCAGCTTATATTCCCTTCGTTTGGTGATGTGATGTATTTCCAGACACAATGCTTTGAATCCCTTGGCAGAGCAGCAAGGGGCTAAATGACTTTAGTAGCTGAACTTGAGCAAGAGATGGACTTGTACCCCTTGTCATCTTATCTCTACGGGGATTCAAGTCTGTATCCTCATGATACATTTGCTGTGTTCTCCTTGTTCACACCTAGTATTTTTGCTTCCGCTGTGAAAGCATATCTGACCTTTTGGTTCCAACTTCAGAATTCATGTGATAAACACTTTAGTAGCACTCAGTTATTGTTTATGTTATATGTCTATTGCATTAGTACAGTTGAGAGCAAATATGTGCTTATGGGACTACTAGGGGTGTGGGCGGATGCTTGTAAATAACCCATTATGCTTCATGTTTGCCTGTTGCAAGTGAATCAGAATGGTGATTTTGGTCCATTTCTTGCTCCCTTTTTGTCTTCTAGAATAAGTTTCAGCACTACACGGTTGTAACAGATGAACAACTGACTTCACTCACACGTGCATTTAAAGGGCTTCCCATTACAGATTCTGGAGAACTTTCAGTCAGGAGTCCAGAGGCAGCTCAAGGTACAAGTCTTCACTAGGGAAACCTCAATAATCTGAGTGACACGACAGTTTCAAAACTTAGAATTTTAAAAAAACAGCTGGACTGCTGCTTGATAGCTGTCTGATTTGTTCTGGTGGTGATTGGTTCTGAATGTGTAGGTACTTACACATGGTGTTCATTGTGGTTTTTCAGGGCTTTGCCCAATACAGTGGAACCTTGGTTCTCGAACTTAATCTGTTCGACTCCCGAAACCATTTGAAAACCAAGACGCGGCTTCCAGTTGGCTGCAGGAGGAGCTTCCTGCACCTCAAGCGGAAGCTGCGTTGGACATTTGGCTTCTGAAAAACATTCAAAAACTGGAACACTTACTTCCGGGTTTTCGGCGTTGGGGAGCCGATTTGTTTATCAGCTAAGCCGTTCACAAACCAAGGTTTGACTGTACTATATCAAACATGGAAGAGTAAATAGCTGTTACGGTCCCCATTCCAACACTGCACTAAGTAAAGTAAAGGGATCCCTGACCATTAGGTCCAGTCGTGACCGACTCTGGGGTTGTGGTGCTCATCTCGCTTCATTGGCCGAGGGAGCCAGCGTTTGTCTGCAGACAGCTTCCGGGTCATGTGGCCAGCATGACAAAGCTGCTTCTGGCGAACCAGAGCAGCACACGGAAACACCGTTTACCTTCCCGCCGGAGCAGTACCTATTTATCTACTTGCACTTTGATGTGCTTTCGAACTGCTAGGTTGGCAGGAGCAGGGACTGAGCAACGGGAGCTCACCTCATCACGGGGATTCGAACCGCCCACCTTCTGATCGGCACGTCCTAGGCTCTGTGGTTTAACCCACAGTGCCACCCGCGTCCCCCAACACTGCAATACTTTCCCACTAAAATCCCTCCAGGCCGTTGTTGGTCTCTGAAGGTAATATTTGAAGTCAACAGCAATTCTGGGGGAAATGGCAGTCACTGTCCATTTTTCCTTTAAAATGAAAAGCATCAAGCACATTTTTAAAAAGCATGGGTAACATAACATTTAGTTGGCCCTAAGATGCACTGTTAGATTTGATTAACTGTTTCAAGTTTTCCTCCGTCTAATATAATACATTGCCCTCTTTATTCTCTCGTCAGAAAAATGCCTCTCAAACTATGTTGGGCCAAAGAGAAATACACAAGTGGATATTCCCAATAAAGCCCCAGTCTTTCCAAATCCTTTGGATAAAATGCATCCAACCCCAACTTTACCTGCTTGTTTATTCCAACCAGCTGTTTTGTTATCTCCACCACAACAGAAGAGCAGCCAGGCATGGCCTCCTCTTCAGAATGGTAAGAGGGTCATTTTGACTGCCTGACAGCTTCCTGACTTTGTTTCCGTAATCAACCCTCCATCAGTCACATTGTGGACAAGTCCTTTTATGTCTTCTAATCTAGTGTAGTATCTAGTCCTAAAAATATTGGTGACTGTGGCTATTGTTCAGTTATACAATGTGAGGTCTTTGGTCTCAAGCCTAGGAAACCCAATCTGAATTTATAGCAGGACACTCCAGCAAACCAGCAAGCAATTGCTACACCTTGTACTTTTCCTCTTTCTCAGCTGGTTGGAGGCATCTTGTTAAATTTTGCCACCTTGAGGACAGGATAGTGCTTCACTTGGTAGCCCCATTGCTTAAGATAGATCTACTTCGAAGGAAAACTAAGGGCCATCAGAGTTGTGGAAGAAGTTATTAATATCATATCATATGTATTGATATATATTCTTCCCAATTCAGAAAATCGTCACAGCACAGATCTAATGAAACAGTACCAGATATTTGGGCAAGATTGCTTTTAAATTGCAGGGCACAAGCATTTGAGTTTCACCTCACTTGAAGGTCAACTCTGTAGGTGAACATTTCCAGATAATAATCTGTGATGCTGAATACAAAATAAATGCACCTCCTGAAGTCTAAAAGGCCTCTAGGCCCATAGCATTGACATTAGATTGCTTTGAACATTTTGAACTGTTTCATTTAGACCTGGGGGCAGGTATGTTTCTTTTGTATTCAGATATCCATCCTTGATTGTTAAATTAAAAAATGAGAACTGACGCTCAAATTGGCATTATAACCAGCCTTCGTCTCTCTTTGGAACATAACCTTTTCACTCCCATTTTTTATTAATCTAGGAATAGGATTTAATATAGTCGTACAGATTTATCTGGTCTCCTGTGTTGTCTTTCCCTAGACTCCACTGGGAGAGAATCAGAAGGAGAGCAAAAGTCCTTTCTGTCGAACAAGCCACAGACCGTGGAAGAGGATGGCAGTTTGTTCAAAGGTGCTGGTCCTTTGCAGAGTTCTGTACAGCCAGATGGCCAGCCATTAGTAAGTGCCTTCTCTGCGGTGCCAAGCCAAAGTTCTGACGGCTTTTCAGAGAGGCCTAATTCTGATGCGACCATGATGCTTACCCAGAGTGATGATCTGCAGGGACAAATAGCTGAGCTAACACTCCAGAACACTGTCATTAAGGCTCAGCTGAGCAAATTCAGGCATTGCCCTCAGGAGGCATGGGATCTTTTGCAGCAGCCATTTTCGGCGCAGAGTGGATCAGCGCTAGAGGGACAGGTAAGAATGTAAGAGAGTGTTGGATCTTGACATTCTCAATAAACATTGATAATTTGAGATTATGCTTTGTGACTTGTGGAAAGGGAAGCTTGGGTGTGTATGCACATACACACATGACTGTCAATTTTGCAAGAATTACAGTCATCAACCATCCATTCATGGCTGGTGACCCATGTACTGAGTTGCCACTGAGCCTCTTGGGCTTGCCGATCAGAAGGTTGGCGGTTCGAATCCCCACGACGGGGTGAGCTCCTGTTGCTCTGTCCCAGCTCTTGCCAATCTAGCAGTTTGAAAGCATGCCAGTGCAAGTAGATAAATAGGTACCGCTGTGGTGGGAAGGTAAATGGCATTTCCGTGCACTCTGGTTTCCATCACGGTGTTCCATTGCGCCAGAAGCAGTTTCATCATGACCCGGAAAGCTGTGGACAAACGCCGGCTCCCTCAGCCTGAAAGCAAGATGAGCACCGCAACCCCATAGTCGCCTTTGACTGGACTTAACCGTCCAAAGGTCCTTTACCTTTTTACCTTTTACCGAGTTTTCTGAAGCCTAAATAGTTATAGAATCATACGGCTGGATGGGCTGTTGGAGCTCATCTGGTCCAACCACCAGCTCAGCGCAGGGTCTTGAATGCAGGATCTGCAAGCATCCCTAACAGATCGCCGTCTGCTTAAATACCTCCTGCAAAGGAGAGCTCACCGCCTCCTCAAGGCCGCCTGCCACTATTGAACAGCTCTTGCCAATAAAGTTTCTATTCCTGCCTTCTAGAGCAACAGAGGACAAATCAGTTCACATCATTAGTATGATGTTTTGATACCACAATCATTTCTCCCCTTAATTTCTTCCTCAAGCAAACCATTCAGCACCATCCTCATTACCCTCCTGTGGGTTCATTGCCCTTATTTCAGTTCAGTGTCCTGATTTAAAAGGTGGTGCCTAGAGCTGGACATGGTATTTCAGCCAACTTGGAATAGAGTGTACAGTGGTACCTCTGGTTACAGATTTAATTTGTTTCGGGGTTCCACGCACACACCCAAAAATCCGTAACTAGAGGCACCACTTCTGCGCACGGGCTTCTGCACATGCGCAAGCGGCGAAACCTGAAAGTATACACTTCTGGGTTTGCCGCAGCCATAACCCAAAGATTCCGTAACCTGGAGGTTATGCAACACGAGGTATCACTGTATCTTCCTTTTTACTCTGGGAATGAGTGCAGTGCCAATGACAAAGTGTTTGTTCCCTCCACCCGCAAATCTTATATGTGATATTATTTTAACTTATTACCTGTTCTTCACCTTAACATCCAAGGGTGGGTTCCAATTAAAAAAAATGTTTAAAACAACTTACTGAATGTCATTACTCCATTCAATGACATACTTTTTGAATGCTATTTTGTATTCTATTTGAAAGCTGCTTAGCTGTTTTAGCTCACTTTTAAAACTCTACTCACAGGTCTCTTAAAAAATACTTTGAATAAGTTAGGATTGTGGGAACTCCATTGGTTGCTGTTCTGCAGCTAGAAATAATTATAGACTATTACATTTTGCTTCAAACCAGTGATCTGTCATCTGTCATGACCTACCTTTACTTAACCTTGTGCTGCCAGAATGCTTTTTTGTGATTAAAGACTACGTGAGGTGGCTAAAAGTAGATTGTGGGGGGAAAGGTTTCTGATAGCTGCTACTGTTGGGTAACTCAGATGCACCGAGTCTGCCAAGCAGCCAAATTCAGTAATGAAAAGTATGAAAATGACTTTAACTACCCTCTTGAATACTCGTTTAGGGACATTGTGATGCCGTAAGCAGCTTGAAAGAATTACCAAGGAGCTTGGATGAACGAATAACTGAACTGAACCGCCAGAGCGCAGAAGCACGCAGCAAACTGGTGCAGCTAACCAATCAGCAAACGTTACCAACATTCGTCTCTGTGTCTCCGCCAGTTTCACCAATTCCATCACCACCTGTCAATTTGCTTGGTATGTTACCCACTATTTAAAAGCTTTTCTTACATCAGTGTTGGCAATATGGGTTGGTGTATTCTGATGATGGCAGCTGTCTTCACTTGACAATCTTTTTCCCCCTTATCTTTTTTTGAATTTTTTGAAACATTCTGTTTCTCTATTTAGTAATTGCTTGATGTGCTTCCTCATTACTGGAACACCTGGACACCTAATAATTCACTAATCAGATACTGTCTTTTCTAGAAACCGGAAAGAGAAGAACAATTGAGGTGTCTGTTCCAGTTGCAGAAATTCTGGATAGTTCTAAAGAAAACAGTCCTTCTCCCACCAGTGTATCCAGTACAAAGAGGTCAGCTGCTTAGCTATTCTGTTTTTACAGGCAGGGTGGGTAGTATAAGCTTTTTTAAGGAATACAAAAAGGGATGCGGGTGGCGCTGTGGGTCTAAACCACAGAGCCTAGGGCTTGCCAATCAGAAGGTCGGCGGTTCAAATCCCCGCGATGGGTTGAGCTCCCGTTGCTCGGTCCCTGCTCCTGCCAACCTAGCAGTTCGAAAGCATGTCAAAGTGCAAGTAGATAAATAGGTACAGCTCTGCCGGGAAGGTAAACGGCGTTTCCGTGCGCTGCTCTGGTTCGCCAGAAGCGGCTTAGTCCTGCGGGCCACATGACCCGGAAGCTGTACGTTGGCTCCCTCGGCCAGTAAAGCAAGATGAGCACTGCAACCCCAGAGTCAGCCATGACTGGACCTAATGGTCAGGGGTCCCTTTACTTTACCTAAGGAATACAGCTCAGGGAAGGGGAGCAGGATCTAGACAGCAGGCTAGATTCTGAGTTCTTCTCCCCTTCTGTATGAAGTGAGGTTTACCCCAAACTGCCTGGTGGGCCATTCTCAGCAGCCTGGTGGATCCAATTGGGTCCATGGGCCAGATGTTCTCCACCCCATGCTAACTTGTAGTCTGAAGATGTGGCTGTGATTTCCAGTGAATCGTTACAGATTTTGGCTCTAGAAATAGAAGGTTCCTAGCAGACAGCTTTCTTCACTTGAAATGCCTTGATAAGCAAATACAGTCGTACCTCTTAAGTCGAACGCCTTGTGAGTCGAACATTTTGGCTCCCGAATGCTGCAAACCCAGAAGTTTGCGAACGTTCTTTGGAACCTGAATGTCCGACGTGGGTTCCTGCAGCCAATCACAAGCTGTGCCTTGGTTTCCAAACATTTTGTAAGTCGACCAAGGTATGACTGTACCTGGTTTTTCTCTCAAATAATATCTGCCTCCTAATTCTGTTACACATATAATGGAAAGTTAAATGTACATTAGAGCCTTGTTGAGGCACGTCAGAGGTCTGATGTGTTCCCATTAGCAGTCATCTATGGTTAAATACAAATGTATATTTCCATTCCTTTCTTACCTGTCTAGGTCTTAATTCATTTAGCTAGCCAGTTCCATCAACGTGCATGCCTTTTTACTGAGTGACAGAGAAGCAGTCAAGTAATACACAGGCTTAGTTAAAATACACGCGCGCACACACACAGGGAAAGTTATGGGGCAGCCCCGGCCTCTGATTTCCCTAATTTTAGTCAATTCATGGGCCCCACTGGAGTCTTCTACAAAAAGTACCTGAGGGACCAGCCACCAAAGTAAGGAGAGCCTAACCCTTTCTGGCCCTCCTACAATTCAAACACTTATATCAAATTATTTCTGAAATTTGAATGACTAAATCATCTACATCCTGGTTGTTGTTGTTGTTATGATTATTATAACAGGCATGGCCAAACTTTGCCCTCCAGATGTTTTGGGACTACAATTCCCATCATCCCTGACCACTAGTCCTGTTAGCTAGGGATGATGGGAGTTGTAGTCCCAAAACATCTGGAGGGCAAAGTTTGGCCATACCTGTTCGCAGCACCCGGACTCTAGGAGCTATATAATACTTAAATTTAAGAGACGACCATCTCTGCCTACATGTTTATAATATAAAGATACAAGGCAATTAGGAAACAGGACAGTGCACTCAGCACCTGTAATTCTATACACTTCGTGTTTCCTAGCTCTCTATTATTTATGCCTACAGATCTGCAGATGTGTCTAGCCAGGTGTGCTTACCACTAAATACCTCACTGGGAAATGTACAGTTGACTTTTGACAGTCATAGAATAAAGGTAAGTCATTTTTAGACAGCCATACTTCCACCTTTTGGCAATGTTCAGGGTGAGTGTCAAGCCTTAGATAGTCTAAACAACCAGTAAGATTAAATCATATAAACAAGGAATATTTGGTGTTATGTTGGAGGAGATGCCAGGAAACTGGGACTTATGTTCACATGTGGTGGGGGTGTAAATATGTACAGGGTTTTTGGCAAAGGGTGTTTAAGGAGAAAACAGAAATCACTGGGTTGAAACTGACCGAAAGTCCAGAGGTTACCAATTTACAGTGAGGTGGAAGGTTTGCAGGCTAGGAAGGACTGGCTCACAAATTTATTGACAGCTGCATGAGTTATTATAGCTGGGAAGTGGAAGGGGCAAGCAGAGTATAAAATGGAAGAATGGTATAAAGAGGTGTGGGATATAGCTATTAATGATAAATTAACATGTGCTATTAAGGCAAGACGGGGAATATGCAGGGGAAATTATTTTGAGGAGATATGGAAGGTATTTGTAGAATTTGTACTGTTAAAACGGAAAGGGGTCAAACCATTGCAAGAGGTGTTGAAAATTTGGGAGGTTGGATAGTTACAATGGAATGGTCTTGGGGTGGGGTGCACATTTTTATTTTTACATTATTATTACTTTGTTAAAATGAATAATAACAATAAGAAGAAGATAGTCAAAACAGAAGCCCAAGATTGCAGAAGTAATATATATCTATATTTAAGGGGAGAACTGAAGGGGAGGCAAGGAATAAGTGACAGTGCAAGGAATGTAACACTTCACTTTTTTTTATCCATTCCTGTAGCCTAAAAAGCAAGGAGAAGATGGCTGGTTTGCCTTGTCAACACATATTGGTTAGCCCCAAGCCCAGATGTTGTTTTAAAAGTGTTTTAACCCTTATAAAGTTCTAGAACAGGGGTGGCAACTCGTGAACCTCCAGATGTTGCATTGGCCATGACAGGAGTTGGGACGTCTGGGGCCGCCCCTGTTCTAGAGCCTTTTCTTCGAGGCCATGGATAAGGTCAGTCCTGCTGGTTCTGCTGAGGTCTTTCCACATCTGTGGCTATGTACTTCTCATCCATATTAAGAGTTGAACACGGTCTTGGACTTGTGTCATGTGTGCAGTCTGGAGTACAGTCGGCACTTGAAACAAGCAGTGTTGCAAAGGCATCTATGTGCAGCAGAATTGTGCGGACAACTGCTCGTGTCAGTCCTTTGACGTGAACCACACAAGGATGGAGCTGCTCACATAGACTACTTGCTGTGCCGCTGCCTCCATGCTATTGTGTTTTCACATTGCTGGCCTCAGCATCCATTGGAAACCAACATCCTGGATTTGTCCCTTGTTCTTTGATACTCATATCTGAAACATTTGGTATTGTATGAAAGAGGAAACTGTAATTAATTGATGTATGCAGTTAATATAAGAAGATCGAGGCAATGTTTTAACCCTGTTAATGCTGCTGAGCAAATACTTTCTGGAACTAAAGCATTTTTTAAATGGTTGCAATAGTGATAGGCTTTATATCAAATAAAGCAAATCATAAAGCAAATCCATGGACTGGAATGCATAACTTTTGGGGTCTAGTTAATTGTTTACTGTGCCCATACCTGTCTTCATTTGCCGGGCAAATTTATCCTGGCATTAAGTCTTATAGTCCATGTGCTGCTATTAAGAACTCGCCTATGCAAAACCACAGAAGGCAGCTATTTCCTGTTCCATGCAGCGTCTTAAATTTTTATCCAAAAAGTGGTGCTGTTACTATTGGCTCTGCAGAAGAAATACAAGCGTAGTATTTGTTCCATTACTGCAGTGGGAAAATGTATTAAAGTTATTTTGAAGGATAGGATTTTACTGTGTTACTTTACATTTACATTTTGCTCTTCTGGTGCAAATGCAACGAAAACCTGTCAGAATAAAACTGTACTGTATTTAGCAACTGACAAAAGACACTGAGGGGAAGGGACCAGTTGTACTTCATGGAACAAGGTGTTCTGTAATCTAGGTGCAGCCGCTGAGGAGACCTCTCTCATCCCACTCAAACCTACCCTAGGTGGGATGCAGAAAAGGGACTCTCCTGAGCAGAATATACAGAAGGAAGTAGCCCCCAAGGTGTATCCTAAGCTATCACAAGCACTTTGAATCTTGCCTAAAAGCTGACTGGTATCCTTTCAAACTTCCATCCCCAACTCGGTGTGAAATGGTATAATCGCATTAATCTACATACAAATGTGGAAGGGCAATTTATAATGGCCATGTGAGTACTGTCCTCCTTCCATCAATAGGCATTAGTCCCTTGGTTCCCAACGGCTTGGGGTGCCTTTATGTTACTATCATTTCAGACAGCTGATTTGACAAGGTATGCCAGCACCATTGTAGCTGAACAAACCTGAAACAAAAAATAAACACGTGAATGTGAAAGTTTGACAGGTTCATTCGTGAATGGAAAAATCTGCTGTTGGGCAACATCGGAAGTTCCAGTCAGGACCCACAATAATTTAATAGCTGAGTTTGAATAATTATCCTGTCAGAGATGCTCAGATTTCATAGCAGGCTGCTTAGGAGGCTAACTAAAAGTGACAACTGTATTGAAACCTGATTTCCATTCTTCAAGTATATTAATAAGGAGGTGAGCATATTTCAGGTGGGCAAGCTTCTTTTTAGGAAGATCTTCTGCATCTGAAGCTGTTAATAATTTTCACATGTGTAGTGGAGATAGATGTGTTACACATTACCTTGTTGCAAGAAGACATATATTTATAATTCTCTTTTTCTCAATTGTTGGAAAATTTACCCTGATTAAAATTAAATAAAAACTATACTTTACAAATGGTACGTATGTATAAAAGACAGAATTATTTCCTGTACTTCATTCACTTTATTGTTCAGAGGTTTTGAAGGCTCTTTCTGTGCCTAAGAATACAGAATGTGAACTAGGCCATCTCATGTGATTTGTTGCCCTGTTTGAAGTATGCAGGTCAAGAAGCAGCATGAAAACAGCCGAATTTCCATAGACATTTTTACTGTCCTATTGTCTAGTCTAGTTTTTCTCTTCTTTCTGCTGCATCCGAGAACTGTGCAAAGCTGAAGAATTCATCTGTTGAAAGCAGTAAGGGCTTCTCTTTGCAAGTAGCTTGCGACCTGCTAACATTCTAATAGTGATTGTACATATTATGGTATTTCCTCTCTGGAAAAAAAAGAGAAAAAAGGAAGTGTTGTGCAAGCTATG